CAACTACTAGGTGACTGGTTCAAGTGCGCAAGTACTTTCGGAATGAGAAATGAAGGTGAAAATATCCACGCCAGTGGGTAGTGAATGCGTCGTGATATAATGCTTGACTGTCCGTCAGGTCGCGGGACACGTAATTGCAAATTCCATGCGCGGTTTTTGATCGATCATTGGGGTCCCCACTTGGCAAACACTGTCCACACAAGCTGGTAATAGATGCCATTCCGGCAGTTTCAGTCGTGACAGATGATCGGCATGATTGTTGTACTTGCCTGGGATATAGTGCATACTGACGTAAATTTGGTGCTGATCTAATAAATCTAGAATTTGTCGAGTTATTTTCATTAGAGGAAGCGACTTTGTACCTCCTTTTCGTAGATGAGCAACTGCCGTCTTGTTGTCGCATTGAATGAGAAGCGAACTTTTTTGCAGCAACTGCAAAAACTGTTTTTTGCAAAAACAAACAACAAAAACTCCAGCCGACCCGCTTGGTATGGCAATTTGTCATTGTTTGTATTCCTATTTCCTCTGCCACTTCTTGGAACATTGTAGCGTTCATGATTATTCCCGCGTTCGGGCCGCGAGCCTCGGTTGTGAAATGAGCCTCGTCCATTGACATTACGGCTCTCATATTGAAAGTTATTGCTTTGACCTCTGTTTTGAAAATTATTGTGGTGACCGAGGGTGGGTAGTTAGTAAAGGAATTGTATTGTCCTTGAGGGGTTATGTAAGTTCTACGCGATGGAACTGCAACTGGTCTTCGTATGCTTTGCTCCCGCGAGGGGCGGCTATTGATTTGATTGGATTTAGCTTGCGAAAATATATCTGATTTAGCAGGCCAAAACACTTTGCGAACGCCACCAGCCTTTTCTAATACGGCAGCAAATGGCTAGGACTCAAATTAAGTTGTGGATGGCGGTATTCTGTTTAGCGAGGCTTTTATAAAAGGATCTCGTACTTGACTTGTAATCGATTCCCGGCGCATTTCAATAGTGTCAGCACGATGACCGCAAACTAATTGAAGAAGGTCCGAAGAAACCTTATGCAATTCACCGTTTTGGAATAAATCTTCTATTTTACTACTCAAATTTTCAAAATTTAATTCTGTATGTAGTGCACAGTTAAGAAGAGTACGGATATTCTCCTGTAATACTTCTTTTTGTTTTAAAATGCAAAAAGTTATGGCTGCATAAGATTTTTCAGTGTTCGATAAGTGACGTAAGGTGTCGTATATTTTTACCTCTTCATTTGTATCAAGGTCTACGAAACCTGGAGAGTAGTTAGAAGTCTTTTGTGTGTCAGCGTATCTTACGTCTGACCAAGAAGTACTGCCTAAGCGTTGGACCTCGCGTAACATTTTTAAAAACTCTCAGGTGTTTCGGGAACCGAGGGTTCCTTTAACTTAGTTTCAATATCGAATGTGAAACTTAACTCGCAATCGGAGTTATGGCCCTCATTGTTATGTACCGTTTGTCTCTCAGTATCACATTGTTCATAGAGATCACCACTAATCTCCGAGTAAATTTCAATATTGTCATTACAAGCCTGATTATTTTTACCAGATATTAAAAACTTCGAAACGAGGTTTCGTAAATTACTCATATCCTGAATCAGTTTGTCCAATCGAGGGTCATCGTGCTTACTTCGCTTTGAGTTATTTCGGCGGCTGTTACTACTCGATCCGCTTCGACGTTTACGAGCCCTACTTGGACCGGCATCAGTGACAGTTTGCACTATCTCTTCATTAATATTATCCATAATTATTTTTAGCCAGCTACCACTAAAATATGTACGTTACTTTTCACGGGGAAGGAATTTAATATCAAAATAGAAATTACATAAACAAAATTAACCAAGATCAATTATAATCAGAACTTCAAATATTCTAAGCTCTAACAACCACGTGTTTCTAATGATTATTTACGTACATTAAGAACAATTATACTGGTAGTTATTTGGTATGAAATATATTACATTCGAACGGCATAACCGTTAAAAAGCAAAACTTTATTGATTAAGTACTCACCAGAATATAATAAATGCACTATTCTTTTTCATACAATTCACTTTTTGCTTTATTACAATACTATAATATCACTTTTATTACTGTAATATATTAAGTGCAACAGTAGCAGTCAGAGAGCAGCTGCGTACGTGTTGCTTCGACGGGAAACGAAACGCCAATGATAAAAAATGGCGCCCCAAACGTTTTACATCAACTAAAAGCGCACGACCGCCAGGTGTCGCTACTGGACCGGATGTACAAGGTACTAAAAAGAGGGTAAACTGGTAGAACTATGATTCTACAACTATGATCTCAGATTAAAGCTTCCAGTGACGGGCAAGTGTTTTAATTAGTACATTAATTCAACTATGCACATGTAAAATTTCAAAAAGCGGCCGTGCAGTATATTTAGGTAATATTCTAAAATGTACAGTCACATCACATCATCACATCAACAGCCTATACTAGTCCACTGCTGGACATAGGCCTCTCCTTAGAAAGGAGGTTTTGGCCTACTATACCACGCTGGCCAGACGGGTTGGTATAGGGTTTGTTTCAAGTACAGTATAATACCGGTATTAAATTGGTACAGGTGATTACACAATTCTTAAATAAAATTTCGAGATTAAGACATTAGGTGGCTTGCTTTTTCTGCAACAGCGTATTTGGTTAATTCAACACGATTCTTAAAATATATATATGTTTATGACAAAAAAAAACAAATAATCAAGTGCCAAAATTCAAAATGGGCAATTAACTGCATAGAGAGGTAGATCATAATTATATCTTAGAAAAATTTTATAATATACGACATATTATATTATCATAACATCACAATCAAGAAAGCACACAGCCGCCTATCATTTAGACATCGACGAAAGTCGGAGCTCGCATTTTAGACACCCTACAAGATTCATCATATCCGTAAAGTTTTATATGTTATTTGTGTATACATGTATGTATGTAACTCTTCAAGTATATATGTATGTGTATATTAAAATACATTTATCATATACATATTAGGCACACTTATCACTTACAGTTTTAAAAATATAACATTTTCACAGTAATTCGATTTTTTGTCGCGGTTATTTTCGATAGTGGAAAAGCAAGCCAGTTACATTTATCGCATATAATAACAATTACTTCACTTTTTCACTTGATTTTACATTAATATATAGCATATTTTCATCGCCCGTCATAATTTTGTAATTTTTTTTGCATTCATTTTTCTTAATAAAACAGGCTACTGTTGCTGTTGATGAAGACTGATTCCGACCTGCGTTCTCTGATTAGACGAGTTTTTCTAGATTCTCACATTTTCAGATACCCTATATATTTACCTACATATAAATCTACATCTAATATTCACATCTATAAAAGTCATTGTTTCTTGAAGTTTTTCATAAAAACTTAAACCAATTTAAACCTATCCGTTGTATACGCAACGGTACAAAATTACTAGAAAATAATCTAGCAATTTAACATTCAGTTTTTAGGTAATAATTAACTTCTTTGAACTTACAATTATTATACAAACCAATAAATGCTTACGGCCGTTTTAGGTGTACAAAGTAGACCCTGCCTTCTAAATTAGGTATTCTTGTAACTTCGAAGACAGTGTTCCGCTGATGGCTCATTCACGGTATTCCAGTATAGTGTGACTGTGAGTGAGTAGGTATGTGTGTAGAAGGGATCAGTGTTGTTGGATAATGATGTGTCGGAATCTATTTATTTTTTCACATAAACATAGACTTAGTTGTGTTTATATTGTGTGAGTAAGCAATGCTTTGGTCTGCCGTAGTCCTGTTCTAGTCACCATCCATACTAATATTATAAATGCGAAAGTGTATCTATCTGTCTGTCTGTCTCTACCTCTTTACGCCTAAACTGCTGAACTGATTCAGATGAAATTAGGTATAGAGATAGTTTGAGTACCGGGAAAGGACATAGGATAGTTTTTATGCCAGAAATCATCTCCTAGATGCTTTTTTTTATCAAAACTTTAATTAAAACCATTTTATCTTATCATAGCATCAATAACAAGTTACTTAGAACTACATTACACACTAGTAGGTATTAATATTAGAAATATTTTTTTCTTTACAATTTTCCGTCAACTCGGCGATCTAGCTCTTAGATTATATCCACCTTAAAAATATCTTCTAAACTAAGACCCGAGTAAATCTGTGACGAAAAAATGTTCAAAAAATTGCGAATAATTAACGACTTAATTTGGGAGATAACAGGTCTTCGCTAGGTGCCTTAGTTTTTGAGATATAAGCGTGGCCCTGCTGGGGAGACTGACCGACCTGTAAACGCTTATAACTTTTGAACCAGTGACCGACAAATTCTGATATTTATCAACAAATTTCGAAAAATTAGCGACTAAATTTTTGTGTTATCAAAGTGTCAGTCCCCATCAATTGATCTGGCTGCTGCTTTACCTTCTAATTCACAAATTAAATAGATAGGTAACACCAATAATTTATTAAAGTAGCCAAAAAATTCTGCTTGCTAAATTGGATCCAAAATTCCTGACATAGCAGATTAAAAGAGAAATATTAAAAGTATAGTATTTGAGTTAATAAAATATTGTCCGTGTGGACTGTTAAAGGCTGTTGATGATGATGAAATTTTATCCAAAATACCTGACATAGCAGATTAAAATAGATATATTAAAAGTATAGTATTTTAGTAAATAAAATATTTATAAGATACCTATATTATATAGTTGACTACCAAATCTTGCCCTTATGATCAAACAAAGTACTTTTACCATATACCTAACAAAAACAACACAGACTGAGATAATGAAATGAAATAACCTACATAATGAAACCTGCTGTCGTGAAATATAATGCCTTGAGCTTACTTTGAAGCACCAGTCTCTCACATGATACTTGGGGCTTTAGCCTAATAACATGTAGTAAATGAAAATAAAAATCAAGAATAAGATTTTATTCAAAATTTGTATACAATATGGAAGTGACATTTTTCAGTTGTTTTGAGGAGGCTTCGACCATTCCACATTTAGAATCAAGTGGTCATAGCCATGTCCGTTTAGAGTCTGAATAGCCTTGGCGGCATCAGCACGGAACCTGAAGTGCACATACGCAAATCCTTTGCAGTGACCAGTACTCTGGAAGGATATATAAAGAAAAAAAATTAAAGGACATGTACACAGCAAATGATTGAAACAGAAGTGAAATTGTGGAACCTACTTTGAATGTTAGTAGCAAAAGAGAAGAAAGCCAAATGTTTTTTTTTTAAGTTGATTACAACTCATACTTACTTGTAACTCAAATCTTTTTTGTTTGATAACATTTACAATGATAATGGAATTAAATTACTTATAACAATAAAGCGTGTCATTCATGGCCAGATAATGCAGACAACTGTCTCTATTACAATCTAGATAAAATATATTTTTAAATAAGTCTTTACCTTCTCCTTAGCTAAATACAACTTCTGCACTGGGCCAAAACCTTTAACAAGGTCATCAAGATCAGCTTCAACTGCGAAGTTACTAAGATTGGAAATACGAATAGCAGCAACATCGTCACGGCGAGCGCCCGGGGGTTCACGACCAGCGCCCCGACCGGCACCTCCTTCACGCATGAATGGGGTCACGTATTTGTTAGTCGTAGTAGCTTTCGTTTCTGAAAAGAAAATGTTCATGAACCAAAAGACCTTCCAAGGTTACACCACATCTGCAGTTTTTTATTCTTAAAACTACCAAATTACTTATTTTAAATCTACTAGGTACTGTAACTATGGTATTAGTTTATGATGATTAACTTACCTGCAGCTTTGGCTGCTTCAGAAGCTTTAGTCTGAGCAAGCTGAGTGTGCTTAAAGGGACAGCTGGTGGTCCAATGTTCACCATGACAAGTTCGGCACTTGACAATCACACTGCTGCTTTGAGGCTGTAACAAGAAATTGCACTTGCACTATACATATTATATAGACGACCAACCAAAAAAGTGTCCGACAAAAAGTAGTAAATAATAGTTCTAAAATCTATATATAAATAATGCAGGATTCGCCTTTGAAAACAAAAACTGATTTTATATGGTGATATAGTGGTGCGAAGTGGCATCTGAGTAAAAATACATTTTTGGTTTATGAATACTCAATAACCATTATGATTGCCTTCATAGTTACATTTAAATAAGCAAATTTAAAAACTTATCATTTATTTAATAAAATGGTATCAATACAATTTTCTTTCTTTTTAATTATATTTTGCTATACTCTTTTACTTTTGGTACAATTAGTGCTATGAGGTGGACAATGGAATCTTTACCAGCTAATAGTTGATTGACCAAGTTCCAGATCTTTTTTGCATATCCATTTAGTTTTATAATAGAGAATGAAAATAGATTGAAAAATACCTTAAGACCATCCACACATTCATCATCAGGACGCTGGCTCTCTTCTTTGCTGGTAATGAACTGCATAAAAACATCTTCAGCAACATTGGTGGTAGCCGGGTTAGGGCCAGGTTTGTCATCAGCAGAGTCACCAAATTTGCTCCAAGTTTTACGCTTAGCAATACTCTATAATGATATTAAAAATTAAATATCAACTAGAACATGTAAAAAATGAAAAGTAGTGATACTATAAATTAGGATATAATTTGTCTCTTCAATTACTTAACATGACTACGTTTATAAATACATTCATTCAATTTCTTCATTTTTACATAATAATAATAATAATTATGTCAGTTTCTCAGAATGGATGTAGAAGTAGGACCCGTAGCACTAAAGACCTCCTTATCATAGTCATGACTATTAGCCAACAGGTACGTCGTAATCGTAAGAGTTTGGCGACGTGTTGGATAGATTATAAGAAGGCTTATGACTCGGTTCCACACACATGGCTTTTGAGGGTGCTGGAGTTGGATAAAATTGATACAACTCTGTGCACTTTCTTGAAGTCATGTATGGGGCAATGGAGAACAGCACTTCGCTATCCAGGATGTCGGCAGACGGTGATACACGATGTACTAATAAAGATCGAGAAAGATTGACAAAGTTACTAAAGGTGACGGAAAACTTTAGTAATTCTATCAAAATGGAATTTGGTGTAGACAAGTGTGCAGTCATGTATGTAAAGAAGGGTGTGATAGTTGAATCTGAAGGAATAGAGCTTTCAGATTCAACAAAACTCAGATCTCTGTCTGCCACTGAAACTTACAAGTATCTGGGTATATCACAGTCGTTGGGAATACCAGAATCTAACATGAAACAAACATTGCAGGAACGCTTTTTTGGCCGCTTAAAAAAAGTACTTAAGTCTTTTATCAGGGGGCAACAAGGTGCGAACCTGCAATGGTTGGGTCATGCCGGTTCTGATGTATTCCTTTGGTATACTTAGATGGACTCAGACCGAATTAGATTCCCTTGACAGGAAAGTCCGTACACTGCTGACTGCATTCCGAATGCACCACCCACGTTCATCAGTTATGAGATTGTATATCCCGCGAAAGCTCGCGGGTCGCGGACTATTAAATATCAAGACCCTACATAATCGCGAGATATGCAATCTCAGAGAATATTTTCTACATACCGACGTGGGAGTACATCGCAATGTAGTTGCAGTGGATACCGGCTTCACCCCGCTCGCTAAAGAGAATTGGCGCAGACCTGAGTACTTAGTGTTAATAATCGCAGGGAAGTATGGAAGGGCAAAGAGCTCCATGGTCGGTTTTATCGGGCCCTAAACGGGTCCGATATAGATTTAAAAGCATCTACGACTTGGCTACGGTATGGTGATCTCTTTGGAGAAACTGAAGGTTTTGTTTGTGCGATTATGGACGAAGTTATCATGACGAATAACTATCGGAAATATATCCTGAAAGATGGTACGGTTGACATTTGTCGGGCATGCCACCGTCCTGGCGAATTAATCAGGCATATTATTTCTGGTTGTTCTCGTCTTGCTAAAGGAGAATATTTGCACAGGCACAACCAAGTAGCCAGGATCGTACACCAACAGCTTGCCCTTAAATACCATCTTGTGAATCTAGAGGTGCCATACTACAGGTATGTGCCCGACCCAGTTCTCGAGAATGGTCGGGCCACATTGTATTGGGATCCATCTATTATCACAGACAGGACTATTGTTGCCAATAAGCCTGATATTGTGCTGATAGATCGATTAGAGCGCCGCGCAATGATTGTTGATATCGCCGTTCCTCATGACGAGAATCTCAGTCAGTCAGTCAGTCTCAGTTGAAAAAGAAAAACAAATTAAATATTTGGATTTATCTCACGAGATTGTCGATATGTGGAATGTTGATTCAGTGATCATTGTTCCGATAGTTGTATCTGCTCACGGATTAATAGCCAAGAGCCTCGACCAACACCTTAAGAGGCTCACGTTGGACGGCTGGATCAAGGGTTTGATGCAGAAGGCAGTCCTCCTTGACACGGCTCGTATAGTGAGGAGGTTCCTATCTTTGGAGTCCTAACCACCGGTGTCTTGGTCCCTGTACCCGATGTCGGTGGTCTACTATTTTTAAATGTACTTAAATATTTTTCAAGTGAAATAAAGAGAACTATAATTGCATAAAATTAATGAGTTGGCATGGGAAGATAATACTTTGATTTAGTTTATACTTTTGTATTATGTTGTAAATATCTAATTTCTATAATCAAAATTTATTTCTATCTTTAAACTTGGTATTCTTAAACCATCTATAATTCCCTTTTCACTGTTGCATATTATAATAGTTAGTTATTATGATAATTGCCTGACCATATAATTTTAATATTACATACCTTTGATACTACACGTTTCTCAATTTTATAAGTACGCACAATCTTCACTTTCTTGTTGTCATTGTCATATTTATATTCAGTGACAATTTTTAAACCATTTTCAACTACTTCTGAAGGTGGTGGTAGAGCTCCCTGATCGATCTCAACTTCGTCAGCCCATGAGGACTGGATTTCATCAGCAACAGGCATCTTTAAAATATGTTTTATTTAATGACCTTTTAAGAAAGTAGGAATAAAAACTTCGAGAACCAGTTTTGAAAACATAGTGTTTTAAAAATCACCTCTGATCACCACAAAGGAATTATTTGAAGTTTCCAGAAATTTGAATCATCATGACTCAAATTAGTTTTTTTAACGAAATGCTGACATTGTTTAATGCTTTCATAACAAACTGTTATAAGAATATTCACATATCTAAACTCCCATTATCAGTGATAAGTGGTTAACATAGGGAACGAGAATGATTCATTTCACATAGTTTTATAATAATTTAGTTATAAAATTAGTTACAAATAACATGTACAATGACAAAAGGACTAAAAATATTTGTTTTTGAATATACTAGAAATACATATGACGAAAGCATAATTCCGTGCATTTTGTGGTTATAAAACATGAATTTACTTTTAGAAAAATCCTGTTTCCAGAGGATCTTACCGTTATGGTATATTTTTCTCGTTTGCCAAGAGGGAATTAAACTGAAAGAAGAGACTTGAATATTTTTCTCCTTGTTTTATATTTTCCAAAGGATTCAACCATGAACCTTTTTTCAGACAGATGGAGCTGATCCCCTTCCCCGACCCCCTGTACACGATACAGAAAAAAGTATGTTTTCGGTGTTGCCATTATAAAAAGATCTAAACTTGTCATGAGGTCTCCAAAACTTACTAAACATTTAAATCCGTGCATTTACAAATTTTTGTGCCCTTGGTTTGATATCAGCAGTTTCGTACGCCATTGGTTTCAAGTTAAGTAAGCCAGTAATCGAAATAAGGATTATATTATTGATGAATAAATGACAAAAAATTTACAAATCAGTTCGGAAATACCAAATAAATAAATAATATAATTTGTTCCAAATACAAATAATGACTAAAATGTTAAAGATATAATGGTATACTGTTTTCACAGAAGACAATTATTTTAAAAACCGATCACGACATGATCTCATTTATTCTGTCTCTTTCTCATGTTTAAGTATTTGTGAAAGGATGAAGTACACATTGGACAGTGTAGACCAAACACGTGTATGTGTTCACACATTGGTGCATAGCTCATCGTTGCCTGGCCCACCATTCGCGATGGACGTGGAAGTAATTACAGTCGCGCCTATTTATTTGTGTGCTTCGCCCGCTCCAAAACGGATTCTATCTTTTTTTTAAAATGCAACCGAAATGTGGATATCAATGACTGAAATGTAGATATATACTATCGCTGACTTCTTTGTACATCTTTTTAAAATATACAATTCTGTAGTTCATTGTTTTGATTTACCTCGCATGGTTCAGTCAGCTAGCAATGTAAGGGCACAAAATATATATTTTTACGACATCACATTATCCTTTCCTATACTATAATATGCATTCATGTATAATAAATGTAACCTTCCTCTTGAATCACGTTCTCTATTGATGTAAACTACATTAAAATACTATCGACTTTATTTAAAACTATTCGTATGTTATGATACTTGTACATTTATTGTTCCGTAGTGGTTTGCAATATTACAACAATTCTTTATTTGTTATTACTTATCATAACTTCAAAACGAATTGACCATTTTGAACAATTTATAAAGTAATTTGCATATTTTAAACATATAGTCTAAATTATTGATTCGTTTATTGTGTACTGCAGCTTTTACGCAAGTAAAACAAATTGTCTATGACCAAATCACAATCATAGATGAAATCGCAGTGACTAAAAACTAATCATTTCATCATATGATTGTTATTTAAATGTAGCAATATTTTTTATGTCCTAATAGCTTTAAAACGTCAAAATAGGATTTATCCTCCTCCATCTGTGGCGGACATGACATACGTTAATGACGTAGTATTCTATTCTATAGTCTGTGCAGTATGCATGGAGTAAGTAAACTGTAGGTCGGTACAATTTGCCATTATCGTTGTAAAAGTGTAGTGTGAATCTTAAGAAGTGATTGTGAGTAATTTTACTGTCATAAATAAAATTGTTAACTTCATAGTGCCGTGATATATGTACTTAGTGAAAAATATTGTATTTCACCTTTAAATTCTACTTCCGTCGTCTCATTTTAGACGATAAACTTGTGTTTACAAGTTACAAGAAATTAAGAAAAAAATATGTATTATTTATAACACGATATTTGTGCAAGCAGTATATACTATAGTCTTGGCTAGCTTTATACGTAAGTGAAAACTAGATGATTAAGTTTTATAATGAGTACCGTTGCCTGGGTCGCTTCGAAACAAGCTTTCAAAATATACTTGTTTTGTGAGAGAAACGTCAACTACTTGTATAATTGAATTAAAAATCTCTTATTAATATCTAGTACATAATATCTCTTATTAATATCTAGTTCTTGCGCGTCTTAAATACACTCATTAATATGGCACAATTCCCATTGGTTAGATTTATCTTATAATTATACATTTCTTTTCTCAGGTATTCAATCAATTAAGATGTTGCGCTTCTTAAGCCGGAGAGGTCGTTCATCAAGCCAAAACCGTAATAAACAAACTTTAAAGGCTTCTAGTAACAAGAATTTGATACAATGCAAAGTTATATTACTTGATGAAACAGATTTATCCATAAATTTATCAAAAAAAGCTAGTGCAGGAGACCTGTATGAACAAGTTTTTTATTCCTTAGACTTAATCGAAAAGGATTATTTTGGTCTGCAATTTACTGACACTCACAATGTTAAGCATTGGTTAGATCCAACTAAGACTATTAAAAAACAAGTTAAAATAGGACCTCCCTATACTTTAAGACTCAAAGTTAAATTTTATTCCTCTGAACCAAATAACCTAAGGGAGGAGCTGACTAGGTATCAGTTTTTTTTACAACTGAAGAAAGATATCTTAGAGAGTAAGTTAGAATGTCCGCATTCCACTGCTGTAGAATTAGCTGCTTTGGCACTGCAGTCTGAACTAGGAGATTTTGATGAGAATATCCATACACCCGCTACTGTTTCTGAGTTTAGATTTGTGCCAAATCAAACTGAAGAAATGGAAATAGAAATTTTGGAAGAATATAAGAAATGCAAAGGACTTACGCCTGCACAAGCTGAAGTAAATTACTTGAATAAAGCTAAGTGGCTTGAAATGTATGGTGTTGATATGCACATTGTGCTAGGCAAAGATGGGTGTGAATATCATCTTGGATTGACACCCACAGGCATTTTAGTGTTTGAGGGACCCCAAAAGATTGGCCTGTTCTTTTGGCCCAAAATAAGCAAATTAGATTTCAAGAAAAAAAAACTTACACTAGTAGTTGTTGAAGATGATGATCAAGGCCGTGAACAAGAACATACTTTTGTATTCAGACTTCATAATGAAAAAGCTTGTAAACATCTTTGGAAATGTGCTGTTGAGCATCACACTTTCTTCCGCCTAAGAGCACCTGTCAAAGGTCCTTCTGCTCGACAAAACTTCTTTAGAATGGGTTCAAGGTTCCAATATTCTGGAAAAACAGAATATCAAACAACACAACAAAATCGTGCTAGACGGACAGTACAATTCGAAAGGCGTCCAAGTCAAAGATTTGCACGTCGCCAAAGTCATGTATTGAGAGAACGTGAGAGGCAAAGCACAGCCAAGGCAGACACGACTCAGTCTGAGACAACTGTTGAAATACCTAGCACTTCTTGTGACACTCCAGTTTTGGTACCTGACATTGTTACTATTTCAAGAAAAAGTAGTGCCAAGTCACAGAAATCTACTCTGATCGAATCAGAGTCGAAAGCTGAAGTTGGTGAACCATCAACAAAGAACTTGCTACATGAGGAACCTGAAGCTGAAGAAGTGTTGATTTCAAAAGAGGATGCTATAAGTAACAAAATTCTTTTTAAAATGGATAAGCCTGTTAATGAAGAAAAGAAAAACAATTTAACACAGCTTGTTATCAACAAGCCAGCATGCAGCTGCTCACCTGTCACGGAATCAAACCCTCTAAATGACCTTCTAATGAGCTTGGTTAAGGAGAAGCTAAACAGTGATGATTCTAAAAATGAAGCAAAGAGAGATCAACTAGACTCTGCAAGTGATAAGGAAGTTCCTAATAATCAAACAAAATGCTATCTATCTTCTACTAAGGCATTGCCACCTGGTCAAATGAAGTGCAACAATATTTTGAAAGCTAGAGAAAATGAGGTAAAGATAATAAATGAATCTACGAATATCAATCTTGCTGTACCATCAACACCATCACCTAAAATCCTGAATGAACCTACAAATCCCATTAATTCACAATATGTATCTATTGTGGTTGTCGAACCACCTCATAATCAACCTAAATTAGTTGCACCAAAACCGACAGAAAAGAAAGAAGATGTGATTCCAAAATCCCAACCAATATCTTCCCTGTCACCATGGCTGGTCACATCAGAACCAAGTTCTCCGTCAGGTATGGGTGAGAAGGAGATAACAATAATTCATCGTAAGTCTGTAATTACTACACAATTATAATTCAGTTTTCCAACATAAGTAAAGGTATTTTAAGAAATATATTTGAGTAATATTTTTTATTAAAAGAGAGCATATTACATTATATATCAAATGAATTTATTGTTTAGTGCCTTATAAAAATCGCCTATTACACTGTTAGTTTTAAGGTAGCAAATGACAAGGTTTTTTTTGGTAAACCAAACATCCAAACCAATTAAAAATTTTTGTTTATGTAATAAGCAAGCTGACCTGTGCTAAAATCTGTCAGGTCTTAGCAATCAAAGCCAACCTTGTTGTATCAACACACTTTTACAAACTTTGGCTTTATTTTAAATTTAATTGCTTGTACTTAACTGTTAAGATATGTTTGTACTTAACACAGACTAGTTTTACATTCCTCAATATAGTGTTAGAAGTTGAAGCCAACCAAAACAACACAGCATCTCTAGTAGTATATTTGTTGCCCGGGGAGAAGATATAACTGACTCATCATCATGGACAAGTCACTCGCTTGGTATTATCATTATCTACTAGTAGCAGAGAACTTACTTTTTTCACTTCTTCAGACATTATCTGAACCTCTGACCTTCTAATAATAAACCTAGTGGATTGTGAAACTGCTACCTTGGTATCTGTAAAAAGCAGATTACAAAGTTGTTACGCCTAGTTGCTTATTCTAGTTTCGATCTCCCTCGTTCACTATTAATAATGTATGAGACTTGAGTCAGGCAGCGGTTTTTTTAAATGCCGAAAAACGGCATCAAAAATAAAACAAAAGGAGGTACTTCTTCCACCGTCGACAGTACGTCATTAGGCTTTCTGGTTAATAAAAGTCAGTTAAAAGTATTTTACCGTTTCAGGTAATTTATCTACCGCGTAGATAGTATTAAATTACATTCCATGAAGAGCATTTACTGTATTTGACATAGGTATTCCATTTATGTTATTAAATTGCAACATCAAGTGTTGATGCCTTAATATTTTTCAAGTTTCATCTACATAGGTCGAGGGTCGAGATATATATGTATATAAATATACTTATTTTACATTTTATTATTGCGTACTTAAGAGTTTATGTGAATTTATATGCCGAACATGACATCATACATATATTGATAAAAAGATAATTAATATTGATAAAATATTTTTAGAAATAAGACATGAAAGTACACTGTAAATTGCTTGCAAAAAAAAATGGATTTAAAATGAAACTAGTGTCTTCACTAGTTTTCGTGTTACAAAGTTTAGCTAAGCATGTATTACATATCAACAAAGCCAGCCCAGCTAAAGGAATGGCGTTGAATCGATCATATTACTGTCGTTACTGACGTTGCCTATTTATTATCTTCATTGTGTTGCCTATACCCTTGTTATATATTTAATTAAATATATAGTAATCATATGCAAGCAATAATTAAAAAATCTTTACTAGTTATTAAATCAGTACTTTAACGCAGGCGACTAATAAACATGTACCTCGTGTATATTTTTGTAATCGTCTTTTAAATCCACCATTATGAAATAACTCAAAAGATTTGAGAGAAAAGGAATAAACATAAATTTTGAGAACTAAATCAACCATTTTGATTTTTAAAATTTAAAAATACCCATTGACACTCACAATAAAGACGAATAACATAATAATATTATCCATTAAAATGTGTTCAGCCGTTTACTGGTTAAGAGGAAACGTAGGAAATAAACACAGGTCAAACAAAAAACGGCGTGAGGGGTCTATGGACTTCGCGAAAGACTTTTGCTATAGTGTCGGAAAAAAGTCTTGTCACACATTTTTCGGTTTCGCTCCAATCCGCTCTAAACGTGTAACGCGCGATAAGGAACTTCGTTCCAATAACCCTTATTTTTTTGGGTACTTTTTGTTATTAATCTTTATCTAAATACCAAAAGCTTTTGAGTATAGATACCGCATCGTCCCCTTATCACCTTTATAAATGACCAGAACTGATAACAATATGAGTGAAGTTATGATTCACCGCTTCCACATGAACGCAGTTAATAACTTTAACCTATACATATTATACTTGCAATTTAATATATTTGTGATAATATTTGAAACCGTCCTTTTTATTGTACAATAATTTATAATAATCCACATTTACATAATTCGTTTAGTATTAAGTTGTACAACTCGTCAGTATTAAAATATGAGAAAACTAGCTTGCTAGGTGCCATTAATCACAGCCATCTGTAATACAATCACCACATGATTTTTGTGGATTTGACTTTGAAATGCATTTTGTTAATCCTGGATATTTACTGCCATGTTACAGAACATTAGACATAGCTTTTTAACGTTTACGTTCTATGATATATTATTATGTATATGTGCGTTACTTAACGCGATCACTTAATAGGTACCTATTACAAACCGATGAAGAATCTGAGTCAGAATGTGACTACAACCTGGAGGAAACTCGTATTTGTCATACGTACCTATTCATAATTATATATTAGACATGGAACGAAATAGTAGGTTAGATGACGTACGTACATGAAACTACTAATTTAGTATAGTTTTCTTTTTTAAACTGGTAATTGATATAACACGTCAGGCGGGTAGTTACTGCAATTCTTAAGTAGAAGGCAATGTTAAGTCTAATTTTACCTTGATGTAAAATTAAAGTAACTGCAATTTTGCTTAGTAGCTACCTGTGCTGTATTCCTTGAGGAACTAAACCTCTATGAATATAAAAATTGTACTTATAATTTAGTTAGTATTTTCCTTTAATATGATGTTCGAATATTATAAATATCGTGCCAATTAAGAAATATTATCATGGTGCTTGGGAACAACTTACAATTATGGATTAGAATAGAATCTCGTTATAATAATACAAATGTAATCAAGTCCGTAATTAAGGTGTACAAATCACAATACTGGTATTACCGATGAAGTATTGGATATATTTTTAATACATATAGGTATATAATTCCTTTTTATATGTTTACATAATATGACCTATGTATGTTTAATGCGTTAAGTAAATAGTAAACTGAAACCGTCCACAATATGTATCAGATGCCTTAATTTACAATAACTATAGTATGAGATGTATTTGAGTTAAAAATAACTGCCAGTAATCTTGAGTTCATGTTCATTATAAATATGTATTAATAGTTTACTGTTTATCTTTAGTTACACACCGTGTTTAAATAATTGTCAGTTAATTATAATATGCAAAAGACATCAGAATAAATATTATAATTAAAAAATTAAATAATAATTAGTGTTAAAAATTTCTTACGAGAATAATTTTTAACACTAATGTGGAAGGAAGCACTCCAAGGGTGGGAGTTATCCTTTTAAATAAAATTACTTGTGCTCTTGATTTATGGCGGCTATTATAGTAAGAAAACATTTAATTATAGTAAGATTAAAATTATTATATAAATTCTATATACTTTAGGTATATTATTGTATTGTTTGTATTAAAATTGTAATGATTTTAATAAAATATTTATTTTACTTTACAATGTGCTTATTATTTTATGTACTCTCGACAACTATTTATTATTACTGCGAGTCGTTTACCCCGTCCCGCTATGTCCATTAATAACCTAACCAGAAGGCCAATTTTCTAATAAAAGTTCGGTCACAATTCAGTGTCGATCAACTCGATCTTACAACTGTGATAAAAGGTATTTTCATTTTCATAAAAATACCAAAAACAGGCTCGTGTCGATTGGTGTAAAAAAATGGTTCTAAAGTACAATCAGGGTGCGTCCAAAGGTGTCTATAATATCTACACAGGTGATAAATCTTATATGCGTATGATCCTCAAACTAAACAACAATCAACGGTTTGGGTTTTCCAAGATGAGCCGAACCAACAAAAGCCATTCGTTCCAAAAACACTTTGAAGCAAATGGTCGTTTGTTTTTTGGTATAAATGGACATATGGCTACAGTGCCAGCTCGTGTACCCCCTGTACACGACCTGGTTTGCCAGAAGTCTTTGAAAAAATAAGAAAGAATAAAAGACAACGCAGAATCCTTCTTTATCATTACAATGCTAGCTGCCACACATTGACTGAAACCAGATTAGAGAGCGGATTAAGTATCACAAGCGCCCTAGGCATGCATCTCATCGGCGCCTCCTGATAGTGATAACTGCAGACTTTAGTTAGCACTGCTTTCCAAAATGTTTTTTTTGTGAAACCCCCCTGGGCTGTCACTCCACCGGAGTTAATAGTAGTGCGGTGTATCGGAATCCAAGCAACTAAAATCACACGGTGTGTAAACTGCGCCTGAAATAGGAGAGATCCGATAACAGCTATGACGACGTCCGGACCTTTCGTTATTTGGTGACAAATAGACTCAACTGTCACCACCAGGTCTGAACTTATGCAGGACGGAGGTTATTCCGCGAGCTCCGATGCCTGAACCGCCTGCAGTACCTGCCCCGTTCCCGGGTCTGGCAGACCGGGAGAGTTCAAAGCCTCTTCAGATCTCGATCTGACCTCTCCTTCTCGAGCATAATAAATTGCTCGTAGAAGTAGGTGGCGGAGATCGCACCGAGTTGGGAATCCTTACTCCGATGGCCGTCACGAGGCCACGCCTCTGCTCCATCAACCCCGGGCATTCTAGCAGGATGTGGAGTACCGTGTCACCGCAATGGCACCCAGGCATTGGTTCCTTGCGGATCAGATACAAGTGATCTCCTGAATCAACCGGTATGAAAGGGGCCCGTGTTTCCTCTCGACCTAATTCTCCATAACTGGTTTTTACAAGAAGGGCATCAATAAACTGCCAATGCATTGGCAAAGATGCGTCGATTGCATGGGTGATTACTTTGAATAACAGAAATAAAAAAGTTTGAAAAAATAAGTACTTTCACTTATTGCATACAAAACGGCAATTTCATAGGTAAAGACCTATTATTGTGTAGGTAAGTATAAGCTATACTTACTAACATATTACTTTTTATGTTAGCCATGTATTTTTTAAATCTTCGCGTGCGCCCCTTTGGAACCTCGCGCCCCTAGGCACGTACCTAATTGGGTCCGAGTAGAGGCTATCCTCCCGGGCCCTCTCCGCCGTCTCATCGTCATCGTCGCAAGACGTCATCTCGCAGAAGAATGCCATTGAGCGTATAACGGCCGGTAGCGAGAGATCCCCCCGATGAGTGCAATGAGAACCCGGCGCTACGGCGCCCAGGCCGGGCAAACCTCCCGCTCAAAGGCGCCTCCAGTCGGGACGACCAACGAGCCATCGTGGCTCGGCGAGCGGCCTCACGCCACTAGCGTATCTCTTCGGGCGGGGGCCGACTGCCACTATCCGCCCGGAACTCAGCCGTCCGCCGATATACTTCGGCGAGCACTTCCACCTCGAAATCCCACGGGGGAGTACCGGCAAATACGCACGCCGCCTCTGTCGAAACGGTGCGGTCACCGCGTTTGGCTCTAACCACCAATATCCTCTGAGGGCGCCAGAGGCGTGCCCTATTCTGGGCGGTCAGAGACGTCGTCCACAGTGCCTACTTTGAATTAGGAATAATTCGCTACTGGCTGCAACAACTCAGTATTTGGAAGATCAAAAAATCTAATTAACGGGTCATCCGCCGTACAGCAATGACTTTGCCCCCAAAGACTTCTATGTATTCCCAACCGTGAAGAATAAATTACGTGGCCAACGTTTTTCGAACCTTGAAGAGGCTGTTGATGCGTTCAAAATGCACGTTTTGGAGATACCACAATCGGAATGGAAAAAGTGCTACGAAAATTGGTTCTAACGCATGCAAAAGTGCATCGATCATCACGGCAAATATTTTGAAAACCAATAAAACTATTATAAATGCTATATGTTTGTTTCATGCATACATAAATAGCAGCCTTGTAGTTGTATCAGCTTAGGCCGAACCTGGTCGCGGGTTAGGTTAGGAACTTGAAGAAGGAGCGGCTCTGACCGCCCAGAAAAGGGCGCGCCTCTGGCGTCCCCAGAGGATATTGGCGGTCAGAGCCATACGGGGATACCGCACGGTGTCCACCGAGGCGGCTTGCTCCTTGGCCGGAACACCCCCGTGGGATTTGGAGGCGGAAGTGCTCGCCGAAGTCTATCGGCGAGTGGCTGACTTCCGGGCGGAGAGCGGATTTCGCCCTCCGCCCGAAGACGTGCGCGAGTGGCACGAAGCCGCTCGCCGAGCCACCATGGTCAGATGGTCGTTCAGGTCGTTCACGCGCTGGCTTCGCCGCCGTGGAGGCTCTCCAGCCGGTCATCGTCGAGTGGGCAGGGCGGCAGCATGGGACCCTTTCCTTCCGGCTGGCGCAGGTGCTTTCCGGGCACGGTTGCTTCGGAAAGTACCTGCACTCGGTCGCCAGGAGGGAATTGAGTCCCGCCTGCCACCACTGCGACTGCAGTGAGGACTCGGCCTAGCACACGCTGGCGGTCTGACCAGCATGGGTGACGCAGCGCCGAGCCCTCACTGCAGTCATCGGAGTGGATCTCTCGCTACCGGCCGTAGTACGCTCCATGGCCGGTAGCGACAGTTGTTTTACCGCGGTCGCAACCTTCTGCGAGGAAGTAATCTCGCAGAAGGAGGCGGCGGAGAAGGCCCGGGAGGACGACCTCCACTCGGACCCGATTCGCCGCCGGCGAACCGGGCGGCGGAGGCGCGCTTACCTGCGCCTCATGCCGCCCTGAGTGTGGCCGCGGGTGGACGGGATGAGTTTTCCCCTCCACTCGCATTAGTTTGGCCAGCCGCGAGGGGGCGGCGTCCGCGTGTGCCGGACGTCGCCTAAAGAGAGGGTCCACTGAGACGGAGCCCGCGCCAGGAGCGGGCCGGCGCTGGGAGGGGTCCAGAAGGCGATAACAACCTGGACCCCTCCCTCCCACAGGTTTTTTTTCAGGTGTTTATTGATTTTACTGTTTTAATGGCCGTAAATGTTAATATCAATGAACGAATTACTATGTACTCTTTTCTATTCTCATATCTATTTGTTAAATTCTTGTTACCTCAAACTGGCCATAGCGGTCGTATTATACGAAACAATTTGTTTGGCGTTACCTAGGGGAAATTGAACCAGTTGTGTGGTGGAAAGGTAGGTATGCAGTTCTATAAAATTAAGTAAAGTGGCATTGAGAAGTCTGACGACACCATGTACATCTGCAGCCATAGAACGCACATTTAGCGCTCATGCTCCCATACATAATGTAAAACGTAATCGTCTTAGTAAGCTCGTCGTAAGCTACTAAAATAACGTTTATCTTATTTGCCTCGGTGGTGCACTGGTAGCGTATGTGACTGCTGTGCCTAGGTCTCGGGTTTGATTCACGGGTCGGACCCTGATTTGCAAATATTTGTTTCGGAGTTTGGGTGTTATCTATTTATAATATGTATGTATTTACAAAAAAATATATATGTAAGTAGTGTATCAGTCAATCTACCTATACGAATGCATAACCATCGATGAACCGTTCAATGAGACAACTCCTCAGGGAAATTTACCGGTTATAATTGACGTAATGAAGGTGACGTCGACGCATCATCTTAATGTACCTATAGCAACAAAACGAGATTATGAATTAGAATTCGTCGTTTCAGACAATTCTGAGAGTGACTGATTTATATACTGGATGTTCATTTTGTACATAAAAATATTAAAGTTGCTTGTGCCACGTTAAATCCCTTACTTCGGAAGTCTAGAAGGAACGACTGTGAACCATCAGATAAGGTGATCACTAGCGTACGGCTGCCCCCTGTAGCTATAGAGGGGAGCTCCCGTCTACGTCACACATAAGTGCAGGACAAGAATTATTGTTCAAGAAAACGGCAAATTCATGACGTACATATATATCACGTTTATGATTTTGTCTATTGTGTATGTAATACTATTTGGTTATATTTTTAAACCAACCCAATAATATTATTTATGTAAACAAGTTCAATTGTTTCCTTGTTGACAATTGATGTCATACAATACCTACACACTCTGATCAATGAAACTGCAAATAAAAGTTACATATTTTGAATAATATATAGATATACACAATGGCATCTAGCTCGACATCGACAACGTTATCTGAGAGTGGTTATATTTTCTCACCCAAGCGATATTACATTAACAATTTGGACAGTTACCATGGGGCGTATATAGTAAAAGAAATTAGTAAAATAATAGCGGAGAAAAACGTGCCATCTCCGAAACAATCTTCACGAACATTGGTCGGAGAAGATGTTCAAGTGCCTTCATTTACTCCACCTGAACAACCTTATGAGATTATAGGTAATAGGGTTAATTGCTTTTACCTTGTAATTTATTTCAGTTACATATTTAGTATAATAATAGATATACTGAGCTAAAGAATACCTAGGCAAGGTTACTAGGTAAGTGTTGAACGGACGAAGGTCAAGAGTTCAAGTTCAGATAACAATAAGATAGGGGAAACCATGTAAGGTGCCTACGGTTTTTATTTTAAGTCCTAAATAGCCATTTAAAGATCAGAACAGGGTCAGTGATACTACAGTATAATACATATATCCCGACCTTAATTAAGATAAGTATATTAATGTAAAAAAGTTACAGACCCATTCCTTCCTGGGCGATTTTTTAAAATAAATCAGTTGAAAAATCTTAGTAGCACTAGAATTTCTAGAATAGTACCTATCTAGAGATGTACTATAGCCTATTCTTGAAAATATATTTACCAAAGACCATACATATTTCCCACAGCAGGTAAGTAATACCGTATCTTCCATAAACTTTGGCTTCTACATTCAAAACTAATATCACGGCTCACACTGAATTTTAAAGTTTATACTTTATACTAGCTGTTACCCGCGACTTCGTCTGCGTCGAACTACTACTTCGGGTAAATTTGTTTGTAGTGAATAGGCTCTGAAACTATACTGGACCGATATTAATGAAGCTGGTATAAGGATACATTGAATCATTAGGAGTAACATAGGTAGACTTTAGGTAGACCCCGATCCCTGACTTTTGCGGGTGAAACCATGGGGCAACTTATAAGGTAGGAAGTACTTAGTTTAACACGTTTTTGTATACAACATTTTTTGTTTTTCCTTCTTTGGTCAAAACATGTAGGTTTTGTGGACTCGATACTCGTGAGCACGCCACATACAGTTGCCCATCGGAAAAACAGTTTTTTTTCCAAATGTACACCAGCTGCTTTGAGTGTCTGTCCTTGAGCTTTGTTGATCGTCATAGCGAATGATGCTTTCAGGGGAAATGGTACTCTTTTAAATTGGAATGGCAAATCGGTAAGGATTATTGGAATACGGGGAATTAATACTTCTTCTCCCTTTGCTGTTCCTGTCATAATTATTGCTCTCACAATATTGCGTCCCAGGTGTGTAATTTGAAGCTGTGTGCCATTACACATTCTTGGTGCGTCAAGATTTCGCATCAACAGGACCGGGACACCTACTTTTAGCCTACTTTTAGCCTCAAGTCTTCAATCTGACATTAATACAATTACTAACTGGTGTGATAAGAACTCTTATGTCCCTTAATATTAAAAAATGTCAGGTCATCACATTCACAAAAAACAAAAACCCGCTTAATTACATGTACCAAATTGGGGGTGTTGCACTGGAGAGAGTTAAGGTGGTTCGCGATTTAGGGGTGATTTTCGACTCTGCCATGTCGTTTAGACCTCATTACGACTATATTTGCAGTAAGGCAAACCGAATACTATCTTTCGTATTTCGGAATGCGAGACCTTTTAAAAAAGCTAGCTCATTACTAACGTTATACTACTGCCTGGTAAGAAGTTTACTCGAGTATTGCTCGTCTGTATGGATGCCTATCTACAATGCTCACATAGAAAGAATAGAAGCAATACAAAAGCGGTTTGTGAGAGCAGTATGTTTTAAGTTTGGCTTGAAACGAAAATTAAAAGATACTCTTTTATAACGATCGACTTAAGGAGTTTAAAATGGTCACGCTGGAGAAAAGGAGATGGATGAGCGATTTGTGTACCCTACACAAAATTGTGAAAGGTTCCCTAGATTGTCAACTTATTGATATGTTGAACTTCAAGACGCCAACGCGATCTGTGCGCACACCACAACTGTTTACTATACCAACTAGCAACAACAATGTATCACGCAACAATCCGGTTTTTCGAACGTGTAGTCGTTATAACGATATATGTTCTCAAATAGCTAATTTTAATGATAGTATAAATGTATTCAAGTGCTTTTTACTTAAATCTGAAATGTATAAACCCATCAATGTAAAATTATAGTAACACATTTGTAGATATAACTAATTAGTCAATTTGCTGCATCTCATTTTCTTATTTAATAATCTTTTTTTGCGTTTGTTTAACACCTAATTGAAGCTCTATCACCGCGATTGTGAATGATGTGTATAGTTTTATAGTTATAGGACTTCAGATTTGAAATTATACGCTGTTACTTATTACTGTGTGAGGCATGATCTGTTGTCTGTAACTGTACCAAATAAGTAAAAATAAAATAAAATAACTTATGGGAAGGCATCCCCGATAATTCTAAGGAGTTAAGAAACTCTACAGTTAACGATGTCACTTGCTCAGTGTCCATGACATTGTCTACGGACAGGAACTCAACGATAACGTCTTCCACATCCGACATGATTTGTTCGTTGATCTGCCCCACTATTTCGTTTGTCGGTGCTAAAATTGCTCTTTCACACAGCCATTATCTGTTCCTCATATTGGTTGGAAGATCTGAATAGACGTTGTGCTTTAAGTCATCTATGTTACAGACAACATTACAAAATTCACGTTTTAATGTAATCATACCGTCACTATTTGTTTCCATACGATCTTCTCCAATTTTGAGAAGCCGCATATTGCCCCAATTGAGCATCACTGTGCAGTTGTACTCGCATATTTGTAGTTAGACAAAAAAAAATTACATGCACCCATAATGGAGATGCTTTTAAACATGCATTTATTTCATCTGCGCCGGCGTGCCCCTAGTAATTACCGACAGAGTCTGTCTAAAATCGCCAGCTAAAAGTACCACCATACCACCCACGATACTTTGGTTAGTCTTGATATCTTTTATGGTCCGATCTAGTGCTTCTATCGCTCTTTTGTGGGACATCGTGCATTCATCCCAAACCAATAGCTTGCATTGCTATAACATTCGCCCGTTTTTAGTAATGTTACAAACTGGCATTTCCTCATGAGCTAAGTTCAATGGCAGTTTAAGTACTGAATGTGCCGTTCGGCCACCATTGAGTAACGTAGCAGCTATTCCAGAGGAGGCTACAGCAACAGCAACTCCTTTACCTTTACGAATTTGGTCTAAAAGCCCTTTTTTCGAATTAAAAAGTAGCCTATGTCCTTTCTCAGGTTCTAGACTATCTCTGTACCAAGTTTCATCAAAATCGGTTTGGCGGTTTAGGCGTGAAAACGTAACAGACAGACAGACAGACAGAGTAACATTAGTAAGTAATATTATTAGGGATAAAACTGGTTTTGTATTTTTATACTTGCCTCAGCTTTACATAGCCTAAACACTTAAGTACATACAAGAAATATCTACCTAGATTCAAAAGAAAAGAAACGTTCTTTAACAGGTACAGTAACTAACCCAAAGCTCAAGAGTATAGACAACGTGGCGAGATTTGTACCGAAAGAAGAATGTGTACCACAGATGTTGACGTGCGGAACAGTTATTCTGGACATAAGTTACGACAGAGATGAGCTTAAAGTAGCAATGGATTATATGAATGGTACGGCAATATCTTATTTTTTTACACATACCCTCTTAACTTAAAGTGATTGATAGATGACACGATCATTAAGGGTTGTTCTTAAATTTTAACTGCTAACACAGCATATTAATTTGTTTAACTCGAGCCAAGTTCTTTTTGTTGTCTTTACTTCTGTCTCTCATACTCCACTCATAAAGCCAGTTGATTATTTTAAAACGGAATTGCTTTGAACGTCTCTATGCCAATTTCATTACATTCGGATCAACTGTTTATTTTATAAAATTTTGATTTGATGTTTAAATTGAAAATTAAGTGTTTAGAGGTCAACAATTTTTTGTTTAAATTAAACTTGTAAAAAAAAACGTCGGGAGGTGTCTATGGACCCCCGGTCAGAACGAAGTATAGCAAGAAATGTCTGAAAAAGTCTTGTAACACATTTTTCGGTCTCGCTCTTATCGGCTCAAAGCGTGTAACGCGCGATAAGGAACTTCGTTCCAAAAACATATAACGGTTTTCACTATTTACAGCATATACTACATTTTAGCAGCATTCATCACAATAATTAGAAATTGTACTTACAGTGTTAAATGAACTAATAGAAAAACAAAAACCTCCGCCCAAGGATGATGACGATGAGCCCACTGCCACTACGGCCGTAGATACAGATAAACGTATATTGATACTGATATCTACCGTCATGTCGTGGGGCAGTACTAAACCCATGGATCCAGTAAGAAATCCTGATGTTCATTCTCAACTTTACGTTATTTGACTATTCTAATATATTATTTCTAGTTTTCATTGTTACACCTAATATTTTAGGACTGATTTCTCCAACTATCACATGTCATTGTGTCATATAAATCATTTATTCATACATTTCAAGCTAGAATAGCCACATCGCATTTTCTTTTGTTTATTTAACTAACCGTGCCTAATCTATGTCTTTTTTTCACTTGAACGGTGTATCGATAGTTTTTATTGATATACCGATTATGTTCATTAGGATAACCCAGATATGCCATTCATCGAATTGGATTTTCGTAAAAGAAAGCCACATCCTAATTATAAGATGCACTATGATATTGAAAATGAAGTAATCGGCGTTGCCAGGAAGTATAGGTCACAGATTGGGTATGTTTGTGCACGTAAATTCTTCTAATTCTAGTATACTCACTTAGCAGTTAAAATAGGCTTAAAATGTACTGTGACTATCTAAAACAAAACATAAAGATAGTGAGTAAAGCAAGGTAAAACACGGCTAAAACTCAAAATCGCTCTATAAGGGTATTGATAGAGCCCTAAAAATCACAATTAATGAAATATTTATGTATTTTTCTGTACATTATGTATTACCTGGATAGTTGGCGCTCCACTACTGTGCGCTTTTCGAGACAATTTTTCCCCCTCACAACCAATCTGTGGAACGGGTTATCGTCTGCGGTATTTCCGGACCGATACGACCTTCAAGAAAAGAACGTACTCCTTCCTAAAAGGCCGGCAACGAGTTTGTGACTCCTGAGTTGCAGACGTTCATGGGCGAAAATGGTCACTTTCCATCAGGCCCGTCCGTGACCCGTCTTCTCGTCTGCCCCCTCTAACATAAAAAAAAATCCTGAAAGGACAGGCCAATGTGAAATTCTCATTTTGCTAGTTATATTTGGATAATAACATTAAAAATAATAACTAGACTACTGATCTCTCATTCATGCCAGGGCCAAAACATAGGTAATCCAGCTTCTCACCTAATTGATTTCTGAAAACTAAACTCTTGGTCTGTTCAGAGAGTTAGTTAAACCCTCATTAGAAACTTATTAAAAACTTAGTTAAAAGAAAAAACCTTGTAAAATTTAATGTAAAAATTAAAAACACATGCTTTAACTTGTAATAAAATTATTCTTCGACAGAGCTTTGGTAATAGCGACAGGAGTAACGTACGGAGGACGAGAGGACGTACTATTCTATTGGTTTCAAAAGGCTTGGGAATGCGAACCTGTATTGCCAATTTTAGGTCGTGGAAGGAATGTAATACCTTTAATTAATGTTCTCGATTTAGCAAAGTTAGTACCTGTTACATATATCGGTACATATACATAATTTACTAGTTACCTTATAAAAAATATTCTTTCTATATTCTATTTAAAACCATATAATAAGTTGAACAAAGGACAAAGAGGTGGAAGGAAAGGCGACAGGTGGAAAGGAAAAACAAATAAAACGCCGGTTTAGTCTAAAATGAGTTTTAAATACAGTTTTATAGAGATCTCTATCGAACTTTATAGTATAAACCTTTCTATCTGTTTCCATCGCCACATATCATATTATGGTACAAAAAATACTTGGTGGATCTAATTATGATAGATTTATAGAACTCTATTCGTATAATCGTTTTTATTTTATTTTGTTAATCGTTCACGCTTGCAGAATTGTGTACAATTTAGTTGTGGACTTTCCAAGGAAGCTTTACATTTTAGCAGTTGAACAAAACGTCACAAAACAAAGAGAGGTATGTGAGCACTTCACATTGTTATTTAGATAAATGTTCTTATCAGTGCGGCATGCGCTAAACATGTTCCGCCTTGCAGATAGTGAAACCACTCGGACGTGCGATTGGTTCTGGAATGTTCAAATGTATATCACCGGAAGACGCTTTTTTGATTCCAGAAATAGACGTATGATTTACTTTTATTTCTTGATTTACTTTCAAAAAGATCCTCAGTGCAATTTTTTTAATTTTATAACTTTTTTGTAAATTTTGTAGCAAAGAATCTTTGACCTTATGACTTTAAACTTAAATATGGAGCCAACTTTCATAGTTGAGACTATGGGACTGCAGTGGACATCGGAATTGACTTTTGGAGAAAATGTACCGACTCTTATGAAGCAGTTCAAGAAAGAGAGGACATTAAAACCATTTAAGGTAGATACTGCATGCAACAACAGCTTCTGTTATTTTAAGTCTTAAAATAATGGACATAAATAATTGACTTAAAATATATTTTTTTAAATTCCTAATTATTATTACGTGCTATCCTTTATATTATTTATTGTTTAAAGCTTATGTTTATATTAATTTGATACTTCATCTATCTAAGCGTTCCTGAATAAAATTGTTATGAGTTATGATTTATGGCGTACAATGTGAAATGATCATGTAAGGATTAGAAAGGAAGGACAGAGTTACCATGAAAAGTTTAAAATAGTTAAGTTATGTTCTCAGATTCTCGTATACGGTCCTCCAATTGTGGGCAAAACTACATTAGCGAAGCTTATTTGCCATAATTACGGTCTCGTCTACATTTCTCCAGAAACTGTCGCCCAAGACCTACTTTCGGATTTAGTTAGTACCTTACTTTTAACATTTATATTTTTTTACATTGAAGAGAACTTATGACTTAGTAGACGAAGTCCACAAAGTAGTGAGGTCTGCGGACACAATCAGTAGGTACTTGCCATTAATATATGTCAATACAAATAAGAATAGAGAGTTCATTTAGTTAAATGCTTTTAATTAATAGTGTTATGCCTCAAATCTTTGTAATGATAATTGACATTAAGCTCATCATACAAGAAATAAATACTATTAGAGCAATAAACGTTATAAATGTCTGTTTAAATATACTGATTTTGTATTATTGAAATTGTCCCATCACCTTATAAGCTATAAACTAAATTTTTTAGGTGAATCTTTCGTCACGTGTACAGGCGTTCAGCTATCAAAGCTTCGCTTTTAAACGGGACCATAGTTGTAAACTTTGGCGTCATAAAATTACAAGTTTTTATTAGTACCTACTCCATTATGTACTCGTAGTGAGAGAATAGTATTTAGTAGTGTTTCATTGCCATTTAGGTACTTCCAGACCATCAACATGTAAACCACCACATGGCTTAACACACTACTCATATTGATAAAATGCTATTGATTACATTCAATTCCAATTCATATTGATTATAAGTTTAAATGACAAACTAGTAATAATAAAATATTGATTTTATCTATTTCGTATAGGTATACAGTTTGTCATTTGTTTTGCTGTAACTCCCGTTTGCTGTAACGTTAAAAAATCAAAGGATTTAATTTAACTTTGCTCCTACCACAACAGAAAGGGTGCTTAGGAAAGGGAAACTTCGCTCGTATATATCAATAGCGAATAGTGTCTTGTCTCAATACCGCCCTCCATCCTCCTCCAAAAAGATGTTTTTTTTTTGCCGGTAACCATTTTGTTTCTGACGCATGATCAAAGATTTCATTAGTAGGTGTTATCGTGTCTTTATTTTCGGGAGCATTTCCCAAATATCCTGTATACACAGGCGTGGCGTGTCAATCATTGGGATGTTGGTGAGACGGCAGCGTTGGCTCCACCCACCGGTGAAGAAGAAGAGCCGGTCGATGAGGATGATGATGCTGAAGACGAGGATGCGCAGGCTGTAGTGCGACAAACACTAAGTATTCTCCAGTCTGGACGGGCGCCTACTGATGAAGAGATCATGGGGTTAGATTTAATAACTTTTTGTAGATAGACTTGATTTATGATGTAATTCAGACAAGCATATATGTGTAAGATAGTACTAGTAAATCGGCAAACATAAGGATCGTTAAATCCAGTGTGAATATAACAATAAAAATTAAATGTACAATGTGACATATGTGTCTTCTGAAATTCAGATTTAATTTTTTATTACCTATAAATAATTAAAATAAAGTAATAAAGCTTTTAAAAGAAAATTTATTTTAGATACTTGCGACAGAAAATGTTGTCTCGTGATGCTATAAACAGAGGATGGGTTCTTGATGGATTTCCCACAAATATGGCACAATGCGCAGCGCGTAAGTGAACATAGTTCAAATCATTTAATTCTATCTTCATCTAATTTAACGTACTTCAACGTTAACGTCAACTTTATCAAAATTATGGCTGAAGTCTAATAAATCAAGAACAGACGGTTTAACGTTATCCATTTCTGACTTTACATTCCTCGTAATTAGTTATGTGCCAGATCGTTAAAAATATTTATCCACGGACACGGATTAGTAGAGTCTAGATCCGCAAGTACGGATACGAAAAATGCATATCTTTTCTTGTTTTCTTTTAGTTGTTAGCTATACGCGTGATTTTGAAACGACAAATGAAGTTCAGCACTAAAACATAATGACATATTTTCGTGCTTGGGAGAATGTTATAATTTTTTTCAACACACTTATCATAGAGGTTTAGAGTTTGATCTCGTAATCAATCATATCATCAGTAATCCACAATATTGATTGACAAAACAAATCTACAATTTCCATGTAAAAGATTCGCTTAAAATCTGCCTAAATGTATCATATGGACACGAATGTTTTTACCCTCGAATATGCGCAGACACCGGTATAAATCTGGTATCTCCGGCAGATACGGCGGTAGATACGGCACATCACTGCTTATATTATACCAATATTAAACAGTTTTGGGCTTATCTGTACTAATATAATAAAATTGAAGAGTTTGTTTGTTTGGTTGAACGCGTTAATCTCAGCAACTTCAGTTTTGAATTGTAAATACTCTTTGTGTTGGATTGCCTATTTATCGGGGAAGGATAGGAGCAGAGCATCAATTAAAATATAGCAAAAACAGGGCAAATTTAGTACTTTTGTAAGACACAGATGAAGTTTTGCGGATTGCTGGTATCCAATATGAGTAGGTAATAAGTCTCGAGCAAACTGAACAATTTCTTAATATCTTATTTCATTGTTTCAGTGCTTGAAATGCACTTCTTCTCCCCTAAATATTACAAAAGTCGTTTAACAAAGTCTAACATATTTAGTTCCTTGATATTTTTAGTGTTTGAGAAAGGCGAAGAACAAGATTCTGAAAGCGCTGACGGAGCAGAACATGAGCCTTTTGATGAAGATGTTGATTTGTACAGTAACGTATTGAAAAAGCTTTTGCCAGGCTAGTATAGTTTATCTTAAATTTTGTTGTTTAATAAACCTCTTACTTTCCTAAGTTTTCATTATGACTTATTTAGTCATTTTGCTATTACAGATATCGTTGTATCGCTAGAAGCCACTGACGAATTTTTATGCGATAAAGCAATGCGACAGCCTGAGGGAGACCCTAGGTTTGACGAAGAGACCGTTTTAAAGAGGTTGAATGACTTTCGCTTCGCTGATTCACGTGAAACTACTCCGTTGAACTTTTTTGACGAATTGGATATACATCCTTTAGTCGTACCCGTAAAGGAACATCAAGATTATGATATGAAACTTTCATACCATAACGTAGAACTGCGTATGGGTCGCCCATGTCGCTATGGTAAACTCCTTGGTAAGTAATACACTTATTGGGTAGAGAATAAAAGTAGGTTAAAATTCAGAAAAAAACAGTTTTCTCGACCCTGTTAATAGTATGACACAAGTTAACATTATTAGTCAGGGTGAGATGATTATAGCCAGTGACGAAATTACAAATCGCGTGATAATCCCTGCAAGGAAGGCTTATAGGAAAACAAAAAATACTCCCTCCATCTCACCGATCGTCGTCAATGGTTCAGTTATTCCATTCAGTCCTGTCCTCAAAGACCTGGTTTAAATAAAAAAAATGCTTTCGCCTCGTACTCCAAACGGCTACTAAAATAGTAAAACTACCTACTGCCTAGATGCATCTTTTTGACGCGAAGCGACCAGCACCAAGTGACACCACTTTAGTTTACGAGCGTTCATAGATACCGATAGCTAGTTACTAATTTGTAGTAGTTTTTTAAACAACAGTGTAGTATAAAAAATCTGAGATGGAGATTATCGAATACCTAACAATGTGAACGTAATAGTTACATAAAAAACGTTTAGTAAGTAGAAAGAAAGTATTGTTAAACCCTAAACATATTATGTATGCACATAAAAAGTGATAAATTCTAGCCTACTACTTACTTTATTCGAATTTATTTAATCGAATCACCAAATACGATTCTTTGTTAACATTACATGATGATTATATTCACACAAATTGCTGTTTATTATTTAGGTCTTATTGAAGCAGCGGAAAAGAAGGAAAAAGAAGAACGTAAATTAAGAAAAGCAGCTGAAACGAAAGCTTTAGAAGCTCTTGAGCGTAGCCTAAAAGAGGAACGAGAAGAGAAAATGGAATATTGGGTAATTGATTCTCATGATCTATGTAAAAAAAGTAAATTTCATTGGTGAGTGTTGTTATGAAAATTCGTCCCTATTTGTTTTTTTTACATTTAGACTGAGTTGTATGCATTACTTCGAGAGGAGGAAGAGGCTGCGTTAGCGGCAGCTGGCGAACCTATGCGCAACTATCTTATTCATCACATCTTCCCCACATTAACCCCTGCTCTTCTCGAAGTCGCTAAATTACGCCCAGAGGACCCGGTAGACTTCCTCGTAAGTATTTATTTTCCGTACTATTTAAATCCTCATTCATTCTAGTTGTAAGCTTGCTTTAATTTTCATTTTACTACTTTACTGTATCTTGTTGTTAATTTAATAATACTAGAGTCTGGTATTATAGAATTAATAAGCTACGGTACCCTGGTCTCAACTTGACTGCCCGCAATGGTACAGTGGTAGGTTATAGTCGTAGCCGCAAAAGTTCCAATATACTGTATAAAATTGGATCCAGGATAAAAGAATATTACTATACCAAAAATCTATCTACAATACGGTACTTGACTATAATGAAAATGTACAGAATGCTGTTAGTCAGACACTAAACAAAGTTTAGGTATTTTTTTTAAATTGAATAGAATATTTTAAAACATGTACCTATATTTTTATTAAAGAAAAATGAAATTATGAATGTACTTAACTAAAATTGAAGACGCATGGAATTCAATGTGAAGGAACGTCAATTACTTGTTGACGGTTAATGTTTGCGATGCATGCTTTTTAGTTTCAGTGTTACTTCTCTGTTTTACTAGTTAAATAGGTATATACTGCCGAATTTAATATGTGAAAACAGTATACGAGAGGTGTTTGAAAAGTTCGTTGCCTAACGTAGAAATATATATATATATATATCCTTATTTTAAAGCTACATTACTCAATAGTAACGTCATAAAATATCAAATCCACACGCGATCCGGTCGAACAAGTAGACGTAACAATTATTCAAAATGAAAAAAATCGAGTGCCGTGCAGTGATTAAGTACTGGAATAATATAACTAACACCTGAAGAAATTAAGGAAGACACGTGAAAAAAATTAGTGGCGGAGTTCAGAGCGGACGTGCGAGCGTTGAAAATGCCCTACGTACTGGTCAACCATCAACACCAATCACCGACGACAATAACACTGAAAAAAATGGTGTCATGATTTTATCTGATCGGAGATTGAATAAAGATAGCTGACTCTATTGGTATCTCAACTGAACGAACACATCCAATTATCACTGATGAATTACACCTTTTCAAGATGTCTGCGCGATGGCTGGCTCAGCTGCTCTCAGTTGAACAAAAACGCGTTCGACTGACGATTTCCCGATTGTTAGATGTTATTCCTATCCCGTAATGATTAGAGCTTTTTATAGCTGACCCACAAGAACTTTTTGCAAAAGATTGAGACCATAAAATTACAGTACAAACAGAGGAAAAAATCTCTTGTTCCTGGAAATTAGCTTTATCCACTGGAAAAGTAGCGGTCTCCGTTTTCTCCGTTTATAGTTGAATACTCAAAAGTGAAACTATAAACTCTAATTACTATTGCAATATGCTGCGATGCTTCAGAGATTTTTTTTAATAAAAACGTCCTGGTTTTGCTGAGAAGAAAAGTTTTGTTTCAACAGGATAATGCGCGAGGTCACACATCAGTTGAAAGCATGGTAGTAATCCATTGGTGTGGCTTTGAATTATTATTGTTACCTCACATCCTGGCCTGCAACTGTCTATGTCTATGACCCCACAACTGATCTAGCTCAATCACACTTTTATCAAATTTAAAGCGTAAAAACCACTTGCACGTCTAAAATTTTACACAAATGACAAAGGTGTTGTTAGCGCATTTTTGAGGACTTAGATTAAATTTTTGAAGATTATAGAAACGTTGCCTATAACTCATGGGAAAAGTGTATTGAACTTAGACAAGAATATATTGAAATATTAAGTAATAAAAAAAATATATAGCTTTTCATTTTCCTGGCCAGGCTATGAACTTTCCAAACGCCCCTCGTAAGTATGATCCTGTATATTCTAAAGTCTATTTATAAATGATAGAATAAATAAGAAAATTCCTTAACAAGTTTACCTAGTTCTTACTTTAGTAAACATTTAAGTTAATGTTGACGAATTGATCTTTAGATGCTATAAATAACTGTTATTTTCATGATAAATGTATTATTTGTTCACCTATTTGTTGTAAACATTGTGCCCTTCTGATGTCTCGAGCGAGCTGTAACCACTGTTAATGAATCTTTTGATTATGCGTAATTGACGTCAGTACGAAACGTAATTTAAATTTCAATAGCGAATATTGCAATTCACAAAAAAAAATATGAAACTAAGGTTTCATGCGAAAATATGAATAGTTAAATACCCTTTTTACAGTCACCCCCTATAAAAACTAAACTAACTCACTAACTTTTTAATTTTTAATATATTTTTTTTTACAATCATCAGGGAGATAATCTAATCAAATTGAACCCTCATGCTAAGAAGCTCGATCCGAAATTGAGAAGACTCATTGAAACTTTTTTAAGTAGACAAGGTGCTGCTAATAGTGGCATTAACATATGTAAAATTGAAAAAGATGTAACTCATGTGACGGATAAAGATAAAGATGATCTTGAAGTTGTAAAGCGTTTGATGAAATAAAGTGAACCAAACTAAGCTAAATGGCCTAGTTTAATTCACTTGAATATGTGTTACATGTCTCTGAAAATTGTTGAAAATGTATCATTGATTTTTCATTAAAAAACATAATTATGAAATTTAGGATATGAATAAAAACATCAGTTGAAAGGATAAGCAACAAGGTAAAAAAATCGATAAGTCAAAATGTACTTTTTTCATATTTCAACTTTTGGTGGCTGATTTAACTGTTGTCGGTCTTTTACTGTAAAGTTGTTTACTTATTTGTTAGAGGAATTGTAAATTATACTATTTACAGGTTAGTCCCTACTTTTGCAAAAATGAATGTGATGTTGGTCCTGGGGGCCTATTGGTCTAGTGGGCAATGATCCCAACCTGCTAAGCCAGAGGTTGTGGGTTCGATTCCTACCTAGGACAATAATTTAATTGTGTGACGATCATTTGTTCTGCGCCTAAGTATAATTTTACTATAATATGTATGTATTTAGCACTATAAATATGTTTATCAGCAGTCTGATTATCACAGTACAGGCTCTGCCTAGATGTTTGAGGTTATTATTATACTCGTACTTAATTAAATATACTTACATAAATATTTGTATTTGTTTAGTTTCATTATGTTTTTACTAATTGTTATATTAATATGAAAAACCTATTTCTTGCTTTTAAAATAAAATATTTTTAAATTGAAATGATTTGTGACTTGAACCTTTGAATATATTTCCTCTTTTATGTAAAAACCATATCATAGCTGACAGACTGTCAAAAGTTATTGGTCTGATACAGTCCACTAGAAAAAATAAATATATATATATTTCTTAGAACTTTCTTTTGGACTGGCGTAGATTAATATCCATGCAGCTTAATCAACTTAAAGTCATATTTATCTTTAATATCCTAATAATTTAACAGCCTGTTTTGCTTTGATTGACGTCAAAGTGTTTGAGAGCTAGGGACAGGTGTTTTTTTTTCTTTGTGGTTTATGTAGGAAAGTGTCTGTACTATTTTCACCGCAATTTTTACGTTTTTCCTCCATAAGAACGTTCATATAAGTATTATTAAAGTAGTAAAGTATTATTAAGACTAGCAGAATACCGATTCATCTTTCAGTCACAAAACGATTTGTCTTATCACATAGGGGTACCATTCTAACGTTGAATGATAAATACTTTATTACAAGATTTTATGAATTACCTTTTCTGACATTTCATTGATCAAGGGTATACTAAAATTGACCTTCTGTGCCCACTTACATCTATACAATCATTTTGACACATTTATTCACTCACCGCATAAAATACCAACGTATTATAACACATGGAATAACTTACTTATATGACACTTAATATTCAATCAAAGCGAGACAGGTAGATACCTCCTACATCACATATTTATATTTATTTTATATAGTGGAAGGGACCCTCCCTTTCAATTACGTACGAAAGAAAGAAATGTAGTGATATGAATGATGTTTTGTTTGATGATCATCAGGCGGAACAGCTGTTCAAATTGAATCCGAGCGGTAAGATGCTTGAACCAGGATATAATTTACAAGCAGAGAAGTTATTGGGCAAAATTAAAATCCTCGACGACGCTATCAAGAATCTTGACATCAAAATCGAACCGCTTTTTGTTGAAGTAGAGGATACTTCTCAAAGTAGTTCTGCGGCAGCGGCTATTGCCAATAAACTAATGGGACCTTTATAACGTTGAGTATCGATCTAACCAAGTAATTAATAAACTTTTGTTAATTACCTTATTACTGAAAAAGTATAGCAATAGTTTAATGAAGTTTCTTGTACTTGAAAATAAAATAAAAATTACATAGCTTGTTTGCTTTAGTTTAATATATTTTATAAATATGTATTAGAGAAGCATCGAATAAAAGCCGGTTCTATTGGAAACAAATGTATTATAAGCAGTTTACCAGATTTTAAAGTAAAAGAAATAAATTTGTTATTATCTTTGCACTCGGGCGTTGGATGTCAACAGGGTGGTCCTTTGAGACCAGTTATATTCAGTCTAGCAATACACTCTGTTATTTAGCAGGTAAAGTCTAAATTTAACAGTAGGTACTTTGACGATGGAACTCTAGGAGGGGAAATAGATACAGTTTTAGAAGATTTATCTTTGAAAACTAAAATTAATTTTAATCCATTGGCTTAGAACTCAACTCTGACAAATGCGACATTTTTATTCGTGGCAATACGGTCTTAGAAGTTGGTTTTCAAGCATTCATAAAGGCCAAATTAAATTGTTTGGTGATTTTCGGATCATGTACTTAAAATTAATCTCCAATCGGTTTTTATCTTTTTATACCTAAATTTACACATGCACCTCTGTCATCCCCATTTTGGAAACATTCATCACTTTTACCGACAAATTATTCAAAACACCCTTAGTAAAGGTTTGAATATGGCTTAAAACGATCGAGCCTCTTTCAGCATTCTTACCAGTTCGTTTGGGTGGTCTTGGAGTACGCAAAATTATAGATCAGCCTTCCAGCATTTTTGTCTTCGGTCCATGGCACAGAAGAGTTAACCAGGAAAATTCTAATAAAGACACTGGTTGATTCTAAAGAGTTTTGCACGGCCGACCCCATAGTTGCTTAGTGCATAACTTATCCTGTTGACCTTGTTGGACGATCTATCGTCTGTTCGTGAACCCAATGGTCTGGTATGAGACGATGATGGAAAAGACCAGACGGTATGACTTTGCTGCCATGAAAGATGGGTAAGCCTTTGGTGTGGGACGCAAGTTGCGTCGACACCCTTACACAGCGGGTTATGCCGGCACTGTCGCTGCATCCACAGAAAGCCTCAAACGGCGTAAACACCAAAACTTAGTAGATTACATTTTTGAACCGTTTGTGGTCGAAACGCAAGAGTCATGGGGTCCCAGTGCTTGTGCTATGTATAAACAAGTAGCTAAACAATTGAGCGACACTTCTCGTGATCAAAAGGCCGATCTTTTTCTATCGCAGAGAATTGGCATTGCCATTGAACATGCCAAGACTGACAGTCTTCTAGTAACGCTACCAGTAGGCGATGATGGATTTTTTTATACATTAACCTTAATTGATAGGAATTTGATAGGACTCGTATTAAATTCGTTTTAACATAAGAATATGTATTATTAGGTATTGCTGCAGAACTTCCAGAGTTGGAGGCGCTCGACGTTCTATGAAAGACAATGGTTTCATTTTTGGCGTTAGTAATGCAGTTTGGATCCGAAACGTATGCAACAAGTAATATACGCAAAAAGGTGTTTTAGTTGACAAGAAAAATATACTACTAACATAAGTTATTGGCATGCTTACTTTATCGTTAACCATGTATCAATTTCAATAAAACAGAGGTTGGTAAGGCACTACGCCAGCTAAGATTATGGCATATAATAATGTACTCGGTGGATTATGGTGATGCAAGTTATGATAGTCTAATTATTTTAAAAGGTGCATTTTGACAGTTATAGTTTAGGGTTGGGGTTAGAAAAATTAAAAAAGTCTGCATAAAAGTACTAAGTTTAATAAACCAGAAAAATTCGGCATAAAGGGGATGTATGATATTTCAGTAAAGTCGACTAAGTAGGAAAGTTGGCACATAGGTCATCGGCATCTACGTAGGGTAGAGGCAAGGAGAACCATCACTGTGTATGAAAAGTGTCCTTAAAAGCGTGTTCAGTAAGGGTGGCGCTGCGGTAGCTTAATTTCTAATTATTACTTAAGCCAATGGGCTTAAACAATACTTAGAAACTATTAGTAGGGGAGTCCTAGAAGGGATTTCGGGGTTTACTCGAGCGTGTCAGATAAACATAGGAGGAATACCTTGCACCCAGTTGAGTACCTCTACCATACATGAGCTCACCATACATATAGGGCAGCCCATCAGTTTAGTTTAAAAAAAACGATGGCCAAAAATACCCGAGCGTGTAAGATTAAGGATTTGATTTATAAAGCAGTGGGAACAATTTTAAGAGCTCTTAAAATTTGATTATAATGGCAGGAAAACAAATGAGCATTGTTAAAAAACAGTAAGAGGTTGAAGTTGATATTAGTGTCAATTCTCTGCTGAACAGCAGTCGAATTTTTACTTGATGTCGTAAAAAGATGCGGCCGTTTTAGTCTTAGGAAAATCTAGGTATATTTTTATTAATCTAGCACAATATAAAGTATAAAATCCAAACGTGGTTAATTTATTGTTATGTCACATATTTTTTACGTTCGTAACTTTAATTTAGAATATCCAGTAAAACAGAGATATTCTTGAAACAGCTGCATTCTTCAAATTTACTAATAAAATAATTTGAAATAATTGAGCCTAATAGTTTGTAAACATAATTAGGCACGAAAGGCAATTACATTAATGTTTGTAATAACGTAAACTTTTATCGAAGTATGACGTGTACCCGTGTGTGTCAGAAATTCGTAAAACTAATTTGTTATAATTATTTGTCATAGATATTTAATTGCTCCATATCTTTTATATCATATTGTTGAATATCGAGTCTCTCGACAGATCTAATATCTCCTGAGTTGCAGACGTTCATGGACGGCAATGGTCACTTTCCATCAGGTGACCCACATGCTTGTCTGCCCCCTCTAACATAAAAAAATACTACTATTGCTCTTTAGGTGGTCATAACGATGCTAAGCTACATATATGAATACCTTGTTATGCACCCTAAGTCTGGCCAGCGTGGTATGCTGGCCAGACGTGTTGCTATAGGGTTTGTGTTAAGTTTTCCATCTTTTTACAGTGCTGTTGTTCTGCGTAATTTGCTCCCTTAGACGGCTCTTGCGACAATCACGTGATGAATAGGGGTTTTGACAGTTGTGACACTCCGTATTCTTAATGCAGACGAGGTAGGAAGTCAGAAAGCCTTATTTAGTTTGTTGAAATGATGCAGCTTAAGGCTAATGCTTATCTATGAATACATAATAAAATTACTTACTTCATATAAAATTACTTATATAAAAAGCATCAGCTGCCAAAATGTCAAGTGTGTAGCCCTTTTTTTTTTTTTTTTTTTGTTGACGGGGTGGAAAATCCCTTCGGATCTCCGGCTCCTCGGGGACCCAGGAGCCAGGAGTATGTGGTGATTCCACTAAAAACCACCCCGACGGCCGGCCTTAGGTGTCCTAGTCTGGGGAGGACCCGGACCATGTTATTTCAGGTCCTCCCCGAATTGACACCATGCCTAATCAGGCCCTATCCCAGGGGAGAACACTTCCCCCTTCAATCGCGGCATGGCGGCCCGATCGCATCTTAATGCAATCAGGCCGGCCATTCCATTCCCTACCGCAGCAATCAATCTGCCACCAGAGGTCCCCACTCTCTGGCGGCCCGCGGCCCCGTCGACGGCTGATATCGCCGCCGACGTCTTCTACGTTCGGGATCGGCCCTCTCCCGATCCCGTTCAGCGGTCTCTTTCTGGAGCATTACAGCTTCACAGAAAGAGACCACTGCGCCCCAGCCCTCCTCACCCGCCAGCATGGCAGCAATGATTGCTGGCGGGGACAGGTCTCGTCCGATTTGGTCGACCAGGACCTCGCGTTCAGACACCCACGAGGGGCAGTCTTCCAGCGTATGCTGGGCGGAGTCCCAGTCGGCTGCGCAGTGCTGGCATTGTGCCGTCTCCTCGCGTCCAATCCGATTCAGGTACTCCCCGAAGCAACCATGCCCAGTGAGTACCTGCGTCAGTCGGTAGGTGACGCAACCTCCCTCCCTACCTACCCAAGCTTCAAGGTTAGGCAGAACGGCACCGACAGCGCGTTGGCGCGCATTCCGCGGCTGCTCCAGTCGTGCGCGCCACTGCACCAGTGCCTGTCGGTGGGCGTTCCGCCGCATTTCGAGCTCATCCTGGTCTTCCCCACCCTCACCCCGGCGGATCACGCAAGTCTGGTCATAGACCCTCGCGTCCATATCCGCCAGGATATCAAAGGGTGGGAAACGTGCCAGGACTGTCGCCGCCTCCGACGAAATTGTGCCGTAACCTCGTACGATCCTAATGGCCGCTGCGCTTGATTGAGCTTCGCTCGGCAGCGGGAGGAGGCCGATAGGCGCTTGGCCCATATTGGCGCTCCGTAGAGGGCCATGGATCGTGTCACCGCACAGTAGAGGCGGCGAACTTCCTCCCGCGGACCCCCTAGATTAGGCAACAGCCTCTGTAGGGAGCCCGACGCCCCGCGAACTCGGGGATCATCCGCTCGAAATGCTCCTCGAAGCTCCAGCGGCTGTCCAGGGTGAGGCCGAGGTATTTAATGTACCGCCCGACCTCGACCTCTGTTCCCCCCACTTTAATAAGCGTTCTGGTGGGAACTGCACCTCTGCGTTTCCTGTGAAACCACAGGGCTTCCGTCTTATGAGGTGCAACCCTTAGACCCAGACCGCTGATCCCCTGGACGACACAAGCCACCCCTAACTCGGCGAGCTCCAGAACTTCCTGGAAGCGAAGTGTGTAGCCCTAGCATAAGCGTCTGATTCATCAACGCAGATTCTAAACCGTTGGAGCTTGATTTTTGGGAATTTCACCCCTATGAGGGTAAAATAAAGGGTGAACGGTTGAATGGAAGTTCGTCATTGTCAAAGTTAGAAACACGATAAGACATAATCAGGCGAGAGATTCCCAGAGAGTTGAAAAATATGTTCTAACTAAATCAGATCGTCCGACCGAATGACGGGAATCGAGGTTGGGAAGAACGTTGAAGAAATAGGTACTTAGATAGTTTGGGCTTAAATGCTTAATTTCTTGAAAGATTGAGTTTGAGGCAACACGACACGATCCGGCAAAGAACGGATCTGGATCTGCGGGACTGCAAGGAAGATTTTCTTATTTTACACAAAAACAGGCTGGTAAGAAACTCGTAAGCTACATTTTCAAACATTCGATTCGCGGCCAGCTGCTGTCCTCTGAATGAAAACTAAATCACATAATTATTTACCATTCTAACATTAAGATACAATTTATTGGAATACTTTAATCACTGATCGTTCTACACTAAGTCAAAAAAGCAAATAAGCTAATAACATTTTACCCCTCTCTGATGCGGTACTTTGACAAGAAGATACGGTCCGGCCAATTTTGCCAATCTAGTTTGGCTACGAGATTAGGTATCATATCATATAGCTTCATAGAATTAATAGCTATGCGGCAACTTTATACAGAGAGATAAATAACTAGAAACGAAATCCTTTTGTTATAGACTACTATCCATTATCCACCTTCGACCACCTATTGGTGATGACCAGATGAACATGATTCTATAGTAAAACACAGGTAGAACCGCAGACTTCAAGTAATATTACTACCACATAAATTACCTTAATGTCAATATCATGAAGCCAGTGGAATAGGTCATTAAAATTAACACGCAACGGGGAATCGATAAATTTGATGTTATCACGATATGCATTATAACGTGAATTAGTCAGTCTTGTATGGATACAACGTAAACATTCTACATGAACATGTGAGAGGAGATGAAAGTGTATCCAGATACTGAATTAAAAAATGAATATTCCGGTTCTAAAAAGAACCGGTCGCGTTCAGATGTTAGTTGTATATCGCTGTTGGCTACAAGCCTTCGCCATCAAACCACTGAATTCTTCAACAATTCAACACTACATGGTGTTCGGTACATTGCCGAAAAAGATCGGCCCTTTTGTGAGAAGTTAGTATGTAATATGTTTCAGTTATTTTATTTTCTGTAGTAAAAATATTAAAAATGTGATGTAGTCGTAATGTTGAAAAAATAATCATTCTTGGTCTAGTAGATATTTTAGCTAACTATAACGTTTTTATCTTTTAATACGTACCTACCTAATTTTATTGATATTAAGAGTATGTCTTTTTATATACAGTTAGCAATGTAGAATAAAAGTCAGAATACGATTTATGATTTCAGATTTATGTGGTTCAGTTTCACAGCTGTGGGAGCAGTGACAACTTGTATCATAATAGTAAGTTTATGGGAGAAGTTTCAAACCAACCCAACTATTACAGGTAAGTTATTAACAAATAATGGGTAAATTATGGAATGCGACTAAACTGCTGCCTTAATGCGTCACTAGGACAAATACGCGTAGCTCTTTATCAAAGCTTTTGCAAGTCTTGAACCAGGTCCAATAATGAAGGACAACCACCTTTTATGTTACGACGGGTTAAAGATATCCGTTCGTGCACCAGCTCTAGTGTGTAAATCTCCTTTTTCGTTGTCATCATCATTTCTGAGTAACCTGGAACCCATCTGAATGTGATTCTGTAAAATTAGGACGACACTGGGCCTGTTTGTGTGTAGTGACGACTCATGTTGATTTTCTACTTTTCCTTGAAGGTAGATCTTCATGCATCCGTTTTGTTAAACGCAAAACAAGATCATCCTTTTATCTTATGAATAATAATATAATATATAATAATTGACTGTCAACAATATTTTTCTCTTCCCTCGTAACCTTAACGTCTATGTACTTCAACTTGCATAATAATATGCCGCATAGGATTTTATTTTTATATAAATAAATTTTTAATCAATTAAATTAAACTCTTTTAGGTTTAGATACGGATTTTCACAATTGGGACGTCCCATTCCCAGCAGTAACTATATGTGACGTTAATCCTGTCGATGAAGAGCTGCTACAAAGTTACATCGAAAGGTATGATAGTTTGTTATTTTATTTCCAACATTTATTGAGATTAGGTATACGAGTTTTTACGATAGTAGGAAGTCACCCTGATTAAAAAACAAGTGTTCAAGGGAACTAAAAAGGTTCTAGACATTGCTCTGGGTTAGGAGTGAATACTACTTAAGTGAAGACTATTCTGAAGTCCGTATTAATACTGACCTCAAGACTAATCAGAACCTAGAATTTTGCCAGGAAGACCATTGATACAACACAGCGTTGTAAACCAGTTATGAGGGAGAATCGTTTTTCCTTGTACAAAGTCTGGTATCGAAAAATTAACAAAATAATGTAAATAGGAAGGTTTTCAGTACTTAGCAGTATTGTTTGAGCTGAGTGAAGAGCCTTTTGATGAAAGAAGTTAATATTTTTAAGACTATAAGAGAAACAAATTGAATCGAACTTTAAGAAAAAAGTAAATTGACAAGATACTTATAGTTTAAATAAATAGTTAAATAGGATGAATAAGCGAATTAAACGTTATCGTATTATATAAGTAAGATACTGAACGATACACGCTGCCTAGGAGCTTTAAAATTTGTAAAATTTAACTTTAATTAATTCATTCTTATTTTTATACGTGACAATTATGTCTCGTGTTTAAAGATGTTGCTGATAAAATCTTATTTTCTATTTTAATTGAAAGCACGTATTACTTATGTTGGTTTGTAATCCACAGTGTTTGGGGGTCGGAACCTCCTGAGAAAGCTGAGGAAATGCTGCGATGGCTAGCTACACTCAGCTATGATTCTATAGCAACAAGTCAGGCTAATCAGTTTTTAGCAGATCCTGCTTTAAGCGGGACAAATGAAGAGGATGCATCCCAACCTGCTAAGGATCTAAAAGATGCGGTATTTCAAGTATGTTAACCAATAATATCTAATAATGATTCGACACTAATGCGTTTTTGAGCAGACCGCAGCAGGTTTTAAGTAAATGTGCTTAGTCTGATTAAATATGACATACGAATAACTAACATTACAGTTTTCTATAAATAGTTAACAAAATATAGAAAATGCATTTTAAAATAGTCGAACCGACTTCAAACAATATTAACAAAGACCACTAAAAACCTAGCAGCAATCGCGGTTGATTTGCTGTCATTTTTTGAAGAGTATTTTTTGAAATTCACTATCGGATCTATATGAAATTTAAATGGTGGTCCCATTTAAATTCGGAATAAACCCCTTTCGAAAAAAGAAAACCGAAAATCCGTCTATATTTGAGGGATTTATTGGTATTGGTATTGGTATTGGTTGTGGGCTTCGGTTTCCGCATTTAGACTCAGAGTTTCTCTGAGAGAGACAGAGACTTCAGACTCAGATTTGAGGGATTTATGCCTTAACATACATTAAAAAAAACATCCGAATTGATAACCTCCTTCTTTGTGAAGTCGGTTAAAATTTCACGGAAGCTCAAAACTGATTACAGCAGCCATTTATCTTGTGTAGAGGCACAAACCTGAAACAGTTACAAGTGGTGACCCCTATAGAGAAGTTTTTCACCACTAGGATATGTTTTTCAACTGACGGAATAGTGTAGTTTGTAAAGAGCTTACAGTTTAGTTCGCCACCGAGTGGATTAATGTACGTTGGATACTCTTCTCAGACAGTTTGTATAATCTCCTGTGATCCCTATAAACATTCGCTGTATATAAACATTGGATGAAAAACAAGAGCATTGCAGTTGACGCATACAATGAACGTCGATCATTCTTTCCGTATATTACTTATACTTTAAAATTATATTTATCGGAATTAGCCAGATTGCAATAGCCGTACAAGCCAGTCGAAACGTCGGGCAATTCAAAAGTATGTACTATGTACTGAATAGCTATCGTGATCTCGTTCATTTCCGTAAACATAATTGTATATTATGGAACGCGTTTAAATTTAGTATTACTTGTACCTTCCCACCGTTATCACTTAAGCTTGGTATTCTGTATTAACAACTACTTGTTCATCCACAAATTTGTGAAGGTTCAAGATAAATGTAGATAACTTTCTTATGTTTTTAATAATTTAAAGCCGTTAAATCAAACGGATCTAGAAAACGTCTTTATAATCTACAGATAAACCTGTTACCTTTCCAGATAGTTCGACATTGTGATTCCATCTATTATGATTGCGAATGGAAGGGAGATTCAGAAGAATGCTGTGACCTCTTGATGCCAGTTTTTACTGAAATGGGGTTTTGTTATGCTTTTAATTCTAAACACTCTGAAAAGTCGTGGCCATGGTGCGAAGTTAATACGCTCATTAAAACTTGTTTTTTTATGTTAATTTTCTGATTTATAGACGGCTTAATTTCTTAATTTTTAGGCAATCCCAGGCTGTTGAGCAGTTCGCTGAAGCTTTTATCCACGAAACAGATGCAAAGTGGTCTTTTATGTTTAATTCCGATCGCAAAAATACTACGTTCAATGTAAGTAAGGGTTCTGTCGTTTTAAGTTATTAAGTATTTTGTTTATGTATTAAGTACTTGCTTTACCCTCTCGAGTTTTAACAACGCTATGGAGTTAGAGGCAACACATAAATAGTTGTACTAGTACAAATTAATGCACAGTATAACAAACAAATCAAGCCTATAAATTTTATTAATTTGTTCGTAAAAGGGCGAACAGAATTCAAAAGGTATTTACATATCCTTAGGTTTGACATTTTACGTAGTTTCTTTAGTTAATGTAATGTGGAATATATAGTATACTTTTTTCAATTTATTAGATATTTATTCATTCTTCTGAAGAGATGGCCGGTTTGGAACAAAGTGCTCAACACACCTGGGATCGTCGCGTGGATAAGGTGTCTTTCTCAGTAAAACACACTTACACAACTAAAGATGCACGTCAATTGTCAATTCGCCAACGTCGCTGCATATTCGCAGACGAAGTGCGTTTAGAGACGTCTGACATTTACACGTATTCAGCGTGCATGAGACAATGCCGTATGCAGAGGAGTCGAAAGTTTTGCAAATGTGTGCCACACTTTTATCCACCTTTAAGTAAGTATCATTAAAAATGAACGGTTAAGTGCACAAATGATTACGTTATTTGTTTGTTGCAGCCCGAGTTAGGTCCAAGTAATAACTAACTTAACTCATCTATTCAATGATAGCATTGCATCGTTTTATCTCTGACATGCAATTTAAATGATCGAAGAGACGTACTCTATAGCCTTAGTCTAGGTGTCAATGCTAATCATACAAGTTCTTTTCCATCAGAGGGCTACAAAAAATGCACTCTTCGAGAACTGCGCTGTATAGCAGATCACGTGACGGAGATAACTGATGTGGCAAGTTGTCCCTGTGAACTGGGCTGCTCGCATACCGTGTACGAAGTGGAAAAGCTTTCAGATGTTGAGTAAGTGTTTCTGTTCTATTTTTGGCGATATCCATACTGCTTAAGTAGTATATAAGTTCATAGTGTAAACCCATTAGATAACCATAGTATTTCTTACGTAAGACATAATCGATACAATACACAGTGGACCTAACACCTTTCCTTACACAGTGAGATAGTATACCAGGTCAAAATGAACAGTAGCAATTGTTTTCCAATGCAGATATCTAATGTTGCTTTTGGTTTAGAGATTTCTCTGGTAATGGTCTTAAATTTGGACTTAATCCCTAGTTATCATGTTAGTGGTATCTGCAAAGAAAACGTCCCAACATCTATCTATAAATAAATTAATAAATTTGCTATAGATAACTAAGTCTCAACGGTTCTAAATACTTGCTTTTTTTAGTACAATGCGAAGTGTCGAGAACGCTTTATTGGAAACGGAGTTTGTCTCATGGCCAATGGTCCGTTACAAACGCGAAGTACTTTTCGGTTGGGTTGACTTACTAGGTGAGTCTTTTCATTATAACTTATGACACATTATGGAATTTCGTATGACGCTTTTATGTATGGTTAAATTTTACGGAGTAAGTATTGCGGTTTTGGTTCTTAACCAATTATATATAATCAACAGGGTCTAATGCGTTTTCTGTTTAAATCGAAACACTACCGTAAATATTAATTTAAATAAATATGCATTTCCATTAGCATCTGCTTGGATATGCGAAACAAACTGTTACTTATAAGGATAACTAAAAATTAACCTATTGTTTTGAAATATTCTAGTGTCATTTGGAGGTATCGCGGGATTATTTTTAGGATTTTCCCTGCTGTCCGGTGTAGAGTTATTGTACTATTTTACACTGCGAGCCTGGTGCGCCGCAGTGCGTGATGCGGAAACATTGCAAGAAGAACGTGCTGAAAGATTAGCCAAGCCTAAACCTCCTCACGACCTCAGTCTTGTGCCTTGGTACGTAAAAAAAACAACTATGTTCAATGATAGTTACACCTATCTAAATATATGAATATGATTTTTGTATATTATGCCTCACCGTCTATCATCATGAAATTTTGCAACACGTGGCCCGGGATACAGAAAGGAAAATAGAATACCATTAATCGAGAAAAAATCTGTCCAAAAGGGATGGAAATTTTATTTTTACGCTAGGAAAGCCTCCGGCACAAAGCGGCGGATCGAGTATCAAAAGAGCCCTAGGCAAGCACTTCCTCGTCTCCCCTCTGCGACTCTAGCGCCCATATATTATGTTGGATAGTGACTGGTCATTGTTTTTACGTGTGGGTACGTGAGTATATACATGGGCTATAACCGCACCGGGGTTTGCGGTAGAGCGGTAAATCGGAATCGAAACAACTAAAACCACACACCGCGCCTGAGATAGGAGGGATCCGATAACAGCTTTTATTAAGAGGCCTTTCTTTTTTTGGTGTCAGATGGTCTCACTGCCCCCCCCCCCCCCCTAGATTATGCAGGATAGAAGTCATTCAATGACCTTCGTCGCCTGCAGTACCTGGCCCGCTCCCGGGCCTTGTGGACCGGGAGAGTTCTAAGTATCTCCCCTGCTTCGCGCTGTGTCTACGCTCTGGCCACCGCAATGGCACCCAGACATCGCAAGTGGCACCCAGGCATTAGTTCCTTGCGCATCAGACACCGAGGCTCCTGATAGAACGGCCTCAGCTGTGTGCAGAGAAACCTAGAGTCGACGGATCTTCACTGTGGCCTTACCGCACGCCGTCACTAGCGTGTCGTCCGCGTAGCTTGTGACTACGACATCATCCAAGAAGGCACCGCAGAGCAACTAGTCGTAGCTGATATCAAACAGGAGCGGCCCTCACACCGACCCTTGCGGAATACCGCACGACATTTCACTCCGACCAAGACCGGACTTGGGTAGATGACTTGACTTGAGTCCTACTTGGCTGCGGACCCCTCCTAGCGCCTGCCCTTTAAAAGCGCAGGCACCACCTTCTGTCCGGAAGTCTGGGAAAAACTTTCATTTAGAAGACGTCCGCTACACGAAGAAGTCATCTCCTCGCTGTAGACCTTCGTGGCGAGGAAGGGGGAAGGCGCACCAGCCATGGAGCATATAACGGCTGGCAGCGAGAAATCCTCTCCGATGCCTGCAATGAGCTCCCGAAGCTACATTTACCAGTGTGTGCTGAGGCGAGTTCAAACTGCACTGCAGTGGTGACAGGCCTACATTCACTCCTAGCGATCGACTGCTGGTACCTCCCTAAACAGACGTGCGAAGTAAGATCTGCATCAGTCGAAAGGAAAGGGTCCTGTGCTGCCACGCTGCCTTCTAGACGATGACCGGCTGGACCGCCTTCACGGTCCAACGAGTCAGCGTGGCTCGGCAAGCAGTCTTTCACCACTCATTTCCGCCTCTAAATCCCTTGGCAGACCCGCCAGCACTTTCAGAGTTGCACACCGTTGCACCGTATAGTGCCATTGACTGGACAACCTTGTTCTATTACTACAACTTATAGAGTTATCTTCACTATAGCTGCAGTTGTAGCAACTGCATTTTTGTGTACACGCACTAGACTCATTTTATCTTCGTAGGTATCAGAAAATGAAAATAAAGAAGTAGTGCCAATTACGTATTATAAATCTTACATGTCAACCTTAAACATCTCTATAGAATTAAGGAATTGTTTCTATTATTGTAAGTTATTGTTAGTATGTTCATACTTACTGTCACGGTTCCGGTTAGGGAGGTTAGGGATATAATCTGCCTGATATAACTTACCTTTGCTATTCAACATCTTCACCGAACTTGCACCGAACCGAACATGCGAATCACTCTTGAGAACTTGACCGATGGTGTTGCGGTTGGTGGACACAAGATTACCAACTTGCGGTACGCAGAAGACACCTTGCTTGCGAGTAATGCTAGCCTAATGAAAGAATTCCTTCCCAAAATGGAGCGCGTAAGCGTAATTTTTAGGTTGAAGATAAACCGATCTAAGACCAAAGTGATGATCGTGGACCGCGTCAACGATAACTCGCCCGAAGTAACACAGATTGCGAACTGCGACGTGGTTCAGACCTACGTGTAACTTGGGGCTTGAATCTCAATTAACGGCGGCTGCGTAGATGAAGTAAGACGACGTATGGCCATAACCAGAATCGCGATGGAGAAGTTAAGAAAAGTTGGAGGGAATCGTAAGCTTACCAAAGCCACCAAAATCAGGCTCGTACGAACTCTCATATTTTCCATGGGGGGATGCATAGGCCTCTCGGGGCTACAATTAATAATACATTTTTTTTTGTAAGATTTAAATTACAGTTAGATATTACATCCTTTTAGGATCACAGGAGGCAGGTACCTGTAATTTTTTTAATGATTGCAGGTGGAGGCAGCCTCCAGTGCCTCGGAGCGCTCGCCCAATAGTAGTGCGCTCCAAGAACGCATCGCCGCCAGAGTACGTGCCACCGCCTGCATATACTACCTATCTACCTTAAAATGGTTTTGAAACAATACCTACTATCGTTTATAACTCGAATCGAGAAAATAAATCGGATTGGTCGTTTCATTTAAAAATGCATTAAAGTATGAACAAGATAAACATTAGAATAAATCAGTATCTATTATCTACAAAGCAAATGTTCATTTTTTAAATGGGTATGATATTTTCCTGCTAATGTTGTGTGTATCTGGATCGAGAGCCCACTTTTTCATCTTCGCGAAAAGAAATAAGATTTATAGGGAAATTAGTAAAAAATAGTAAAAATTTAGAGCAGTGCCATGAATTTCTTAAACAAGAATTAAAACTGTTAGGATTAAAAAATTTGGGGCCTAAATCCAGACGCCCGCATGAAGTGGCATAGCCTAAATCTCAAAAAGTACTATCTTTGGGTCAATAATTTTTATTAAGGAATTCAGCTAAGATTTTCTTAAATATTTTAAGTAATACCCAAATATCTACCCTCCAAAAAATTGAAAATCAATTTCACTTTATGCACGCATCTGGATTGAAGGCCCAAGATTTTTAATGCTAAGTCTTAATTCTCCTATAAATCTTACTTGGTTTTGCAAATATTGCTCCCGAACCAGATGCACACGGCGAATGTTCGAAAAAATTTAATAATATTACGTGTGCGAGTTGGTATGTTTTAACTCCATAATGCTGCAACGACAGCTTGTATTTGGAATTTGACCCACTCATAACTTGAATCTAGATTTAAAAGAGACAAAATTAGGCGAAACCAACGTACTTACACTTTAGAATCGTTTTCTTAAATGGCTAAACGTTTTAAAATTTGGCTTTAAGTCTAATTGTTTACATTATGACTAACTATGACTGGTGTTGTGGGTATTTTAATACCACTTTTAGTAATACTCACAATTGATTCCCCATACGTTTTAAGCGCAATTGAGGAAAACCGCGACCCAATTTCGCGAGTCCGACGGCAAGCTAAAACATAAATCATTTAAATGTTAATACCTAAGAAGAAAACGAACCCTGTTTTAACACAACATCAACATCTTTAATAGTGGTACAACCATTCTGGTACCACAATAGTACTAAAGAAGAATAGATAATAATCTATTCTATAGCTCTAGATAGGATTATCTTTGAAGGTGGTGACGGAGAATATGAGGAAACGGATTTCTCCCAAAGTAAAAAGATCTTTTGTAAATTTTTCTTTAATTAATGTTCATTACAATATTGTTGGTCACATCCATTCTAAAGTCGCTTAATAAATTCATATCGAACTATATTACTATGATAACTGGACATAAAAACAGTCAACAACTTCCAATCGAGTGCAATATAAACATACATGTACAGTAGTCTAAACTAACCATAATAATGCAGTTAAATAAATAACAAGTACAAAATAATAAAACATTAAGAGCAAACAGTGTATTCTATAATATATTTTTACAATTGACTTGCTAAGAAAAAAATGTTCTAAATACATAGACAGCACCGAACTTCTAACACCGAGCTAAGTAATAGAAATGAAACTTTCTAATAAAAACAATACATACCTATTACTAATATTCCTTAGATTTTGACAATTTAACACATGCCATAATACTACTTTTGGTTTGATTTTAAACATATTTCAAGCCAATCTTTCAAAGGTACAACTACCTATAGTAGAGGAGGTAACAGTAGGGGAGTGACTAACAGAAAATATTTTTTTTTGTAACTCATGCAGTTACAAGGGTTATCACTAAATAAGTCTTCGTTACTTATTAAAAAAAAAACTTTAAAGAAAATGCATTTGTTGACGAAACAAGAACAAATTTAGTCTACACCTTTTCTTCGAAAGCTATATTTTTTAAAAATTATAAGAATAATTCTTCTATCTTTTTTTTTCTACCCAATTAACGTAAAATAATATTACCAGTCATAATCAGTGTATATTTGCACATTCGTATCTTCTTTTTGCATGTGCAGAAAACTTGTTTTAGATCAACTCTTGCAATATCAGACACATAAAAACACATAACTGTATATATAGCGATCACTATATTATAGCCGCAAGTACCCCAAATCAAAATGATTCATTGACACGCAATATGCTGGTTATGAAATATAAATGCCCATAGAAAAAAAATCTGAAGTCAAAACAATATAACATTAAATTATAAGAAACACCGAACACATAACAGCAATTAAAACACGAAACAAAATTCTTGCCTGTTGAGCACGTATTAAAACATTGTTCCCCCTCGTCAACAAAATACATGTACCCGAAGTTATAACGAATGATCCGCTCTGCTACCGTAATCCACTGGTACCTACTCCTTTGCACACATTTCTATTACAAAATTGTTAAGGTTAAAAATACAAATTCTTTCATAATTCACTTTATAAAACCCTTAATAACTTTAAACACTTCCAACTGTGCATGGTTGTTGGTACGTTTGTAGGGCTCTCCTTTATGGAAAGCAATTAAATGCTACTGATTTAATGTTACATAATAAAACTTGTCAGTAAAATATTTTTGAAAAATTTCATAATCGTTGGTAAATTGACTTTTTTAACACGTTAAGGTACGTAAGTATTTAAATTTATAAAGCACTTACTGCTAACGATGTTAAGTTATATAAATTAAATTATACTCTTTGAATTATATTAAAATGGTAGATTTGACTAGAAAAATATATCGTACTTAATTTTGTAAGGTTAAACGGATTTTTATTTTTATGTTACTGAAACTTTTAAGGTTTGCCGATATTAGAAAATATTGGCCTTATTACAATATAATTAAATATAACATTTTTTTCAGTCAAATCTACTTAATTAGCGACTGTATTCCATAAAATACTCGCACAAAAAATCTCATGTGATTGCAAATGGATAGTCGTTTGATGATATGATTATTCGAAATGGAAAAGAAAAACTTGACGCTATTTGTGCACATCTCATTTTTCAATAATAATACAATTTCTTGATACAATTGTTTTATTTCTCTATATTTGTTTAAATATTAAATACCTAAATTATATTTAAATAAAAAAATAAACACTGTAGATAAAGTACTAACAGAATGCAAAATAATTAGATTTCATCTATTCTTAAAATAATACCGTATACTATGGTCGCGTATGTATTTTTACAAGTAATGCTCTATCTATACTTACAGTAAAAATAAGTAGCTTCTGTCATATATTATAACTACGTTGCCTATCATTTAAACTAGGAAGACTACTATAGTCTGCTAAACATACGATATAAATATTACTTTAAATACAAAACTTACATTCTGAAATCATTTTTAAGGTTCCTCTGTGAATTTAAGTCGATGGATTTCCTTTGTGGATACCTGTAATGTTATAAAACAGCTCTTTTTTTAATTGACGCACTGTGGCGTGAAGAACATTTGACACAGGGATTGAAATGAGAAACATTTAGTTCTGATATCAATGTAATATCTTCTAAAGCTAATATCTATAAATCACACATAAACAGCGAAATGATCTTTTTGTACCATGCGAGAAGGGTATTCTGACAAGATTTATTTGGCACTTATATACTGTATACCCCATTATGGTTACGTATGATCATCAATATTTAATTATATGGAGTAGACAATATTGTAATAAACCATTTCTATATAATATACAAGTATTCATTATCCTAATATAGTCGACAGACACATTTTTTATGATTTTTACAAAAATGTTCACATGATTTTATTTTATAAACTATTTGTACAGATATTATAAACAAGTCATAAAAATGTAGATAAGTTCATTTCAAATATTTTCGTTATAACAAATACGTAAAAAGTACTGAAATCGGGATCGTGTTGTAAATGGAGCATACTCGTAGCTGCAACGTGTTTGTGTGTGTGTAAACAATATTTTTGCAACCTCAAAGCGGTGATATCCATTTATTAAGAGATAAACTGTTCTATAATGACATTTAAAAAAATCGTTATGAATAAATAATTTTATATTATTTAATGTTGTATTACTGGTACTGATAAATTAAGAACTTCTATAACAATTCTATAACTTGGTCATTAAGTCATTTAGATAAAGCATCTGCGGATGTAGCCATTACTTGGACTATCATAAAACTGCAAATATCTACATTCACTGTTTGTAACACAAAACATTAAAATACTTATTGACTATATCTTCCTATTTACTGTTTCTTATAATATACATAATGATAAGTTTTTGTTAAATAATTTCTAATACAGAAGATGTATCACGAAAATCAAGTTAACTGTTATATGTAGAAAATACTATTAGACCACAGAAATGAACGGCTACATCTACAGGCACTTCATCTATAAAAGCTATTAATAATATAATAGAACATGATTGTTTCCAGTCATTCAGATCAGTAAATCAATTTTGAATTCCAAATCTCTAATCCAAATCCAATGTACACTACGCGACTACTGAAAAGACACGTGAATGATATTCAGTATCGGAATTATTTATCCGAGGATCTCTTTATCACGTCAAAAGTCTCGTACATTTCTGTATAAAATGTACCTATATGCGGACGCATCATGAGCTGTTTGGGATATGAAGGGAATGAAATATACGTATGCCGATATCGTATCATTGTACTACAAATGCACACAGTACATTTATAGTACCATGATCGCTTATGTGTTTTAAGTACAATTAAAGTATAGCAAAGTTGGGTTTAACCCACTTAAGTAAACAAAAAGAACCTATAGACATCTTTTTGGTTGGTAACTAGCAATTTTGAGATGTGTAAGTTACCTTCGATTTTTTTTATTAAATAATAAACTTAGGTCAGTTACATGATGGGTAAAAAAATTATGCCAAAAAAAAATATGTTGGCAAATAAAGACGAAGTCAAAGATTCATGAAAATTAAGAAACAAATGCATAAATTTAAAATGACGCTTCTTCTGTGCGCTTAAGTAAACTAGCGTTCTTTTAAATATATGAATGCATGCAAATCTAAGCCTAATTTTCGGAGCCATGCCCTTCGAAATTAAAACATGTCATCGCACGATAGAGAACAATTTTAAATCTAAGTATGGTCCTTAAATTAAGTAACAGCCCTAATAATATCTGCCGCCGCGTAAACTCTAAAAATAAATATATAAACTTTGTAACAAAGTAGGCGGCAGGACCGAGTCTGATATAATTACACTATCATTACTAAGAAAAGGTAACTACAGCGGACAGTTCCGAACCCTAAAGTAAGTACGTAACTCACGTACGCAAACCAAGCACCATTGGACTTTGCTAACAGTCTAGGCATTAATTAACAGTAACGTACAAACAAGACAAACAATTATTATATATTTGTCTGTAAATTAATTAGTCTTTAATTTGTAGCTAGTATACAAAAAATAACATTGAAATGTAATAAATTTATGTTTACAATTATATTACGCAACTACATTTTCATTAATATTTATGATTTGACTAAAAATACGCTGCAATTATTTATTAAAATCAGTTTCTCTCTTCTAGCAAAAAATGCATTACAATTTAAAAAAGATATCATAACAATCATGTTCCCTTGACTATGTATTTAGTTTATTGTAATAAAATTTAATATTTTTTTTATATCAATGTATTCTTATTTATTTAAAAAACGGTTATTACAATAGAGTTAGATATTATATTTCTTCAGTCAAATCAGAAAAAAGTAAATGTCCTAACACTAAATGCTCGTGTGTGAGAAGGAATTTAAAGTACTGATTATATTAATCTTATCTGCTGCGGACTAGAAAAATAGTTCAACCACAATACTAGGTATTTTTGAGTGGAAAATATAGTCATCACATAGACTACTCTTATTTCCCATATTTTTCTCTTAGGGTAAAATAATTTGTCGTCGAACTCTAGCCGAACTATAATACTGAGGGCTTAGATTTTTGTACCGCCTAAGTGGCGAACGAGCGCACCGAGCTATCGATGAGCGGTCATCGCGGCTAACGGTGGAACACAACACCGACGATCGGCATTTTAACAATTTTATTAACATAGTGAGCTCACGTGGTCCTTCGATTGAATAAAAAAAGGGACGAATCGCCAAATAGGCTCTCGTTCACTACCGATGATACAAATGTACAAAAATTAGAATGTATACGCTCGTAGTATCCGCGAGCAGTGAACTGTTAATGCGTGCGACTAGCAGCAAATGCCAATGCTTGGTATAGGAGCGCAGTACGCGGTCAGCAAGCCAGCGCGCGGTCGTGCGGCGGCCACAGCGGCCGCGCCGCGTCGCCGCCCGCCTCCTCCTTCTTGCCGCAGCGGCGACGGACTATTCGCGCCACACGAGAAAACTTCTCCGAGTTCGAGAGCGATGCCTGCAATTATACGACACGACTCGATGTATGTTAATTATATAATTGTGAAGAAAATATAATTATTGCCTTCACTTTATTTAATTTGGTCGCGCACCGCGATGCCGTAACGTCACGATGCACGAGTGACAATTATTTTCTTTTTAAAAGACAACTCCCGCACTTGGAATATAATTCTGTGTCGCGGGGGACTACATGAAGTGGACACAAAGTACACCCAGACTCAGGACAATTATTTTTGGATTACACAAAATGATGCCCCATGTGGGAATCGAACCCACGACACTTAGCGCAGTAGGACGGGCGAGGTGACCGCTTAAACCACTGCACCATCCGTGCAATGCTGGAATGTTCAAGCTCTTACATAAAAATGGTGTCACGCTCTGTACGAATTTTGGGTTAGTTTTAAATAAAAGTATAGTGAACTATAGTTGCGGCACGCAATGATGGCCGTTTTGACATATTACAATAGTGATGTGAAATGTCAATTTATTCTCGAAAAAATATAATGAAATCTATGTTTTTATTGCAAGTAATACCTGATTAAAAAAGGTTTAATAAAACAAAAATATAAATGCTTACTTAATATATTTGAACGATCTGAATATTGGAATGAAAATGAATATGCATACTTTATATGCAAACCAAAAACAAATTAATACAAAAAGGAACAAAAAAAGGTGCCACAAAAGGCTATATTTAATCAGATTTGTCCATACTGCTATTTTCACTGTCGTCCCTGCTGTCATCACCTACATTAATTTTAAGTTCGTTTTCTAAAATAATATCTATGTTCACATCTCTTTCATAATCTTCCCTTATTAATTTAACAGTTCTATTCACAAGCTTTCCTCAGTCTCCTTTAGTCACATGTTCACAAACTTTAGCATTTTTTTTGTGGTAAATGGGGTTTCTGTATTGTGTCTTGGCAGCATATCCCTTAATTTGAGCCCACACCAACTCAATTGCATTATATTCACAATGGTAAGGCGGTAACCGTATAACTCTGTGCCCATGTTCTAACGCTATTTCGTCAATAACGTATCGTATCTTGGTTGGTTTGTTTTCTTTTAAAAGACGTATTAATTCCGCTTTTAACATATTTATGTTTGCATCTACGCCATTTTTTTGAAGCCATGCGACGATGTCAGCTTTCTTTTGGGATTGGGCAGGTGGCTTGTCAACTTGCATCGCGTGGTATGGGGCGTTGTCCATATTTATATAGATGGTTCAGGGAGGCTATATAACATTGAGGTAAACCATTCAGTAAAATTTTCTCCATTCATTTCTTCATGATAGTCTCCAGTGGTTTTTGACGCAAAAGCCATGAGAGAACCTCCGACAAACCCTTTGATGGTTCCGGCGTGACAAGTTATGAGTCGCGATCCTTTTGCAATAGGAACTGTGGACGTAGATGCTGCAGTGTCATCGGTCCAAGAACGGCTTACAGTATGGTTAGCATTAAGCCATGTTTCATCCAAGAACACAACATTTTGCCAATTTTCAATTTCTTTTACTTGCCGTAAAAAAGTATATCTTGCCATCACGATATCAAATCATTCCATCAATAATTTGCGTTTGTTACATTGTTTGTACGGTCTTCAAAATCTTCGTTACAGAACTTTCCCCAACGAAGAATAATCCAGCTTCCTTCAGTGATTGCACTAACTTTTTTCTTGTTGGATACTCCTTTCGTAAATAGTAGCCGTACACATGTCTTCGGGTGGCATCGGCATCAAAGCTATCGATGCCTACGACTGGTTTTGCTCGTTTTCTTCTTTTTGGTGTGTGAAGTTTAATTTCTTCTGTGCCAGTCTCGCCATATTTTTCTTTAGTTATTCGACTAACAGTTCGTTGTTCAATATTAAGAGCATCAGTTACGAGTTCAACTACTGACGTTATAGGCAAAATTGGCCCTCCATGTTTAGATTCACGTTCGAAATAGTAAATAAGTACACCAATAATTATAATCTTATAAAAATAAAAAATAAATGTTCACAGGACCTTAATATATATAGTTTAGAAATCAATGTAATAAATAAATTTTGTGTCCTAAAATAATCCATTCGATAAATTTTATGACTAACTGTACGTCACTATTGACAATAAAGAACAGCAATTTGCTCCTTCTTAATGTAATTACTAATTAATACAAAACTTCATGAGGGGACAAACGTCAAAACGGCCATCATAGCGTGCCGGTTGTGTAGAATATAAATTGTTAATGGACGAAAAGATTCACTTTAAAAATCGTTTCTTTGTTTTCAGTGCAATCGTTGTATTATAACAAAGTAATTAAAATAAAAACTTTAATTTAAAAGCAACACATTTGGTTTATCTGATTTGTCAATCTTATAAGATAACAATAAACCTCCTTTTATATTATTGTATGTTAAGTACCAGATATTTAAAAAATCAAAATTCTTCTTATTCAAGACTATTAAAGGCCACATTCTATTCATTTGTAAATGTTTGACCTCTCTGTTGTATTTATCCACGATTAGTGTGTTATCATTGCGAATTTTGATTTATTGTATTTTACTGAACAATTTTTTTTGACTGACAAACACTTTAAATTTTCATATATATTTTTTGTTTTTTGTGCACTTTTATATGTGCCATTTGTTCTGACTGTTAATGTACAACAAGTTGTTAACAGGAGTACGTATTTCTCCTTTTTTTGTTTAAATCTATAAAAGCTCAATATAACAACTTACCTCGATGCCTATAGCCAGTATTAGATGCAGCACGGGTATGAGTAACAGATATATGCGGAACATAGTTTGGTCTTTATCCGTTGTCTTCATGACTTCAACTTCCATATAATTTGCAAGCCCATCCCACGGACACAGTAAAAGAATGATTACAAATACTGCTTGGGTGAATAGTGTTATCACCATGTAATCTAGAAAAACAAAAAATAGCCATATAAATAGCACTTTAATATAATAAAAACAGCTGAAGGAACCTTTACCAGAATATGTGATTAACCTATTAGTACGGACTTGGTAATTTCTGTTTACCTTTTGATAGGTCAAAAAGAGTTAGGTTCTTACAATTTACATATTTCAGTATGGTATTTTAAATTTTTACACAACTAATACAATACTACAAAAATAATACCTATGTACTTACAATTAGCACAAAACGGTTGACGGAAGGGCCAGCCCTTTGCATAAACACAAGCCATAATTAAGTACTGGAATGCGGTAACTATGAATATGACCGTGTTCTCCCATTTAAGTATTTGTTCTGCTTGTGTAGGCTTGAACCTGGAACATCATCATATGAATAATTAACCACTCATCTGGTATTTCTATAAAAATAAGATGAAATATCATGGTTTATAGTACCGTCTATGTTTTAGTTATTCTGATTGTAGGCCTAAAGAGTACAAAAGGACCAGCTCTGTGAAGCCAGCAACACAAAGTCAGGATTTGCATTTAAAAAATGACAAAATTAGGGGCTTGTTAGGTGCTAATTAGGTGCCAAGATTAAAGTAAAAGTAAGTAAAGTAAAAAATTAAGTAAAAACATTAAAAGTTAATTGGAACTAAGCAAATGTACAAATCAAGTCTTCCAAAAGTTAAAATGATCTCGAAATCAAGTATATGATGAAATCAATAATTAAGTGATAATAAGGTTCTTTCGAACACAGGAAATGATTCGGTTGAACATAGAAGAAAACATAAACAAACCAAATTACTAGTATAAATAAAAAAAAAGGGATTTGTGATAGAATCAAAGATTCATGACGTTCCTGAATCAAGTTTTAATTAAGTGCTCACTGGTATGAAAATGAAAACTACAGATCACTACGACTACGACTATGATCACTACAGAATTAAGATTATACCGTGGAAAAAAAACTGCTGTTTTCACTAACTATTAATTAAGTGGAAGACTAGCTGTATTGCTAGGCATAAGTCTAGTTTCAGTGGCTAATTATTTTTTCTGAGAATTAATGTAGTAATTCGCTTGATCGTTTATTGAGTTATTCACTCCTAGTGTCCTATCTGTGTAATTATTAGTATTAACTCTTCCGGAACATTAAGTTCCGGTACAGGAAAAATATTTTAATAAAATGCTACTTTAAGGTCAACATATGTGTAATTACGTTAGGTGTATTTTAGAATTGCGTGTGCATTACATTACTTTTTATGAATGTGTGAATTCGGCGAGGAACTGAGATTTGGAAAGCCGGTCTTGAAAGTCGTTCAGAAGACATTCAGTTCCGTCTTACTCGGCGGGAAGCCGCCTAAGGCATGGTTCAGAGATGTGAAGGTATCACGTTTTTCTGTTAAAGAATTACAGACCTATCTCTTTTCAGAGTCAGAGCTGTTCTCGCGAATCATTACGAATCTTCTCGCCGGTTTCCGAAGAGCCTTTAGCACCATAGACCACATAACATATACGCTGTATATAACCTTCCCTAGTGGAAGGTTATATTCTTCGTTGGCGTCGGCTTGGCGTTTGTGGACTATGAGAAAGATTTTAATTCGACCGAAACTCGGACTATGATTCAAACCCTCCAGAGCGGTGCCAAATCGACTATCGGTACATCTGAGTATTGAAGTGTTTGTATGAGATCGCTACTATGTCAGTCCATCTACAGGATCAGAGCTCGAAACCTATCCAACTGCAGTGAGGAATGAGGTAGGGGGACGTGATATCTCCAACACTGTTCACCGTGGCACTAGAGGACGCATTAAGGCTTCGGGATTGGAATCGACTTGGCGTCAACATTAATGGCGAGTATATCACCCACCTTCGATTTGGACAAACAATGGAAGGCCTTAGCACAATGCTACATCGCTGTAGCAGAATCGCTAAGCGAGTGGGTCTTATATTGAACATGGAAAAGACGACAATTATGTCGAACGTTCATGTCGCTTGCACCCCAACGAAAATTGGAGACTCTACACTCGAAGTTGTTGACGATTGACGATTAAGAGGTGATTGGTGAACGAGCGACCTTTCTATATACGATCTGTTCTAGGTCCCGCGCCGCCATCGGTCTGTGTTAAGAGGTCTCAATATGAATCTGCATTCAACTCAATCGTTTCATATCGTAACATATGCTGAGACAATCTAAGACTGTTTATCGTGATAAAATTTAATTTAAAACTTAACTGCAGTTGTAATATTTAGTTTTTAAACGTTGTTTGAAGGAGTTGGCGGTGACTCACCAAGTCTGTTCGTAGAGCAAGTAGACGGCGGCTATCTGCATGAACAGCACGAGCGAGACCTGCATGACGAGCGGCAGGATGGAGGCGAGCGCCACGAGCGACACGGGCGGCGACTGGCGCGTCAGCGCCGGGCCCGGGCCCGCGCGCCCTAGCGACAGCGCCAGTAGCGTCGTCAGCACCAGGTCGATGTACAGAAACTGGTTGTTGCCCAGGATCGAGTAGAACTGCAACCGAACACACCCTTTCTTACGCATGCTTTATTTTGTAACGGGTTTGTGATGGAAATGAATAAGCGAAATGCGGTGAATAAAGTGTAAGTGCAATATCGATGGTTAAATTTGTCTCAAGGACAAGGCTATAAAAATGACCAAAAACGTGAAGTAATACTAATAAACAAATATTTATATGAAGTCGAAAAACAACAGAAATATCAGATTAAAGTATTCAATATGTACTAAGAAATTTGTATAAAATGAATAAATATTATGTTAGTACCTTTATGCAAAACAAAATTGAATAAAAACAAAACATACTCACGTTGTAAAGTATAAGGATGGAAAAGAATTGGATGAGGGAGTAAAGCGCCATGTACTTGAAGATTGCAAAAGAGGTGCTAAGAGCACAGCGACCTTCTAAAGCGAGTAGCTTTACACATCGAATATTCTGCTCTTGAGAGGTGAATGGAGCCGCCACTAAAACATAGAACACAAAATATTAAAGTACTTGCTTTAATTGAACATTGTCTTTAGCTTGTTCGATTTTTAATAATTTGACAATATCATAATATTTATATACTTTTCATAAAGGCATAAACATATTTTATGTCTTCTCAAATACACAACACGACTATCTTGGTAATAGTTAACAAAAAGTATAAAATTGTATTATACGTTACTATGTTATACGTATTATGTTGGCGCAGTAACTTTGCGCCAACAAAGTTGGCGTGTATAATACAAGGTTCGCGTGAGTAGCGCCGCAAAATACAATTTCCGGCGCTAATATGGGGAATATTATGCCAACTTATTGGACCGATTCAATGACGATTTGAAAAAAAACCGACCTCATTTGGCCAAGAAAAAAGTTCTTTTCCACCAAGACAATGCAAGGGTGCACACATGTGCAGTTGCCATGGCAAAAATCCATGAATTGGGCTATGAATTGCTCCCTCATCCGCCCTATTCTCCAAATTTGGCTCCGAGTGACTACTTCTTTTTCCCAAACCTGAAGAAATGGCTTGGTTGGAAATAAAAAGATTTGACTCCAATGATGAAGTCATCTCGCAAACAAAGGCCTATTTTGAGGACCTCGACAAATCATGTTTTTTGGACGGGATAAAAAAATTGGAGGAGCGTTGGACAAAGTGTATAGAGCTCAAAGGAGACTACGTTGAAAAATAAAAGGATTTATTTATCAAAAAAGCTGTGTTTTATTCCAAAAGTTTACCACGGACTTATTGACCCGCCCTCGTATGTAAAGATCTAAGCCTGGCCCATATGGGCCGAGGCATGGCTGTCTTGTTAGTTGTGTTTTACGCATAAACAATTTTGTATTTGTTTTGTTTTACTTGTAACTGACATTGTTTTATCTCAAAGGCAATTTTTAGGTATAGAACTTCGTTTTGTTGAGTTTAATTTTTATATTAGTGACAGAAAAAAGATTATGTTGGATTCAGATATTACTTAGGCTGTATTACAGAACGTTTCTCAAAACTCAAGTAACGCTTGAGCGTAGTTTTATAAGGCGAAAACTAACATAAAGCGTTCCTGAAGTTTTGAGGTATAATTTTGTAATACGACCCTTAGATTTATTTGTTTGTTGAACGATATTTGGTGGTTTATTTGGGCACACCCAAAAAAACTTATACTATGCCTGATCGTTAGTTGCTTAACTTTAACTATGAGAAATCGCTCGTTCAAATTACCCAGTCAGCCTACCTACGTTTTTTATTATCTACCTACCTAAATACATTTTTTCTTAATACCGTTATTACAATGGTTTTAGGTGGTACTTGGGCAAAAGCAGATAAATTACTAAAAAATACACTAGATTTCAGTATAAAATCGAAATTTTAAAATAATAGTTTCAGTTTCGGTTTCGGCCGCATAATATGTTTTTTGTACCAGACTCACTTTCATTATAATAATTTATTTATTTAAAATTTTCAAATTTAATTCTGATTGAAGATAGTCCTATTCGAACTAGGAAAATCTTAAATGAGATACGCAGTTTTGAGTTCATGTTACAGTAAAACAAATAGTAGTAAAAAAAATGTTACTTTAATATAAATCCAAAAACACAAGGAATAATTTTAATTTACATTTGCTAAATAAAAATATTTATAGATATTTTTGTCAAATTCATACATTTCTTGAAATTCATGAAAAGACAATTGTCAGTCCTTAAACAAACGTGAGAAATAAATAAGACATAGTCTCTTCAGGATTTTTGTTGCGTTTTTGGCCTTCTAGTGATTTTTTTTTCAATGACTTAGACTGCATTACAACTGTAAAAAATATTCCGCAAATGACATAACCTACGATTCGAAGTCTTATTTCTATATGCAATTGTCAAACAAACAAATTATGGCAGTGTAATGTTCATATTTTTACCTAGCTGATTAAACCAGTTTCGAACTTGTAACGGTTCAACATGATTTGGGCCCAACTATGAATAGAAGATGGTCATTCTCCTTTAAACTAGTTACTCTATCGAGTATACGATACTCGATAGAGTAACGCTATCGCGATCGGTCGTTCTTGGGAATTTCTATCAATGAAATCTGATGGCCGCCTAGGTTTTTGTTCGATTAATGTAACTCTATAAGAAATATAATAAGTATAAATCCAAACCTGATGCATCTGCCTCAGAAAGAGATATTCCAACGTGCGCCGCTTTGAGCGCCCCGCAGTCGTTAGCGCCGTCCCCGCACATGCCCACTATGAGCTCCTCGCCCTGCAGGGCGGTCACCAATTGAGTTTTCTGGTCCGGTCCAAAGCGACCGAATATCATTCCTATTAATAAAACTTCACATTATAGTCTGTTTTCAAAGAAGTTCGCAAAATGTTCTTGTAAATTCAACATATTTCGTGAATGATAATGCCTACCGGTTTTGGTTTTATATCCGTTGCATTGGACACGATAGATATTTATTTAATGTAAACTTGTAAATAATGTACGTTATAAAAAAGTATGAACATGTGTAAATTCACCTCTGCTTAAAATAGCTGGCATCCATTCCGGATAATGAGTACGTATCACAGCCCAAGTTTTGCCTTCTAATGCGAGTACATAAGCATCTATCGATAATTTAGGAGGACACCCTTCACCTACAACCTGCAATGTAATACTTATAATATTATTTTATGCCAAAGATTACACAGAAACCACGTCAACATTTATGACTAAACTTTTGTTTACGACATGTAAAGGTTCGAAAACCGAAAGAAAAAAAATCTTTATTTACAAATAATTATTAGTAGATTAATGTGAAACATCAAATGCGGAGGGTCAGACCGGCTGGGCCCTGGCGACGCAACGCCATGCTTCGTGATAGTATGTAACGTGTAATGTGGCAATATATTTAATTGTGCTATATTTATTATTTCCTTTGATAAGCTACTCAATTATTTCTACAAAGTAATTTGAAAAAAAGAAAGAAACGTTTATTTTGGCAATAACAGAACACTTTCGATTGGAATTTCGTTAAGCTAATACTTTTGTATTAGTTTTTAGTATTCGTTATTTCTTCAATAAATTCATCAATCGACATGATATCAGAAGCCACGCATACATATAATATATGAATTTTACGCCCCCTAGTATATTGTCTAAACTCGATTCATAATATGATGTTGAGGTGTTTTAATATTGTTACATTCACGATTGCTGATGTAGCTATACCATATGTAGACCCATAAAGCTATTAATGTTTTGATTTCTTAAAAGGTGCTTGCACATGTGCTATGGTAACTCTTTTAATACCACGATACTCACAACATTGTTTAGTGATATTTTGATGGACTACAGATAATGGTATGTTTTAAAATTATTTTCCTCAAATATTTCATTGTGAATAATGCGCTAGTAACTTTATGAACGTAAAATCGATCTAAGCTGATAATGATGAATGAAAAAACAAAATTATTTGTTCGTTCGTTTCGTCCTCCTTATTCAAATGGCTATCTCTGCCCCTGATACATTTTAAATTACAACCATATCGACACTTACTTCCATACATAAGGGGGGTCGTGAATCAGTGGTTTGTTGTTGTCCCACAGTTATTAGAACAAGTTTCTGATGCGGCTGCACCATGGAACAGCCTCGTCCTACTGACATTGCCGTCATTATATTATCACCTGCAACATGAAATTGACATAAGCTTACAGTTCAAACCCAATTATACGCGTTACAATTAAAACCAGTTTACAAACCTGTGACCATTATCAGCCTCATATTAGCATCATGGAGCTCCTTAATTACTTGGGTCGTTTCTGGTTTCAGACTATTTTGCATGACTAGAAAGCCTAGGAATACCATCTCACACTCAAGAGTCTCTCTTTTAATCCTTTGAGCGTCGACCCATTTCATCTTACGATCTAGTTTTTTGTGGGCGAGCCCTATCACACGGAAACCGTTTGATGTGTACTCGTTGAGAACTGAACTGAAATTTTCTGGTAAAGTGTCTGGATTGCACATACCGGCCACCTAAAACAAAATCCAAGATTAATCTACATTTCGCTCAAACTTCGTGCGTCGTAGTGAACTTACTGTACACTTATTTTAATACCACAAGTGTAGAGTATATATTTGCGAATAACTAGTAATTAGGTCGATTCTTTTACTCCTATTACTTTTTTTATGCATTTTTCATCATGTTACCCGTTTGCTCGTTTGAACCCCATATTATAAAAAAAGAAAGATAATTCGATTTGAACTTTTTAACAGGAGCAGTTGCTATGCTAGCTATAAATTATTGATATTTACCTTTTCGGGAGCCCCTTTCACAAAGTAAACCATTTGCGGTTGTCCAAGTACTCTCGCTATAACACCCATGGATTGCTGTGAAGAAGAAAAGTGGAACCTTCGTAGCAGACCAACCTGTCAATAAAAAAATGTAGTTAGTAAATTTGATTCAGCTCCTGTTAAGTATTTAAGTAATTTCTGTGTCATCTTAAAACGAACTGTAGAGACTTAGTTCTTAACTTAGTAGAGGGGGGCGGAGCGTCTATTGTCATGATCTGAACAAATCCTCACGATAGCTTACACTACGGTATTAACCAAGGCAAGCAAGCAAACAATAAAAAACAAACATCTTTCATATTTTATCTTCTCGACATTTAATGGACTACAGATGTTTGTATGGTTTAAAATTAATTTCCTCAAATATGTATTTCATTCGTGAATAAAATTATGCGCTAGTAATTTTATGTTTATGAACGAAAAATCAATCTAAGTGGCGTGCAGTAGGAGTGGCCTACGTGCAGAATTTTATTTTAATAATGAATACGTAGATAAGATTGTTATGTAAATTAAGAATATAATGCACCTCATATGGAATTTCCATCGTAAAAGGATCATAATTATCCAAATTCTGCAAATCTTCTCCTTGAGCAGGCTTAGGTTTAACAATGGCTGGTGTTAAGTTGTCATAACGAGTATTTTCTGGACCTGGCTCCTCCAGCACCTGTTAAATTAGAATAACGTTAAATTCAATTTTGATGTGGTGTATGTTGACTTTTCTAAAATCAGTTTTAACTGAAACTGATAAATAAATATTTGAATGTACCAATACTATGAGCCTAAGAGATAAGGAAATCGTACATAAATAATCTTTTAACGAATTATGTCAAACAATGGAAGTAGGATGCTTGTATTGACCGCGGACTAGATAAGACGTGTGTTTGTTATCGCCAAAATTGTATAAAAAGTGTATTCAAATCTAACACTAATTTGTAAACAAAGTACTATCTAATTTGGTGTGAACAATTCAGTGTAAATTTTGATTTTAAAATAATAAGTGAGCGTCTCTGCGCTAGTTAGCGAGCGGGACGCCACCTCCTCAACCCCGCGGGACGAGATCGGTTGCTATTTTTGACTCGCTCGCACAGAGACCCTGCGTTTGGTGAACAATAAAATTATATTAATACTATATTTATGTGAGGAATTCTTGTCGGCCGGGCACCTATTGTGACAATACGAAAGGAAGGTAATCGGATATTAAACTAAACTTTATATAGCATAGCGATATAGTCGTCCTGCGCCAAACAATTTTACGATACAACTTATCGTGGAACTACATCTTACTGTTTGCTTGCTCTTAGCAATGCCAAAAGTACAACGTTCACCCCCGAAAGCCTCTGCCAGTGGTAAGCAGAGGGTAATGTCATCACCCGACATACCCTCTATTGACGCCGAGACAATCATACCATCCCGTAATAAGCGTATACGGCCTGATTTCTCGCCTGATCAACATCCTGACTGTTTCACCGAATTCGAGGAGAAAATTATGGGCCTACTAAATACGTGGAAGAGTGACCAAAATGCTTTATTAAATAAATTGTTGTCAGATGTCACAGACATTAAGAAGCAGAACAGAGAGATACAAAAGTCTAATACAGAAATAGAGAAATCCATTGAGTTCTTGAACCACTCGTTTGAAGTGGTTAAAAAATCAGTGGAATCATTAGAGAATGAATGTAGGGAGCAGAGAGCATACATCGTCGAGTTGGAAAGGAAAATCACTGATCTCCAACAAAATTCACGCCCTTCTTCTTTCGAAATACGAAATATACCGTATGCTGAGAAGGAGACTACAGAAGACCTATCGTCTATCGTCTTGAAAACTTGTAATGCTCTTCAACTCCCTGTGAAGGACACTGATCTAAGGGACGTCTACCGTATGCCAGGAAAAAAAGAGTCCAACAGACCGATAGTGGCCGAAACAATTAACGTTTATATGAAGAAGCAAATATTAGATGCAAATCGCAAGTTTAATCAATCGCGCTCTCGGGCGGATCAGCTAAACACAACCACTATAGGTATTAAAGGAGATCCTAGGCCTATCTATGTAGCTGACCATTTGCCTGGTAGCCTACGTCAGTTGTTTTTTGAAAGCCGACAATTTGCACGCTTGCACGGCTACAAGTTCTGTTGGACGCAAAATAATAAAATTTTTCTTCGTCGTGGTGAAGGCATCTCAGCTATATGCATCACTTCTATGGCTGCCCTTAATAACCTTGCTCAAAGATGTTAACTTTTATTTACGTTTGTCAAGGATGATTTTGTTTACTTTTCTTTTCACTTTATTATTTGATATATTACATGTAATGAATTATACACTCACACATACAAACACTCATTTAAAACATATACAAAATAATACGTCGCTATTAATCTACATGGGATATACCAAATACAGCCATAACTATTTGTCTAAAGTAAGTTGTATTAAGTTGGATTACCTTCTTACTACTACACACGGTAATGAACCGCACTTATTTATACATTCCTCGGTTCTTTGCATTTATTTTCTGAAAGGGTATGTCGAAACAACTGCACAACTTTGTCTCATATGTATTACTTTTTTCATACTCATTGTTTGCTCGGATTTAATAGAATTATTTTTAAATAAAGTGTCTTCTTACAGTTCACGGACTGCACTAATAAAGTGTACATTTTGCTTTGCGTTCTTACCTTTTAACAATGTTTGATTCAACTGCAGTAGATGCTGTCTTTACAGATCTAGATTCCTATGGCTGTGCTAATTCCCTTATATGTAAACCACAACAATGCTCACTTTACATTGGAGACGGTAAACATTTAATAAATATATTACATGTGAACATACGCAGTATTAGTAAGAACTTTGACCATTTACATATACTGTTACAAACCTTAAATATTATGCCGGATGTGATAGTTCTGTCTGAGTGTTGGCTTAATAAATGTTACAATACTCCGTCACTAGAAGGCTACATCGTACACTGCACGGACAGGAATAGCAACCAAAACGAAGGCGTTGTATTGTACATTAAAGCACACTTAGATCATAATGTAGAGGAACCACACATAAATGATTCGAATTGTCTTATCACAAAGCTGCCTCTTAATGACATTGTGATAATCTCAGTCTATCGCTCACCATCCTGCCGACAGCTTGATGACTTTTTTGATAGCCTCAACAGTATCCTCATCTCAGCCTCAGGCTTTAAAAATGCCGTGATAGTTGGAGATCTGAACATAAACATTGTACCAACAAACTTGACTAAAAATGCCCATGAATATTTAAATCTTACAGCGTTGCATGGCTTTCTCCCAACTCACGTTCTGCCTACACGACGTGAAAATTGTCTTGATCATATTTTTTTCAAATCAGACAAAAGCTGTACGACATTAATTCTTGACACATTCATTACTGACCATGCTCCCATTCTGTTCAGCATTAAAAATGTTCAAACCCCTAACAAACCCAAATCAATAGTTTCAAAGGTTGACTTCAAACTAGTATCGTCGTGTATTGCTGGCACTGACTTTAGTCCTGTTCTGAATATCTCGGATGTAAATCTTGCCACTGAACTCCTTTGTTCTACTATTGGTTCTATTATTAAACAACACACGAGCTTTGTTCATATACCTCCAAAAAACCGAATCCTAAAGCCATGGATAACACCAGGACTGCTTCGCTGCATTCGTAATAGGGATAACATGGGACGCAAGCTACAGAGAGACACTGAAAACCACACTTTAAGAGTAACTTATCTTAGATATCGTAATTTCTGTAACAAATTATTAAAAAATCTTAAGCACGCTTACGAGAGTAACGAATTTTTAAAAGCGAAGTCCAACGTTAAAGCAACTTGGAATGTAGTAAAAAATATTATTAATACTAATACTAACGACAACCCCTCACTTGAGCTGCTTAAACTTGAACCAGACCCGGAAGCGTCTGTCAACAGGGTGAACAAGTTCTTTGCAAATATAGGCCGTGATCTAGCTCAAAAACTTAGTACTAATCATCAAGTAACGCCTAAATCAATCTCTTCTCGAGATACTGGGCCTGCGAACTCTCTGGTACTATTATCAACTGATGAATCTGAAGTAAATACCATAATTCACAGTCTCCGTAAGGATTCAGCAGTTGGCTGGGATGGCATTCCTTCTAAATTGCTCCAAATGTGCTCATCTTCATTAGTCCCCCCTATAACCCATATCTGCAATATTGCAATTGAAACAGGTATCTTTCCAGAAGTCCTTAAGAAAGCAATCGTACATCCCATTCTCAAGAAGGGTAATAGAGACAGTGTCAACAACTATAGACCGATATCTGTGCTGCCTTCGCTATCTAAGGTCTTGGAAAAAATATTAAATAATAGACTAATTAAATTTTTAACTAAGGAGAATATTTTAGCAAGTAATCAGTATGGCTTTAGAAATGCCATATCCACAGAGGATGCCGTTGCATCTCTTGTAGACAATGTCATCGATAAGATGGATAATAAACAGAAATGTATCGGTATCTTTCTTGATCTCGCCAAGGCTTTTGACACTGTCTCTATTCCCCATCTAATTACTAAAATGGAGAAATTTGGCATAAGAGGACATTCTTTACTAATTTTTCAAAGTTATCTCAATAATAGAATGCAGTGTGTTAAGATAGGGTCATCTTTGAGTAATTTTATCCCCCTTAGTTGCGGCGTTCCTCAAGGTTCCATTCTCGGCCCAACATTGTTTTTAATCTACATTAATTCACTTTGTAACCTTTCCATGCCAAATTGTTCCATTTACACATACGCAGATGACACAGCTCTACTCATTCACGGTTCCAATTGGTCTGAGACATTCTCTGCGGCTGAGTCCGCTCTAGGAAAGGTGATGGAGTGGCTCTCATATAATCTTCTGACTCTCAACGTAAGTAAGACAATGTATCTCACTTTTACACCAACCTCTAGTACATTGCCTAACCCCGAAATCTTTAAGCTGAGAGCTCACAATTGTCAACACACCAAGGAAATGTCCTGTAACTGTCCCACTGTAAATCGAACCAATAGTGTCCGATACCTTGGCGTTCTCATTGACAACCATTTAAACTGGCATGTGCACATAAGTACCCTGACTTCCCGTGTCCGCAAGCTTATATGTGTATTCAAAAAACTCCGACACTCAGCTACACAGGTTACTCTTAAAATGATCTATTACTCACTCTGTCAGTCCATAGTGACATATTGTATATCTGTTTGGGGAGGTGCCGCCAGGACGACTTTACTGCAGCTCGAACGGGCTCAAAGAGCCGTTTTAAAGGTCATGTTATGTAGACATTTTAGATATCCCACCACTCTGTTATACTCTGAATGCAATGTCCTCACTGTCCGTAAAATGTATGTGCTCCAAACAGTTTTACGTAAACATAGCACTCTAAAATACGATCCAAAAAGACAGCACACACGCAGGTCTTATAAAATTTGTCCTGCAGTCACATGCAGAACTGCCCTTGCCAGGAGACACTTTCGTATTATCGCAGTTCATCTTTACAACACCTTAAACAAGCATTGCCAAATTCATCACCTTGCGAAAAGACAATGCAAAGCCAAAGTAATGAACTGGTTACTTGAACAGGATTACGATACAACCGAGAAGTTAATGAGACTCACAGTGCTATAAAATTAAATACACACACACACACATACACACACACATAAACACATACACACACACATAAACACACACACACACACAAACACACACACAAAACAAGACACAGAAAGAGACACGCGCACGCGCATACGCGTCTTATCATAAGTCTACAACTGTGAGAAGAACTGGTACCCATGACTCAAGTTAAATCTTACAATGGGTGCCAGAGCTCGACTGCTTAAGTTTTCACTGATGCTGTTTTGATAATATGTATGTATGTAAGCATTGTACTTCTTTTCTATGTCAATAAAAATATTATTATTATTATTATTATTATAGGTAATATAATAAATGAGTCATGCGTGAAATGTTTTAATATTTTTTACTAACTTCTTTCTAAATATATGTATGCATATAACAAACAGATAATAAAGACCTTATATTAAATAGTTATACTGTACATATTAAATGTAAAAAGCTTTAGTAAGGCTATATTGCACAAACTATGACACTTATTCTGTCTTTATATGAAAGATTATCAAATATAGTCACATCATACATAATTGATGTATTATGTGACAATATTTGATAAGATAAATAATGGAAAGTATTATATGTATACTCTTTAATTGTCAGCCTGAAAGTGGAGATCTACTCCTTAAGTTTAATATTCTTATATTAGGAAATAGAATTTATAAAAGTTATTGATAAAAAAATATTGCAAATGCCCCTTTCCACTTCTTTGAATACCGACTTGGTATTTAGTAACATTAAACTGCGACAGTCCCCTGTCGACTGTGAATGGCCTAAGTGTAGCGTCACACCATCTCATCATAGAAAAAGTAAAAAACCATATAATACTATAACATCTGCATGTATTTGATATAATATCGACTTCTAAACTATTTTATTTTTAAATTTGCCTTAAGATCTGTAAATGGTTATAGGTTTAAAAACTTACCCATTGCGTAAATTCGAACATCTTTAAGTCTAAAGGATCACCCTTTAGTTCACCTTGTATGCTAGTAAGGGAATGACAGGATGCAAGGGCTTGTACAAGCGGGCTGCTAACTGGCAATGCGCCGACTTCAACAACACACTCTCCGAACTTCTTTTCGGTAAGTGACGGTATCACAGCATAGAAGTCTAACCCATCTTCGGTCAGAGTACCCGTCTTAAAAAAATAAACAAAAAAGTCCATCTAAAGATGAGAAATCGTTATGATCAAGTTTAACTTTTAAGGTTAGGCAAAGGTTAGGTTAAAATATTTCATCATCATCATCATCATCAGCCTATCGCAGTCCACTGCTGGACATAGGCCTCTCCCATTGCACGCCACTTAGATCGATTTTGGGCTTCTCGCATCCAGCTCCTGCCAGCCATCTTGCGCAAATCGTCACTCCACCTGGCCTGTGGGCGTCCTACACTACGCTTGCCGAGACGCGGTCTCCACTCAAGAACTCGTTTTCCCCAACGGTTATCGGTTCTGCGGCTAATATGGCCAGCCCACTGCCACTTCAACTTGCTGATCCGGTACGCTATGTCGGTGACCTTAGTTCTCTGCCGGATCACCTCATTTCTGATGCGATCCCTTAGAGAAACGCCGAGCATAGCCCTTTCCATAGCACGTTGAGCGACTTTGAACTTGTGGACCAGCCGTACCGTAAGTGTCCACGTTTCAGCTCCGTATGTCATATAAAATATTTACTTTAGTTAAACTGAAGAAATAGGCTTTATGGGCACAATATTTTGCTCCAGCAATTGAGGTCGAAATGAGTTAACTACTAACAGCTCTATTCATCTAGAAGCTGCCTCTTTCTACCGCGTAACTCTACTTCTGAAGACGATAGAGTTGACTTCTTCAATTTTAAAAAAAAAAAATTTAATTCTTCTTTAATTACCCGTTTCTGTATATTTAGTGTTGGAAATAAAGGCTATTTGTATGTTACTATAATACATTTGCATATATTGACATAAAATGATAAAATTATTAAATAAATGATAACGAAATGAAACGGCCAGGATTCTACTTTTAGAACGGGTCTTTACTTTGTTTTTATAAAGTTTTACTGTACTAATATTCCCCGAAAGGACATGTGTAGCTTAACAAACTTTTAAATTCTATTTGACCTTAACTATGGATATAAAAAATATTTACCTTATCGAAACACATCACTTGCAGTTTTCCACATATTATAATACGCGGAGGTGACACGCAGAAAATCTTATTCTTACGTAGTCGCTGCTGGCTGTACACTATGCCAGCTGTCATAGCGGCAGGCAGAGCCGGAGGTACCACAATTGTTATAATATCTAGTGTTCGAAGAACTATAGTACCCACATGGCTCTGTGGAATTCAAAGAATTTAATTTTAATCGATGATATTTATTTCAATCCTATTAATAACCGATTTTTTTGGCATCACATTCAACGACACAAACTCAGCCCATTTCATGGTAAGTGATTTCCAATGCCTATAAATAATCTCAATTTGTTACTTTGAACATTAAAAATTATGAGTGTATTTGTATTAACGGAGCCCCAATAAAGTCATTTAAAAGTATACAAAACATCACTACTCAAAGATTTGAATGATAGGTCGAAACTTGAATGGAATAAGTTGATTTTGTAACATAATCTTTGTACCTAGCCACAAAAGAAATCAGTATATTTATTGAACTTCTAGATAGCATAGCGAGACATTTAACAGTATTTAATCTGTGTGTGTGTTAAACATTTATAATAATTAATTTATGTAGGTATAAGGATTTTGTCAAGATGTTAATAGGCATTATGGTTTACTTTAATAACACATAACCAATCTGTGGAACAAATTATCGTGTGCGGTATTACCGGCCTGATACGACCTTCAAACCTTTAAGAAAAGAGCGTCTTCCTTCCTTAAAGGCCGTCAACACGCACTCGTGACTCCTGAGTTGCAGGCGTTCATAGGCGGCGGTAGTCACTTTCCACTTATATAAAAATTATCACAATATACCACTCACCCCTCTAACAACATAAAGCCATACTGAATAACCCATTCCGATGGCGGCAATGAAGAACATAAAAATGACGAATTTGACAGCATCTTTATAGAATTGGAAATCAAAGGGTTTCGGAAACAGTATACTTTTAATCAGCTCTCCCTTAGCCGTGTAGAAACCGGTGCGTACCACTTTTGCTAAAACCTGAAAAATATAAGCAAATGATTTTTATACTGAAGAGGTTTTGTTCGGTTTTGGTTGACTTAAAGCAGTTAATTAAATAGGAAACAACCCATGCACCTTTAAAACATTCACTTGTTTAATTTTGTAACCAATGTTAATCTTGCATGCTTCGATAAACATGGGTTTGCTCGACTATGATACCACAGCCTAACGGAAAATCGGTTTTAAGCATTTCTTTGATTGCTTTTCACCGAATGAGTGATGTTAACGGAGCCCTCCTCTGTTTGTGGGAGGATGGGGGGACCGAAGGGCTGCAACTCACTTATGACAATTGGGTTGCGGATGTCCATGGCTAGCGGTAGTCAATTATTATCAGGTTACCCGTCTGCTCGTTTGTCCTCTTATGCCATAAAAAAAGCAGTAGCGACAGAAGTGAAAACTTAATAATTTAAAAAAAATTGATTACAGCAGGAAAAAAATCGTTATTTTGGATCGCCTAGTTTCTGTCAATTTCATAGAAATATATGAATTTTGGCATTGAAAGCCGGTGAATAATGGCGACATATTAACGCACGAGAAACTTTAACACACGAGAGCGACTTCTCCTAGTCCACAGCAGTACTGTTTACCAGTCTCGTTACAAATTTGGTTATCTATCTTCAAAAATGTATTTAATGTTAAACAGTAATCATCTTTACCTGATTGTTTCCATAAAATCTTGTTTGTATTACATGGGTGCCAGCAAACAGAGTATGTCTTTTATGGCCCTCTGTAGAATATATTTCGGGAGAAACGCAAGGTGGTCCTTTCATGACTGGAACACTTTCACCTAAAATTCATTTGCTAAGTATAATAATTGTTACCGCTTCACAAAAACAAATTTTGGCAGTCGTTGTACAAATATAGAAAGAGAAACAAAAAGATGTTGCTTTGTACTTACGCATGGGGCAAACAAAAAAATAGACTACATATACCCTTATTTAAGCCAAAAACTTTAATATTGACATACATTTTGTTCATTCTGTATGAAGTAACATGTACATAATAGCAGATGTGTTTGGCAAGTACTATTTCTGTGTAATTAATTATGTTTTGGTAATGATTGTCACTAAAACTCATCATTGAATAGTTAGAAATGGGTTCAAGAGCATAGTTTACACTTTACAGCATATTCAATGGTCTAAAGAAAATACCAAATAACAGCCTGTTGTATCTACACATACCTTATGTGTACATACTCCAGGATGTTATTTGGTATTTTAAGTAAGTAGGTAGTTAAAACTGATTGTTTTTGTTGAGATTTAACACATACCGGTGAGCATGCTTTCATTGACAATACAGGTTCCAGTAAGTAGCATCGCGTCACAGGGCATAACGCAACCGTCTGGTGGTAAAACGAGCACGTCGCCGGGAACTAATCGGCTAGCATTCACCACGCACTCTTCTCGTCCCGTGCGAGTAGGACGCAGAACAGTTACAGTGAACGCACTTGTCGAACCAGCCATTTTGTGTAAGTTTATGCTCATCTGAAAGGAATTCGTGATATAATTAGTACAAATGAGTCCAGGACTTGCTTTTTAGATAAATGTTTGTATTCGAATTTTAAATACAAATTGTAAAGAACAACACTGATACAGTTTCACAGCAGAAGTAAAAAATATGTAAAATTAAGTGTGTAGTTGCTGAAAGTGAAGGGCTTTAGACCCGTTAGTAACTACTTCAAGTGTATGAAATCGCAGCTGCATCTCAAATTACTGGTTTCAAACAAAAATCTTATTTTATTATATAGCTTATTTTTTTAAGATTTTCTATCTTTCTTTTCTTTTTGAAATTAATTGGTCTCAAATTATATTTAAATAAATTAATACGTGAAGAGAGTTCCTTGTACCTTTTCCCTTTTAAGCAAATTTGGTGGACGTCAGGGGAAGGAAACTATGAAAATTTAAAATAAATTTATATGAAGAATTGCTGAATGCATTTTTTTAATCAATATATTATCAACTAGAAATATTTTTTTTTATTAATATGAGAAAACGAAAACAAACACACGTTCACCTGTCATGGTACGGAACGTCTGTACAGTGACAGTTTCAAGTTATACTGGTCAAAACAAAACATTTAAAGTAATTGAAGTGATGAAATAAGGAAGTGCCACTATCTAGCACTATCTCTAGTTAAAATAATTTCTTAACAAACTATTCATCACTGACAGAAATATTGTAAGACTGTTGTAAAACGTCCCTTTTGCAGATGAATTATTTTTCACTATTCTAAGGTTTACTAACCCCCAAAGAATACGGTTCTTGTTTTTCTTTCACCAACTACTAAATTGTTACACAACTGCCTAAATGTTATGAGCGTGTTTAACCCGTTATAATGCAAAAAGTATAGTATTTGGTCTGTATGGCGTCACATTAGCTTTGGTTGAATATGTACAATCATTTGCCATTTTTGAAAACAAAGGTAAATCAATTTCCAAACTACTTACAGATCCATTAAAAATAATGCATGTTATGTTACTCAGTAGATAATTTCCACATAGACGCAGATTACTATATCTAAAAACTCGATAAATGCGTCATTATCGACAAGTCAGAAAAAAAACTAAAATGCTGTATTATCAACTACAAAAGTTGCACTTTCAATCACTTTCACTTACCTGTTTGGTTTGATATAACGCCAACATACACGATGCAGTAGATAGAATGAAAACACAACTTGCATACTGGTAATACTCGTCCAGTGACCAAAGGATAATTGAGAAGACTTGAAATAAATAAAAGGGATTGAAGACTTCATTAACGAATAGGGTCCAATAACTTTTAACTTCGACTTCCACAGAGTTGGTTCCGTACAGTTTCATCCTGAAATACGTACATTTTAATAAGAACAAACAAACTTATTATTAACTAACAATAACTATCATGGAAAAAGTTTTCTATAGTTAAAGGTGCTACTGTTGCATCTATTGATTTCAATTTTGTGAAACATATATTAAGGTATACATCACTTCTTTATGAATTTCATGACTGCTATGCTGCTTCGTGACAGAACTATTGCTAGTCATCTAGATAGTGTGAGTATGTTTCACATCAACTCGCTCTATTGGTGAAAATTTTAGAGGCCTTAGTGCGAGTTTATTTTACTTCTACCCGATCGTCAAAGTGACCGTGCGACCCACAGTGCGGGTCAATCGCAACGCAGAACGCGGTCACCGCGACGATCGAGATGTGAAATGTGAGTTTTTTTGAGGGTAGGTACTGGGCCCACTGAAGGTGGATAAGCAAGTATCACATTGTCTCAAGAGAACTGACATAGTAAGTGCAACACACATGCAACGTGCTACTGCACTTCGCGTGCATTAAATACTCTCCTCAAATTGAGCTACACATAAAATACGCCATTCTGTTATTAGACAACGCGCAAGCAAACAGTTCTAGTACTCAAAGAGTCCTTAAATATCAACAAAAAAGAACTTATGTTTATGCTTATTATTATATGCAAGTATAAATATATATCAGAGGCCCAAATGTTAGTTTATTACACATCGACTCGTTGTGATTGGTGAAGAGTTGAGCGCAAGTCAATCACAACACCAAACGCGGTCACCGGGACGTTAATATTGTAGGTATTACAGAAATTTCAAGACGTACATATATAGTTCGTTCACTAATGTACCCAATTAGGTAAGAGAATCAGTGAAGCTACTGTATGTATACTTACAATTCATTTTGTTGGCGTTTGTTAATACCAGATATATTTTCCATTAGCAAACCAATAGTAACTTTTTCATTAAGTGCAAGAACATTTATAAAAATTCCGGAATCATAAAGCCAAATAAAGCGACTGTGTTGGTAAATAAAATATCGCAATCGGTTATCTCTATGATTGGATAGGTTCAGGTCAATCTCATGCACTTGTTCTGTCTTAAAGAGGCCTTCCGCATCGGTTACTGGAAAAATTAGACAGTTGATCAATAGATGTATGTAAGTGCAATATAGCTATAAACATAAAAAGACGACCATTAAAAAATCATGTTAAGAAATACGAGATATGTCAAAGCTTCACAAGGAAGCAGATATAGAAACTAGGTGGGTTCCCATTGCTAAACTCTCTTTCCTGAAGTTATTTCGTGGGCCTTTACTAATATTAACTTTTAAACTATGGCGTTCGATGATATAGGGATTTACGCGCTATATGTACTTAATACCTATAGTCCTTTATTTAAAGTGTTTTACTTACAGCTAGATGTCATTTAAAACTTAAGCATCGTAATAAATAGGGAATGAAAAAGAGTGGCCATCTTTTCTCGGTATCTCTACCTATTGTAGATAGACCTGGCACTAACGATAGCATCTATAAGAGTTTCATTATGACCTCGATGATTAAACTTACTTTAAAAAAATGGACCATAGTTAGTCGAACAAATGAAACTGTAACTTATGTAAGTATGTTGCAAGTTAATTTCCGACTATACAAAATTCGATAAACATTCATTTGTTCTATATTATATTACTCACCACAAATTACATCAGCCGTTTTCAAACTGCATTTTATGTATTTGAACTTGTTAAACCATGGATAATAAGCCAATGCAAAATAGGGTAGCCCACAAAGTAATATGCATACAGTATGAAATAAAGCAGTGCGTAGTTTTGAATGTTTGAAGCCGTATATTTTGATAGTTTGTTCGTCGCCGCTGTTTTCCAAAGTTTGCCATTGTGTTTCACCAATAACTTCATATTCGTCTGAAACATAAAACTAATGTTCTAAATTCCTCATCGCGTAAATCCTATGTACCATCGTTTTTGCAGCACAAATTAAACATTCTGTGATAGGTATTAGTACTTAGTTAAAACCTACATTCTTATCTGCGACACGATAAAATATTTGAAAGTCAAACTTGTTAAGAACTGCCAGCAAAGACCATCGAAGTACATGTTGATTTATTGGCCTTATTGCTCAATTAAACGTTATGGTACTTGCCGTATGATATAATTGAAGAAAGCGGACGGGTTTATTTAGGAGTTACACAATTGTAATAATACATTTGTTTTTAAGTAAGTGGAATGATCAATGAAATGTTTTAAATTTACTTTTATCATAAACAACCTTATAGTAAACAGATGAGAATGATGTTTGATAGGTCATTGTGAAAGTGATGTTTGAAAGGTCATTGTGAAAGGCTTGCGGTGAAATCTACCTATTTTGCGTAATAAACATTCTATATTTATAGTCAAGCAACATGTCATGTTTCAGGAGCCTTTCTAAAGACTTTCATGAAGTTTAGGCGTGAGCTCCCTGCATCTATTAATCACTTGTCTCTGTAACGAGGTTGTAAAAAAAGGTCCTTTTACGCGTAGCAACCCCCTCGGGCCTTCACCGCACCGCGGTTTGCGGCGGAGTCGTGTGTCAGAATCGAACCGACTAAAATCACACGGTGTATTATTTTGCGCCTGAAATAGAAGGGATCTGGGAACTGCTGTTATTAAGACATCCATGGCTCTACAAGGACAGTCATAAGACTAATAAACTAATCACTTACGGTGCTATTGTCTGGTGGCAGAGAACAGAGCTAAGCACCGTCATAAACAAATTGCAGCAATTCTAGCGACTCCCATGCTCTGCGGTCACTAGCTGAATGCGCACGACGCCAACTGCCGCACTGGAGGAGGCCCTTGGTCGGCCCCCACTGGATTTGTTCATACAGCAGGAGGCCACCATGGCGATCATCAGACTCAGACAACTGGGTTTGTGGCATAAAGGTGATGGATTGCACTCCAAACTATGGCATCAACCAAACTATATACGAACGAACCACTAATAGCAGCCCCATGCGACAGGATTCCAAAACTTTACAAAAAGATACCAGATTCAGATACAAGAAAATTACCGATATCAACCCGCATCAACGAAGTCCGAATTTACACGTACGGTTCCAAGACTGGGGTTGGAACTGGAGCCGGAGTTTTCTCACAAGACCTAAACATGAACATATCACTAGCGTTAGGTCAACACAGTTAAATATTCCAATGCGAATGTGTGGCTTTAACTTACGCCGCATCAACGGCCATGTCAAAGGGTATTAAGGACTACAACATCCGTATACTGTCAGACAGCATTGCCGTCCTAAAGGCACTGGAGGGCAACACAATGACCTCTGGTATTGTCTTCGAATGCCATCAAGCCTTCTAGCAGCTTGCCACATCAAATGGGGTGCTCCTCCAATGGATCAAAGGGCATAGTAACTCACACGGGAATGACGCTGCAGATGAGTTGGCAAGGAGGGGATCGGCAACCCCGGCTGTCGGTCCAACCACACTCCTGCCACTGCCTTTTAACCAACTTCGGCCCTGGGTTAGACAGCGTACTCGTGAAACGCACTACCGAAGGTGGAAAAACTCACCCTGCTGCGGATAGCCCAAACTGGTGCTGAATAAAGTCTCACCACGACTTACTTGCAGACTGATCGGTCTTAGCAGACTAGATTTGAATAGTTGCAGGAACCATAACAGGACACCTAGGCCTGAACCGACAACTATTCATCATTAATACGGAAAGTCCTCTTTGTAGAGGATGCCTGAAAGCAGAAGAAACGGCCGCCCACGTAATCCTGGAATGAGAGGGAGTGGCCACACTATGGGCTAGTACCATACCTGGTACAAAATCGCTCCTAGAAGCCTGTGAACGCCCCAGGAGGCTTCTGCGCTTCTGGAAGGAGCTTGGTTGGCTCACCTAGCCAACCTCTTCTAGACGCATAAATGAACACTCTCGAGTTTAAATGCGGCAATTGGAGCCCACAACCAATACCAATTGCCACAGAGATCGTCCGAGTCCCTAGAGAAGAATGGACATAGGTACATACAGAAAATATCCTTAAGGGGTGAAAAGGGGGGTAGAAGTTTGTATGAGGAATTAATAACCGCTGAACCGATTTAGACGAAATTTGATATGAAGACACTGATTCTAATAGAAAGACATGGGCTACTTTTAACCCCAATAACCCATATTATCTTCACATCACTGAAGAGGATGATCATTTATTAAGAATTAAGATTTGAAATCCAAATTTCAAATAATATGAAACACATCCACTCTGCTTGATAGCAGCAAGAAAACTTGCTTGGCCTAACAGCCAGGTTCCCCACTTTGTATTGGATAGTTATAAAATATTAAAATTTAGATGCTTGTATAAACATTATTATTTCAGACCAACCTTGAAATTTATTTGACTCTGAACGAATCTCAATCAAATAATGATAATAATATTGGCTTCCAGACCAAATTTTATTAATTTCTTTATTTACAACATCATTTCTTTTTAATACTTATATTATCACAATGTAGCAATATTATATATTTCTTTGGTGCTGTGCCCAATTAAAACATACCCACAAGTACCAAATTTAGTGTACCTAATATTTCACTTGTTAACACACTTCACAGTAACCTAATCAGATGTGATTGTCTTGTTCTGAATAAATTAATAATTTGTTTCATTTCAACAAAAAGCAGAAAGTAAACTGAATTAAATCAACTATTTAATATTAAAATGTATGAATCATTATTTAATATTAAAATGTACAGATGATCCCTTTGGGTCCATGCAAGAAACTGACACTGCCTAAGTTCAACAGAATCAAAAACATTTTGTATATGAGAGGTATATGAGACCAAGGTTTTGTCAGAACTTGGGTAATTATAGAGCCTGAAATTCTTGAACCTGGCTTTGTGCTGATGCTTAATGACTCAGAAAAGAAGTTGCAAACATAACTCGGAAGTGAGTCAAGACTGACAATCCTCAATTTACTATCACTCTAAAATGTTAATTCAGAAATAAATTCAGTTTGATGCTATTTTTATTAGGTTTCCGCTATTAGGCACTGGTAACCAGTGTCAAAATCTTAGCTTTATAGTTATTTTACTAGTTTTCGTTCCTAGTAGTTTAGTTGGTAATTGTTAACTATAATTCTAAATTTAGCTATTTGTAGCTATATATATATATAAAGCCATAAATTTATTGAATATAATATATTACGTCAGCATAAGAGATGCGAGTGAAAGGTATATTTCATGTGATTGCACAATATAATGAAGAGTTTAGCAACTAGAGTACTCCACTTGATTGTTTTTTCTTCAAAAGATATCTTTAGTTTTACTTAAAAATCAAAACATTATTTAAATATAAACTCTAATGGAAATGGTTAAAGCAGTGTCTTAGCGTCCAATACATAATTAAACATTACATCTTCACTGTATAAGTTGTAAACCCCTAGAGATTTCTAATGGTTTCACACTCGCATTAGATATAATGTTAAGATTACAGTATGGCCACTGCGGAGATTTATTGACAAAAACAATAGAATTTTATACTTAATAATATATGCATATTTCAAATATGTATTTTCCAAAGTGTAACTAAATACTATAAATAAAATTGCCACGAAATCCTCAATTAAAAACAATAGAAATAATGTACCATACATGCATTGGCATTTTAAGTAATCATAGCACAAAATGCATGAATGGACACAAAGTTTACTGTAGCAATATTTCTATGGTAATATAGGGTACAAGACTTAAGATGTTTGTGCAAATTGTATTCCTTGTATAAAGTAATAAGTTTGCAAATAAGCACATGTTTTTTCAGAATGCAGTCTTGAATAAAACAAACTTTATTCGTCTGTACTCTTATCGACAAAATTTCTGTAAGAAATATTATGCTTAGAATAGCTTATTAGTTAATCTCTTGTAATTGCAGCTGTTGTGAAAAATTAAGTATAAACCTTGACCGTCCGTGACTAGACACGGCACAAACCAAAATATGGTAAAATAGGGGGACTTATTTTGGCAAATTAAAATTGTCATCTTATTGCAACATTACAGTTGCATTTTTTCCTAATAGGCAGGTTTTCTTGTGCATCTAATGACTCACAATATTTAATCAAGTGTGCGAGACTTACCATTGGCGACGGTGGCATTATTAATGTTCGGCATTCCCGCGAAAACTGTCATGAAATTTATAACATAAAAACTTAAGGCATATTACTCAGATGTTGTTTAGTTATTTTTGTTTAATCGTTGCTACCTCATCGCAAATTATATTAGGTTTCTTTGCAATAACTCGCACTGTTCACATTACACCTTGCGAATGAGTTAAAGTCATAGATAACGTGAATTTAAATGTCAAATCTGTACTAGTGTTGTCAATTCTTGTCGATCTGAGTCATTAGGTTCAGTAGGTTCAATGGCAAAAGTCGCAAGAAAGACGTAGGTACCTAGATTTTACGAGGTTGGACTCAGTATTTTTTTCTGTATATTGCACAAGAGTCGGACTGAAAAGAGTTATAAACTTAAAAAAAAATATTTTAATCAAATGTAATTTAAACATAAATTATTTTTGCATTCACAGTGATCAAAACATCACATGATACTGAAATTCGCACAAAAGCTAATGCTACAGTTAAAGGATTTGTTGCAAAGTAATAACTCTTTAACATTAAATATTGTTGTTTTATAGTCAATGTGTTATACTCTCGAGTTTGTTTAGATTTACATTTTCTAGGGGCTAGTTTTCGAAGTCACTCTTTTTATCAGCCTAAAACAATTTTATTTTAACCTTTCGCGTTTGTACTCCAATCAGCACCATCTTTCATTTTAATGACATGTTACACTTACAAGTCCTTACTTTTAATATCTTATAAATCGACTAAAAGGGAATTAGTTTATTTATAACATAATCTATTTATCAGTTTACTAGTTTCTCTATAATAATAAGAAATGCTCTTGTACGCTGCTATAACACATTTCTAAAATGTAGTAAGCTATATTGAACTTTTATACTTTTTAAACTGCAACTTAAAAGTACCTAGTTTAAATATCATTTCAACAGATGGCGTTAAATCAGTTTCAGAAAATGATAAGATCGTTCAGTGTTTTGTTCTTGTTGTTCTGAGAAAGAACACTGAGAACGGATGTTATTGATTTGGCGCGAACATAGTTGTGATATGTGAGTAAGGTTATTCTATTAAATGGTTCTGGTTATTTACAGTGACATTCAAAAAAAGATAAACAATGACAAACGGTGGAGTATTTGGTAAAAAAAGTGAATTTTTGGAAATTGGTGAATATAACTTTTCTTGGCCTGGTGAAAATGGAACTTTTCAGGATTTTGGTTCTGTAAATTACACCATGCCATCAGGTAACAAATAGTTTTAGTATTTTAAATTTTTAGTTTACAAGCGGATTCATTAATATTTATTTTTGTGCACAGGTCCGTGGTACTGGCCCTGGTGTCCTCTCTGGAAAATTACACAACATCCGTTGTTTCAGGTATTGAAATAATAAAAATAAACAAAAAATATAAAAGTGAATAATATTAAAAAAGTATAACGTAATTACAAAAAAAACCTTTTCAGCTCTCCAATATGCTTTTTGTTGCTTCATATTGTGCTCCAAGCACTAAAAAAGGTCAATTATGGATGCATACAATTTTAATATTTGGTGAGTAATTTAAGTCGTTTGGATCGTTGCTTATTGATAGATCTAGGTATTAGAGTCAAATCCCTGGAAATGATTAATCTAATGTTTATATGCATACCTCTGCTCTTAGTCGAAGATAAGATTTAAAACCGAACCCTAATAATTGTTAAATTCAAATAAACTTAAACATAGTGCCTCTTTTGTGCGTTGGTGAGGATTGGGTATCTTTTGCTGCCATATAGCCTCATTATTCAATCCTTCATATAGCTTCTTATTGAGTATTTGCGTAAGCTGCTGCTACCAAATGATTCGCATCATCATTGACGTCACTTTATCTATACTAAATTTCAGTTAAGGCCCTTCAAGAATCACAAAACCGCTGATAAAAATTCAAACCGGTAAACAAGTTTCCCGATCAAGTAACCTTTTTGCGTCGGTTTTAAAATCTGATTTAAATTTAAAATGTTCTTCGCTCCCTCCAGTAGCCAAATCAAATTTTATTACGAGTACGTAGACCTTGCACCTACCGACTATTACTTTTTCCAAAATTTAGACAACTTTTTAGTGGGTAAAAAATTCAATTCCCGAGAGGCAGTACAAAATGCCTTTGAAGAGTTTGTTGCCTCCCGTCCAGCTGATTTTTACAAGAAGGGCATCAATAAACTGCCAATGCGTTGGCAAAGATGCGTCGATTGCATGGGTGATTACTTCGAATAACAGAAATAAAAAGTTTGAAAAAATAAGTACTTTCACTTATGGCATACAAAACGGCAATTTCATAGGTAAAGACCTATTACATGATATTTATTTCTTTAAGTAAATCGGTCGGGCCGAGTAAGTCGGGCTTTACAGCTAGATGGAGCTGGTATTTCCTAAGACTGATTCTTGGAAAAAACACCGCAACAAACTACAGAGGTGTCTTTTTTTTACAACAAAGTTAAAGAAAACTGTGCGAGTACAGTGTAGAGTCTGGGTAGGTGCAGCTTAACCGATACTAGTCAAGATCAACGACCGACACTATCGCCATCAGGACATTTGAGTAGGCCGTGGAAACACTCAAAACCACCAGAAAGTTACTAAATATGAACTAACAATACAAGCCTACACTATTCTCACTTTTACATACTTACACAAAAAATTATAGTATACAATTCAAGTTCAATGAAAAGATAAACAAATTGGAAATACAACAAACAAACGAAATACAACAATACATTAAATGTCCATCACTTTCAAGCATAACAACAATACTAGGAACGTAAATGTGGGAGGGAGCAGCATCAATCCCAAGCAAATTTGTCATCTAAATAATCTGTAACCCTTAAATTTGATAATACTTAGTTCATGATTTTTGCTTGCCATCTTATTGTAGAATAGCACACCCTGACATCGAAAAGACTTGCTTACTTTTGGTAGTCTAGTGGTTGGTAACACGAGTTTATCTTTATTTCTAGTGTTTATTTGGTGAATGTTGCTAAACTTAGTCAATAAATGAATATTTTTCTTTACATACACGAAAATTTCGTATATGTACTGAGATGCGACTGCCATGATACAAATTTCTTGAAACCTATCCCTCAGTGACTGCCTACAACTAAGATTATAAATTGCGCAACAAAGATACACAAAGATACTCTTGCGCTTGTGCTGTACAGGTGTTCTTTTGAAAGCACCTACTATATTAATAGGGTGCTTATATCCTTCATTTTCTATTTAACCTGTAGTCTGACCCAAACGTTAGCATTTGACTAACGTCATCCAATATATAAAATAGATATAATACAATAATATCATATAAGTTATCTTATTTTCTTTTTATACTACTTGTTTCGAACTCACTCTAAAAATTATATTTATGGGATTGTTAAACTTTCTGTAACTACTGTTACCGATTGCGTGTAGGATTCTGACCAAGCAAAAAAATAAAGAGTAATGGGCATGCCCAGACCAAGCCAGTTCCGTCACGTGTATTAGCTATTTTTCTGAAAAACTAATTTTAAGAAATTTTGTTTTCAAAAGCTTGTTATAAAATTTTCCACTAGATATCTATACAAATAAATAAAATTGAAGTGTCTGTGTAATGTCAAAATTATAGGTTTTTTCATGCTCACACGGGTATTTGCACGATACCTATGCCTAAATACCAGTTTTTTTGTCTGTCTGTCTGTCTGTTTGTTCCGGGTAATCTTCTAAACGGCTGGACGGATTTCGATAATGTTTTACTATCAGGTAGCTGTCTACATAAGGAATAGCTTAGGCCTTTTTCCTCTCAGAAAAACCTTTAAAATTTTGCATGGTCCGGGCGTCGAACCAACTAGTTTACAATATAAACTACCTGAAGAGAAGCTATAAAAAGGGTTTAAGTCACTGAGAATTTTAATAGTTAGGCGTGTCTGACAGTGGAAAAAAGAATGTTCATGAGATGTTAAATTATGAAAACCAACCTATACGTATGCAACTAGTCCTGAATTAGAAATATGTGATGATTGATCATTGAAATGTGGCTATCCGTTTAGGAGCTACGTATAACCGCTAAAAGCAAATACATGTTAAACTTATAACACTTCTCATTTGCATCAATTGTTAAACATTTTATGGGTTTTCTACGGGTTTTGCCAGAAAATGCATTTATAGTGACTAAATTGTTGTTTAAAGCCTTCATGCTGTACTCAATATGGGCATGGCATGTAATATGTTCACCGGATGCCTTCTCCTGGAATTTTGGCTTCGTGTTCCTGAATTTAGCACAAGTGGTCTACCTAGTGTATGAGATGAGACCTGTTAAATTTGACCCTGAGCTCGAAGAAGTTTATCATACCCTCTTCGAACCGTTCAAGGTAAGTTTTACTATTAGTATATTGAATCAATCTACTGAAATGTTTTATTGAGAAAAGTTACTAATACCACACGCTTACACGCGTTGAATACGACGTATTTTTATGGAGATAAAATGTATGACAAACTAGTATTCAAAATAGAATTACTGTACTCAATATTAAACTTGAATCGAGTACTTGACCTTACTTAGAAACAAGACGCAAAAGTTTTTTGTTATTTAATACAACTTTTTCCTTAAGGTCGCTACTTAAACGATCAGATTTTAATTAGTTGTCAATGAGTTAAGAAAATATAAAATTTATATCATATAATATACAGAAATATTTGATTGTGAACAGGTTTCAAGACTTCAGTTCAAACGTATGGTGTCTCCCGATTTCGCGCACGTGATGTCTTTGCACGCAGGGGAGGCGTACGCTATGCAAAATCTAACCAAGACAGACCGCCTCGGGCTACTGCTCTCTGGCAAAGTACATATTTAAATTACTGCATATTTCATATTAGATACTCGTATGTCTTAAATTTACACAAATTTTCCTTTAACCATATAAATAAGACACGATTTTCGTTCAAGTTTTCCTGTAACTCTGAATGACGTTGGTAGGTACTCGTATCTACTTATCTTTTAACTGAGTTTATTAGTATAGTTGTTTACTGACGTGGATCACGTTTTTAGAAAACTGTATTTGAGTATCGATAAATACATGACTAGGCAAACTAAAATCTTAAAGGAAAAAAAATAATAAACAAGGGTTGTAAAACAAAAGAAATCGGTTGATAAACAGAGGAGAAAATGGTATTGAACGCTTTTGTCTTCTAACATTAGTTTTTTTTTGTTGATTACACTAAAACTAGACAAATAGAAGAGTTAACGATACTGCATATATACTCAGTAAAGTTATTGATCTATTGAAACATTACTACATGGGATTTATAACTGCAAACCATGCGTCGACTCTGATCCTTTGTCCTCCTCCTCCCGCAGGTATTTTATACGTGATTAACCTGTAAATAATCGTTCGCTTTCTGTTCTCATTTGTTTTGGGTTGACCAATATACAGGACTACTGGGTAAGTCAACCTAGATACTTAAAGGGGTTGTAGTTCTCATCATTTCTGATAGATTTCAGTAATCAGTATACGTAACAAATCAGAATATCAGCATATTACTCGTTCGTATAGGTCTTGTCGAGGCGCTGTCTTCTTGTTTTTGTTGCGGCTGTCACCGATGTCCACACACGATGCGCTGAGCTGAGCTCCCCTGGGCTGAGCGTTCACCGGCGACGGCTTTGGCGCGACTCACTGGTGACGGCAACTGTCCCCCCCCCCCCCCCCCTCGCGCCGGAAGACGGGGCAGTGTGTGTTGTTTGCGGGGTGTTCCCTCCCCCGCAATTTGCAAACGTGGCGGGCTCCTCCCGTGGTCTAGGGCATCTGGCTCGAGTGTCTAAACTTCTGGCAGCGGTGGTATTGCGCTGGCCTTTTCTTGCCCAGCCATGCCTCAACTTTGACGCAAGGGATTCCCACCATCTTTTCTATCGCGTATATCCGTGACGTGAGGTTTGGTGTCCTCTTCAGTATTGCGAGGATGATGCAGCCCGGTCGGTCGCCGCGGCCCCGTATGTTTCGCAAATATTCGGGGTCGTAGCCTAGGTCTCTGAGCTCTTGTTCCACTTATTCCGGCGTTGTCAGGTCAGGTTTTTTCCAGCGCTGTCAGGTATCGATGCAGCCATCTAACGATCTCTTTCCAAAGCCCTTATTGTTCACTTTCCGGTCATAACGGGTTTTCATCTTCACATACATTTGTTGGCCAGATTGTCTGACATGTTCCTGCTGTGTTTACTGTAGGCTTTCCTTCCACTAATTGCTTAGGTAGAATTAAGGAAGCTGTGTAAGGACGCTTTCTTAAGCGTCCTTACACAGCTTTCTTTACTTCTTGCTTGGGACAGTGCTTGTAGTCTTCAGGACAAGGTCTTCTTGATAGTGCGTCTGTAGCGACAACACAAGAACCACACAATTCTATGGCGCAAACAATATTTCTGTATATTCATCATCATCGTTATCAACACCCTTTAACAGCTCACTGTTGGACATTGGCATATTACTTACCGGAACGTACAGAAAAATAAATGCTAGTATAGTGAGCGTGAGCTACCGGCAGACCTCATAATTAACAGGCTTTTTTTCAGAAAGCAAAATGAGGAGTATAATACAGTCAATATCTTTTGAGCGCATGCTTATGTTAATATAACGTACTTGTGAAAATAACATAATGCGATAAAATGTTTATCATAATTGAAACGAACAAATTATTGATGAGATGAAGCCAAAATTTAATATGATAATCTGATAAATTTATAAATTTCAATGAATTTCTCTATCAACCAGATAGAGAAATTCATTGAAATTTATCTGCAACATAGTGGCTGTAATGCTGATGTTGTGTTTTTATTTATGTTACAAGTTATGCTCGTTTTGTAAAAGTTTTGGGAGATTTAAAAACCAACTATTTTCCATCAAATATCCAATGGATAGAGGCCTATGTCCAGCAGTTTACTGCGATAGGCTGATGATGATGAATAGTCAATGTTAATAGTGGTATTTAATGATATTTAAATAACATGTTATTACTAATAATATCATGCTTTCTCACAGCTTCACCAAAGTGATAGCAAGGCTTCATAGAGTGAATAAGGTTAACGGAGCCCAACCGGAGGTTGGAGATTGGGCTCCTCTCTTGAGTTGCAGGTGTCCATGGGCGGCGGTAGTTACTTATCATCAGGAGACCCGCCTGATCGTTTGCACCTTATACCATAACTATAAAAGTATAAACATTATTAATAGAATTTATGAAAAAACCTATTTGTATCCGGTAGGTAGTACAAATAAATAAGAAGCTACAAATGTGGCCATCGCAGACCGAGAGGAGCGCAGCGGAGAGGATTTTTTCAAACCACTCGAAAATAACTTTATTGGTATTGCTTTAAAGTGCATACATGTTTGAACATGACAAGAAATGCTCGCGCGGGCCCTTACTTCTTCATTACTTTTCGTAAGAAATTCGCGTGGTTCATGTTACGGTCAGTTTTTATTTAAAGGCCTTCCCTCCTATAACCCTATCTCACACTGGTATATGTATGTGTAAATGAAATGTAGCGTAAATCTATATAATTAAAAAAAACATTTTACTCAAACGCTTCAAGAAGGTCAATCCAACTAATTCTGCTGTAGAGGCTATACGAGGGCAAGAGTTGTACTTTATTGGCTGTTTCACTCCCGCAAAAAGTGGATGCACTTCAAAGATTAAAATTATCAATCATTTTTTTAATACATCAAAATCAACTTATAAAATGTACGCCTAATATTGCTATTTAATAAAAAACAAACGATAAATAAATCGATTTATTCAAAACAATGTTGTGGTATATTTAATTATGCCTGTGTGATATTTGTATCTATCTGTAAATTGCAAAAGAGTGGCCATGTTTGCCCTTTCTTCTCATAAGGCTCAACCCCTTCGAAACAGGCGTGATAACTAGAAATAGCCTACTGCTAGAAATCGTTTTGTGGTCAAATATCGATTAAAATCATTTACTTTTAATTATTTTGGTTCGTTTAATTTTACAGTACACAGAACAAAGATTAAAGTTACTTTTTCGGTGGTTCAGTATAATTGGCACTGTAATTGTATAGAATTTCGTACCGTGACCGGTCGACATGTACTGGACGTGTGTAACTGCATCTTAAATTTGTAAAACATGTTGCTTATAAAAATGAACGCCTACACATAAACTTTAGGTATTTCAAGTTTCACCTGCGATACATTATACCTATTTATGAATATTAGATTTACGGTGCAGTGCATATCTTTTGCATTTTGTTATACATATTTGAAAGCTAGGAGTCTAACCGGCTCCGGCGGTCCTACGCGAGCTTATCATCGCAGATTAATTCGACGCTCACCACGGCAGCTTCGGCTTGCTGGCCGGGTTTCTTTTTCTGCCAAAGGTAATTATGCTAAATAAAATTATGTGGTCTTAAACGTATGCCATTGTAAATTCGGACATATAAACATTCGGCCAAACAATATATACTAAAAAAAAAGTAAAATATTCGTTTAAAGAAGATTCTGCCAAGTGTGTTATGCTAAATCAATTTCGTAACATCAAGATTCTGCCAGATAGAGGGAACCCGTTTTAAATATACCGTATCCTGTATCTTTAACTTAGGTGATATCTCCATTCGATTAAAACTGTGAAGGTAACCTACCAGCACTTACCGTTCATAGTTATAAGAAACGATAGCTACGGTAAGTTAACCTCAATATAATTATCTGTTGAAATGAGGCAATCGTATCCTATTTTAGTGTAACTGTAAATTACTAATTCTTTAGTAGCAATACATTCAAAATTAAAGTTACTTTCCATGTTAAAACTCTATTGCCCCAAAGTATGTAAATGCAACCCTTATATTCTGTAGCCATTCACTCAGTTGGAAAATTTAAAACAATTTTTCAGAGTGCACGTGCCAATGTTTGCATTGAAATGCTATTGCTGTAGCCTTATCGTACACCTCACCGAATGGCGTATACGTGCCTTTTACACGAAACCCAAAGACGATATTAGAGTACCTACTTGAATTTTTTACGTGAAAAACTGGTAGGTAAAGAAAACTAAAAATATTATGTCGATCAAATTATTGCGTTTAAACATTTTGCACGGTGGATCCTTTTACAAATATTAGGTCTTTATCTATGAAGTTGGTGATTTGCATGAAAATTTTAAAATATAAAAAATGATTTTTTATTTTAGCCACTAAAAGTACTGGCCTAAATTATCTTTACAATTTTGCCATTTTAATGGCAGTTTGTTTATCCCGTTGCTGTCAAAATCTGCTAGACAGAAGGCGATGAAGTCAGCGAAAGCCTTTTGTACTGCCTCTCGGGTTTGGAGATTTTTTCCACTTATTTTTTTTTCTAAGAATAGGAAAAGGGAGCAATCCGTTGGGCCAAGGTCGGCTGGTGAGTACGGTAAGTAATTTAGAGCTTCCAGCTGTAACTCTCGTAGCTTTGCGAATGCTTTGTCTGTCGTAACGTGTATCCTCCGTCATTGTTTGCAATTTTTGGCAATAGATATCTGCCGTTGTGCCATTCGGTAAGAAGCTGTGACGTACATGTCTGGCACTGGCCCACCAGACAGTCACCATCATCGTCCTATGGATAATCTTTTTTTTAACGCACTTATTAGGTGCTGTGCCCGAGTCCACTCACTGAGACGAAAGCTTACGGTTGTCGTACAGGATCCACTTTTCATCGCAGATAACAATTGTAGATTGAGTTGGAGCACTTGGCTTTCAATTCGTCGTTGTTGAATATAGTAACCGGCCGACCGCGAGGCTCGTTCTTTAACTCGAAATTTCCAGATCTAAAACGATTGAACCGAATAATGGACCGTGTTTATGCAAGCAGTGTTAGGCTCGTACACGTCGTTAATTTTTCGTGTTGTTTGCGCAGTGGTATTTCCACATAGGAACTCATATTCGTATATCATACAAATTTTCAGTTTATCAATGGCGCTCAAAACACTACCATAATTTCACAAAAATAAAACACTATCTAAAACAAATAACTCATATTAAAGTAAAATAACACGGCTTTCGAATAAAATTTATTTGAGTTTCGAATTGCGCGCCAATCCACATATAATTAAATCTGAAAATGATGATTATAAAAATCTCTAACTTCATAGGTAAGACATAATTATAATATTTAACGAAGACTTAACATTATCACTAAGCACAAAAAGACACATATTAAGTATATGGATTTAGTACATATTGAAGATAGAATCAGAAAGCGTTTACAAGATCTTACAAAAGTATTCTCACTTTGAACTGTGCCATGTTACAATGGCAAAGTTTTAAGCAAACAGAGGGCTGGCCTAGTGCAAGTTTATTTCACATCTACTCGATCGTCACTGTGACCGCGTTCGGCGCTGCGATTGACCTGCACTGGAATCTTAACAATCGAAACGCCGAACACGCTTGCTGTCGAGAGTGAGTTGATGTGAAATAAACTTGTTGGTACTAGGCCCTCCGATAATCTTGCAACCATTTCAATAACTAAATTAGATAAGCTGAACTAACGAGTAATTTATAATCAATATAAAAACAGATACAAACAAACATCGAAAGTGAAAAAAATATTAAATAGTCGATTACATGATCTTCGAAATGTCACCGGTTTGATTAACTATTGATATATTAGGTATCTGTTTTATATCCATCTGTTTATACTTATTTATCTGTTTTATGAATCTAGTCCCACGGTAACAAAAATGTTACCGCAAAACCATATAGAAAAAAGTCGCGGTTATACATACCTATGTTATACATACCTACCCGTCGCCTTATGAATCTGGCGCTTATTCCTGTATTTTAGGTTATTACTTAAAATATTAGTATCGTTATAATACGACTAAAATAAATAAATAATGTAGTTACATAACATATATAACATAATGTATACAACATAATAATTACTCATTGATAGTTAAGGAGGATAGGTAGGATCAACAAACATGTTCTTGTATTAAGGGAATATCTAATTGTAAAAAAATACTATTATTGACTTTCTTCAATATTGCTTTACCAACCTTTTTATTTTATTAGGTGAACGTAATGAGCGGTCATCAATTTTTGCATCCGATCCTGCCGTGCGAATTTCTGGATTCCCCTGAATTTGAATCAAGTCGGGCAACGATAGATGAAAAATTTAAGGTAAGACCCATATAGTATGATTAGGATTACTTAAGAGAAAGGTAAAATGTTAACGCATCACGAGTAAAAAAACTTTAAAGAATTCTCTATATAAGGTTTGAATGTAGTAGCTTCGCAGGGATACAATGTATTATACACATAAACCTTCTTTTTGAATCAGTCTATCTATTGATGAAAGCCTCATTAAAATTAGTTGCGCAATTTGAAAGATCTAAGCGTATGAGAAAATGAAGCGACTTCATTTTATACCATGTAAAGATTGTGTAAACATTTAACAGTGCTTTTTGTATCGTTATTTGTAGTCAGTCTTTCATGTGTAAATTGTACGTACTTAGATCGCAATGGAACTCACGCAATTTTTTATATTTACTTAACATTGGTCTAGTTGCACCTTATTAAATATGCAGCATACCTAAGTAACTCTTAAAAATATTGCCTAAGAAAAAACTTTGCTTTTTTAGTGTAAAAGCGTTCCGCTTCCTAAACATTATGTTAATTTTATCTGAAACTAACATTTTATACAATAATGGTTTGGTGAAAAATAGCATCTTATTAAGTAAGGCAATGGGGCTAACTAACACGGTTGGGTGGCGGACTGATGAGTTCATTATTCAAACGGAGCGGAGTTTCAGACACCATGTCGTAACGAACGCTTCTGAACTCACTTACCTATTTAACAAATGTTACTAAATTCTTAAATATAAGAAGATTCAACTACTTATAGCTAATTCTTTTTAGGAACATCAAATATGTATCTTTTGTGATCTAGGCGATGATGTTACACGTTATCAGAAAATTAATATGAACAAAAATAATTTTACTTCTTGCATGTAAAAAAATTAAGTAAACAAAGGCATAATTTTATAATTACAAATATATACCAGTCATAAAATTTTCTGTTTAGAATTAAAAATAAAGATTGTTTTCTTGGTGATCTCTGTTTTTTTTTTGTCGTGCAATAAAAGCAGTTTTGTTGATCACTAAACATATAATTACAAAAATGTTTAGCAGTTGCCGTTGCGTTACGTATGTCTAAATAAACTGCAAGTTTAACCGGAGTCGGGTTAACACCAAAATACCTCACAGTCACAGGTCAAACTAATGTGCCAATTACTTTGTTTAATTTGTTAGCTTTTGTTAGATGCTCGGATAGTTAGACTATATTTTTGTGTCCCACTGTGTTTGTAACACGCGGTGCAGATAATACTAAAACCGCTTTATGACGCAATGTATGCTTCTTTTTAAATATTAAGAATTCGATAATGTACTTTAAAAGCTAATTTAAATTTAAATGGTTTCCTCGCTTAAAGCGCGCGGTGTAACAACACCCTTTCAAATTACTTTCATGATGGTACCCACTCGTTGATCGCGCTTTGACATTACCTACCCCATTCCGTTGACCTAATTGTTGCCGATATGGCTGTATAACAACCGAAGTGGCTATAAATGCAAGAAAGTAGGTTAAATATCGATGGAGTCTTAACAGTCTTGCAACAACGTGCTGAACTCGCTTAAATTACTTCTTCGAACATCAGCAACATTTAGGCGTATATACTTGACGATCGTTAATATCGCTATGAAATAGACATATTATATGACACATGTCTTTGGATTGACTCTTATGTCGCCAATCAGGCGAAACTATTTCATGCCCTTTCAGTTACATACCTTTCTTGTTCAATGAGTGCATAAAATCTCGAATCAATTTAACAAAAAAATACACAGTACCTAGTACTTACATATTAATTGTTTCAAAATATAAACATGAAGATATAATTAAGTCTCGGTGGGTTTGTCGATAATATTATTATATCATATCAACTTACATACTTACATCGAACATACTTCAAATTTAATAAAAATAATATTTAGTTAATGTTGTAATTAGGAAGTCCGGGCGTCACGACATGTACAAAATTTCATCAGGAGTTATCATAATTTTGTAGGCATAAAACACTTTCATTCAAGTTTCTTACAAAATGGTTTTAAGTTAACTCGATTTGTATGTATATCTAACAATAACTACGCAAATAACAAAATGTGAAAGAGCCATCACGAAGACCAAGATTATGACGTGTTTATTGTTTCCAATAATCATTTCCATTAACATCACTCTCATATCTACTTAGTGCATAACATTTGTTCGTGTTATTATTATTACATTAATGACATAGGCTCCTTTTGGTATAAAGCGGACGCGGTTTATTTTGACACTAGCTGACCCGTGCCCACTTCTTTGGGCCGTAAACATTTTTACTTGTGATGCAATTATGAGTGTAGTTCGGTTAGTACTGAGTGCAGGTCCATGCCCACCAGAGAGAACGTTTGACCCTGGGACTTATTAATACTCAAGGCAAAAGAGATCCTGACGGGATACTGTAGTCTTTTAAATGGTATCGGTAAATCAGTCGGAATCATGGGTATCTACTGGCCCTGTCAGAATGGTCGCTACGATTATATTCTCTAATAAGCAGCCTTGTGCCATTACCTCATGTTACATTCGTCCCATATAATTATAGACGTCTCTTGAAGAAGTTGCCCGAGCGGTCCATTTTTACGTATGGTGCATACTGACTGTTGTTCCAAAGATACTGTCAGTGGTAGCTTAAAGTTGGAGTGCGCTGTTTTCCTATCATTTAATAGAGTTGCGGCAATCTCTGAAGAGGCAACGGCTAGACCATTTTTCGGGGATTGTCTTACCTTTACCAAATTTGCGAGGAACGATTTCCCAGTGCCTCCTGGGGCGTCCAGAAAAAATATTTTACCCCTGTTATTGAGCAAAATGTCAATAATTGCATCAAAAGCTTGTCTTTGGTCTCTAACCAATTTCGGTAAATTTCAATCATACCCCCCAAAACCAACCGATGTAACGCAAAAAAAATACTGTAAAAAACGAATTTTATCTACATGAAATTTCCTTGGCGATAAAGCAATTTATTTCTAAATAGATTGATGTTTTTTTTTAAGCCAACAAAAACGTGTAATAGAAATATCACTCAATAGATTACGACACGGTCGCGGTTTCATCCATACCAATGTCGTATTATCTCTTTAACCATTCGTCCAAATTATATGCAGTAAAAGGGATAACTCTTTTGTTTTAAACACTTGAGACGGTAAATTTACTTATTTTGATAAAAATTCATAATTGTTTATAATATGATCATTAAACATGACCTAACGATTTAAATTATTTTTTAATGAAAAAACTACTTTTTGTGACTTAAATATAAAAGTTAGACATAGCATATGTCTAACTTTTATATTTAAGTTTAGTCGTTAAGTTTAGTCTGACTTTTTTGTGGGCATCATCAAGCTCTACAACTGTTCTCTACAACTGAATCATATATATCTCATCGTCAAAGCTGTTCTGACCGTTTTTCTCCAACTTACTTCGCAAATCCGACTACCACGAGAAAGTCTTTTCATTTTTCGGGTAAATATATAGCCTATGACACTCACAAATAACGTGGCCTTCTATTGCTAAAAGAATTTTGAAAACCGGTTATGTAGATCCAGACATCTACCTTTTTATAATATTAGTATAGATATAGATAACATCAGACTTAATATTACGAATCGTTACGTAAATTGTTGCAACAGGTACATGTTGCAACAATTTACGTAACGATTCGTAATATTTCGTCAAAGTGGACAAATTTGTAATATTAATAAGTAAAATAGTAGTAATAGAATAATATTCTAAAAGTATTGATAAGTTATAAATACTTTAGAACAAGGATTTGAGATTTGACAACATTACGTTAGATGTCGTCAATATTTAAGAATCATGTTTTTTTGCGATACCTCGTTCTTATCAGAAATACATAATTCTTCAAAATTTTGGCAAATTTTCATTTATAAGGAAACGGAAAAAATACTTGTTAAAATTCATAGAAATATACGTACTTCTTAAAACGAATAATATTTTTGGCTTACGATCTAATAAGTAATATACATATTGTTCATAATTTATTTTCAATTATATTTCATTATAGTAGCATACGGAAGAAAGAATTTACCAATATTACAAGAACCATACATATTATTATGTAACTTGTTTTCGTTGTCGTGTACCTACCCTCTCTTATTTTATGCAAACCAACGTCATTGACATTTTAACTATTTCAGGCTTTGACTACCGTCCCATTCGAGGTTAATCTTATATATAAAATTGTCTTGTCACAATGTTAGTTACCATACAGTCCGAAACGGCTGGACCGATTTTTATGAAATTTTGTGTGCACGTCGGATAGGTCTGAGAATCGGCCAACATCTATTTTTTACCCCTAAATATATTTTTTTTAATTTCCTAGAAATAATTTATATGGCAAAACAACGTTTGCCGGGTCAGGTAGTACTTTATAAAAGCACATTATAATTTCAGGAGTAATAAAAATTTACGGCATGTAATGGTACCTATTTACTTCATAATTATTTCTATCCAGGTATCGATAGTCGCAGCGTCGTCTTGCCGCTACGTGTACTGGCAAAGGACTTCGCTTGAATATTTGTTTGTTAAGGAGCCCTACCTTGCGTGTGTAGTCACCACACTAATCGCACGCGATATCACAACAAAACTTTACGCAATGAATAACAAGATTGTCACAGAGAGGGGCTCGCACTTAGATATTCGGTTGCCGAGTATTTCCCACGCGCTAGCTCGAAGTCCAAGAAGGCTCCGTGCTGCGAATAAGCTACCTCCACCAACTACAGTACAGCCTGTGCCCCCACAGAAAAGACCAAGTAAGGATTTTGTTTAGTTATACCAAAAGTTCAGATTTTGTGATTTGCACTGACGCACAGCAACGATGAAATTTTTAAAACTCATGCTCTATGTCTAACAAAAATAGTACATGTTCGATAATGTATGCGTGTTTATCCATGCGTAATTTGTGTAAGGTAATGATACATTAAAATCTTAGAAACATCCTACGACATCGTTCCATAATTCTTTTTGAACTCGGGAAAAAAGCTAAGTCATTAATATCATTTAACATCGATTTTGTCGTTCAATATCTTGGTATAAAAAGTCATGTGCTTTTACAGACTATAGTATATCACTGTGCTCGATTTCATCGAGATCCGTTGTATTAAACAAAATAAATATTTGACTTCACAGTAAACGCCCATACCGAGAACTGAATATAATAGGATAGAACAGAGTATATAAAGAACAGGATAGAATAAATAAAACTCCCAAGTTAACTGAGAAATATCTTTACAGATTGTTGGTCTCGTGATATGGCACCACTAACTACTGTAGTAAAACGCAACTGCACATCCATATCAGGTTACACTGGCGGTGACGAAGAACTTATGCCTTTGGCCGCACACGAAGCTCCAGCGGCTTCCTCTGACGATTTATCAGTAGCTGACAGCTGTCCCGACACGTCGTCTAAATACCACAGCTGTGAGGCCGTGGAGACTGATGACGAACTTAGGCATTAAAACTAACTATAAACACATTTAATAACTGTAAGTGAGATTACAGTGTACGTATAAAAGTTGAAATGAATAAAGAAAAAATGTAGAATAATGTACCTTCTAATTTATTTTCAATGTATAACATTTATTAAAGGTTTGTTATATCGCTTATGTATCTATAAATGTTGTTACTGTAATCTACATAAATATATTTAACATTGTTTTTGGACTGATATTATTAAATAAAGTAATGTTACTACTACTATAACCATCTTATTAATTATTCAGTATCCTAGAATCAACAACAGTAATCTTAAACATAACCAAGCATAACATGTTTTAGAGAAAAAATTACTAGTTCACATAGTGCAAACAAATGGATGTGACACCGACCACAAACTGAAGTAACGTAACGTGTCACAACTAAATGATCATAAATCGTGAAACTTAATCCACATCTTCTTAATGTAATAAATCCTTTCCAAAAAAGTTGACCCGACTTCAAACAATACTGAAAAAGAACAGAAAAAATAAAAAAATATAAATAAATCTAAAGTAAAAAAAGTGTAATAAGTACCCTCAATATAACAAGTAACATTATAATAGCAATAGAGACTATTGCTATTATAATGTTACTTGTTCTAGTCTGTTTGAAGTTAGATTACAGAAAATATAGTTTAATAAGTCCGTTACTTTATTTATATAAGGTAGTAAGATGTTACATTTGAACCCGAAAATTTATTGTTTTCCACATTACCTAATTTTCCAAAACTAGGGGTGGTATTTGTTCTTCACATTTGAATTTTATTTGAATGAAACTAAAGGGGAAATATACCCTTCCAAATAAAAAAATTTTTTTTTATAAAAGTTTAGTTGAAAATTAAAAATCCATTTCCCTCCGCAACAAAATGGCAGACGATACAGTAAAGACACCAAAGCCCCAACCATTTCATAAGACAACATCTAGGTTTTATACCACTCCAAAACGCCAGATGTCACCCGTGAAGTTTTTAATAGGTGCTAAAATCCTTGTAGACTGCTTAAAATCTTTCAGGCATTCCTTTTTTTTGCTTCATAAGCATCGTTACGCTACATCGTGATAAATGCGGTTAAACAAGAAAAACCCCTGATATATTCTACGTCTGTGCATTTATTTATAGTGTAAACACATGACACCGCAAAAATAACAGTAGATTGCGATGACAAAAGTAGTATTTATTAAAACATCTGCCTATGTCGATCTACATACGTGGTTCAATAAAATTGTAAGAAATGAAAATATAGGAAAATTCAAAAGATATTTTTTATTTAAATTCCATCTGATTCAATGCATTTAGGATATCGCTTCTCTAACTTTCTTATTCTTGACATTCGAAAAACTCTTAGCACCTAGTGTTTTTCACATATTACCAAAATCACAGAAGCATGTCCTTGGAATTAAATTTGAGGAAGATAACGGAATTATTGGCACCGTGGGTGAATTTTCGAGTGTCAAGAAAATTATTTTTCCTAGCTAAATATTTTATGGTAATTCTTCTGTCACCCAAAACCAAATTCTTGATCTTTTTGACATTTTCTTCCGTAACGGAGGTTGAAGGCCTGCTAGAACTCGTATCATCTTCACAGCTCGATCTCGTTGATCTGGGTTGCTGAATTGAAAAGAGCTCGAGCTCGACCTCTTTTCAATTCAGCAACCCAAACCCAATAAGCGACGCTAAAGCAGAGTTAAGCACTGTCCCTGTCTAAAAAATATATTTCCTGAACATTTTTTCAGGCTCAGATACTTTATCGCTCATTATATTTTAGTGTTTTTAACAACTTTTACAAATTAATTTATGACTTGTAAGCGGTATTATGAAATAAAGTGAAACTAAAGTGTGACTATCACTCTTCAAAATAAATATCAGATTACCCCAAAATTATAATTTAGGTATCTAGTAATTTTAGGGGTTTTGGGTAATAACTTCTTGATTCACCTCGTATAACTGCCAGTTTTTTGGTTGAATGGTTGAACATGATGATAAGGAATCAAGGCACACAAACTTAAGGCGACTCTTAAATTACCGGATAGTTCTTACATAGGGTACTTAGGTTAAATTTAGTTTACTTTCGCTACTACAAACTTCTGTTTTTCGTGGTAACAATTCTCGGACGAGTTTACGGGCTTGACACCATAATAACCATGCGATCCGATTTCACTTTAATTGTTTCCGTTTTGAAAGTTTGAACGTGGCAATAATGAATTGGGAACCTTGAAAATAAATTTAAACTTAAAAGTTCAGAGGCCTGCTAGTCTATTGGTTAGTGACCCTAATTGCTAAGCCGGAGGTCGTGGGTTCGATTCCCACCCACGACAAATATTGTGTGATGAGCACGGTCATTTGTTCTGTGTCTGAGTGTAATTTATCTATAATATGTATGTATTTAAAATAATATAATTATATTTATCAGCAGTTATAGCACAGGCTCTGCCTAGTTTAGGATCAGACGGCCGTGTGCGAGATGTATGAGATATATATATATATGTTATATACGATGGGTCTAAAGTTATTATTTATTAGTCGATTTGCATTGTGTTAGGAATATAAAAGATCCTAAAGGGATTAACAATTTAATGTACTTTTAAAACTATTTAACTTGTAATAAAACTGTGTCGAAAAATATTCTATGCATTTGTTAATGAGGGGACTGGCAGCTCAATTGTTTACCTACATATGTATACCTACATATACCTATGTACAGATTTCCTATTAAAACAAGCTATAGTTTAAAATTATTTTTTTGACTAAACCAAGTGAAAAAGATGAAGGAATTTTCAAAATGACCCTATTTATACAATTTCAATATCAAAAAATTATGACACATGGTAGTCCAGTTAATTTTCAAGGACGTACAAAATAATAGGAATAATGCAATATCGTAGACAAACATTATTTACTTGGAGCCAAATCGTTATATTTTCACATTGTCACGAATAAAAACAGTTGAATTTGCATATCTATTGCTATTTTTCATGCATTTATTCACGTCAACTTCAAAGTATGTAAAAAGTGTTGTGTGCAATTTCATTACGGCATTTAATGAATTAAAAGCTGTGGCGAAGTAATAAAGTTACATTACGAATGGTCACTCCGTGACGACCAATCCATTAATAGAGCCAATCCATCGCATCCATGCAGGCGATGCCTTTTTATAGATTGAATTTATATCACTGTTGATACCAAAACTATTTACGTTTTAAATAAGCTTTAATTTTTTACATTTTGTCATTATTAAAAACAAGTGGCTTATAGTTCTCTTATAGTTTAAAAAAAATGTATTGTACTACTATAACCTATTTATTTTTGAATCAAACTATAATAATAAATAATAATAATATATCTCACACACTCACACACGGCCGTCTGCTCCCAAACTAGGCAGAGCCTGTACTATGGTAACCAGACCGCTGATAAACATACTTATATATTTCTAAATACATACATATTATAGATAAATTACACCCAGACACAGAACAAATGACCGTGCTCATCACACAATATTTGTCCTGGATGGGGATCGAACCCACGACCTCCGGTTTAGCAGTCAGGGTCACTAACCACCAGACCAACAGGCCCGTCAAATATACAATGTGTACTATATATACAATGTGTGTCTAGTGTGTAGAATAAAGAATAAATGAAATGAAGTGATTTTGATAAGACTTCTCCCTAAAAACTTTTACACTTTGAACACAAGTATTAAATGAAAACACACGTGAGTTAATGAGTGTTTTAATTGGTTTTTTAAAACCAGCTTCAGGAACGTATGTGCGTGCATATTGTGCATTGCGATTTACAGTGACTAAGTAATTAGATTTTTAGCTGATCTTGAGGTGTACTAGTTTAACGTTGTGCACGAGTCAAAATTTGTATAAGTACCCATCGTAGTAACGTTCATAACGTACAGAGTTAAGATAAAATTCCCAACAACTTTCCAAAGCTTAGCCATCTGTGGAATTAAATACGATAGTGTCGTTTGGCTCTAGGCGCGAGTCATGATGCCAGAAAAGTCAGCAGATATAGGTCTAGAACTGCCAAACACCATAAGCCACAGATGCTGGTCTTGAAGCCAAACGAACCTCATCTAACTGATGCGCGTTGGCGCTGTTTCTTGGCGTCAACACCTAGCAAGAGTGCCGCCGCACGTACCCAGCGCCAATTAACTTTTGTCCCGACGCGACGCGCGACACTTTTATGGCGTGGATATTCGTTTAATCAACAGAATTCTACTTTACAAGATTAGTACAAAGTTTAAAGCTTGTAACTATGTACAAGAATGGTAGTAAAAAACTACTAAGCAAAAACTATTTTCATATTTATACCCATTAATTAAGATCGCAATCTCTAGTCAATGACAATACTAGAACAAACTATATACTACTATTACTAGGTGTCTTTTGATTTTGATGACACCTCTTTGGGGACACAGGATGTGGTGTTTCCACTAAAAACCACGCCGACGACCGTACTTAAGGGAGGACTCGGATCATTTGCTTTCAGTTCTCCCCCGCAGCGACACCTCATTTAACTAACACTAGGTGCCTACTTAGAATTTCTTAAGTGAAGTCGTAAATCCTCCCGCCCTTTTAAAATATGTTACAGTTAGTAGAAAAGTATAAATACTTTTTTTTACAAAAGATTCAAATATAAGCTGAATAAATAGAAAATAACTAAGTACGAGGGTACTTAGTTAATTATCTTCTTTTTCATTTTATTTTTCAACAATGATTTATTATTGTAAAAAAGGCACTCATTAGTAGTGAACCAAACTGAAACATTATTATTGAGTTTAATATTTTCAGATTTTAAAGTATGAAATTAATTCAAGTATACAGCGTAATAATAATGTAATGCTACATCATCCAAGACACGGACCATCAAACATCTCTCAATTAGAAAAGTGAAAATTATTACGAACCTTTTGTCAAGAAGGGGATGTCAAGTTATGTGTATTTAACACATGCTCTCATCCCTGATATTAGC